TGTGTCTCTGCCTCTCTCTCTCTCTCTCTGTGTGTGTGTGTGACTATCATAAATAAATAAAAATTAAAAAAAAAAACTCACCACTGGTAAGGTGACCTCAGGAAGGGGGCAGGAAACAAGGTGGTGCTAAGGGTAGAAGGAGTTGCCCTGGTGTCAGTGAGAAGCGTGGTGGGATGCCCTCGAGGATGTAGGGTTATTTCCTCTTGTGAGTTTGGTGGTGCTTGAGGGCACTGGAAGCTTACTTCCCTGGAAACAGAGTTTCTTTCTCCGGAAAGAGAGAGTCCTGGTGAGGAGGGGACTCAGGCTTTTCCCTTCCTCTTGAGACCTGGCACTCCCAGACCCAACACCCTTCTTTCTTACAATTTCAGCAAGTGTCCCAATTGGTGGAAGATGGTGATTTTGGAATTTGCCATAGATTAAAACTTTCAGGACCTCCTAGATCTTTTAATCCCAAAGCCATAAGCTTGCCTTCTGTATTTCCAATGGTTTTGAAATACTATCCTCGTAATGCTAGGCTATTGTCTGGCGCTTAGACATGTCTGCGTTTTTGCCAGTTAATATTATTTAATATTATTTCTTTGGGATGGGTCATGAAGCTCTGGTCTGCAACTATTTCTAAAGCTTGTGGCCAGAGCTGAGGCTAATTTGGAAGGTCAGCTCCAGCCCCAAGTGCTCCTTCCTGCTGTCTCTATTTAATGGTGATCGTTAGGCACATTTTATCTTTGTTTGTAATTTTGAATACCTGACCAATCCATTTGGGCAAGAGAGACCTGAGGGATGGCTTCTAGTCATTTTTCTCTTACTTTCTTCATTTTCTAATGGGAGTTAGAGGTATCCTTGAAAGTCGTCAGATATGGTGGTCCTTTGGCCTTTCCAAATTGAAGGGAGGTATCCCCAAGACCAAACCACAGGTAGAGAAGTTGATCTAAATCAGGGAATCTGGAGAGCATACTCCCAGAACCTTATAATATTCAACAAATCTTTTCTTTTTTTCTCAGGAGTCAGGAGAGTCCTTGATGGTGACATGTTGATTCTGAGACCAAGTTTTAAATGGCGTCTCTTCCGTCAACCTGGCTTGAGAATGGGTATGGGTCACATCTTGGGCCTCATCTGCAAGAAGAGATGGGGGTCTGGTGTGTCTTACAGTTGCAGCCAGTTGAGGGGCTGGGGGTGGTGATGGTGAAGGACATTTTGGGAGAGAGGGATGGATATGAAGAACTGCGAGGGAAATGTGACGGGGTGCTGTGAAGGGTTCTAGGGGTTTACTGAGAAGAGATTCTCTGAAGACATTGTTTAAGAACTTCTATGTTTTGTTTTTTTTTAAGGTTTTATTTATTTATTCATGAGAGAGACAGAGAGACAGAGGCAGAGACACAGGCAGAGGGAGAAGCATCCGGGACTTGATCCGGATCTCCAGGATCACACCCTGGGCCAAAGGCGGGCGCCAAACTCCTGAGCCACCCAGGGATCCCAACTTCTATGGTTTGAATGAGGTTTGAATCATTTAGTTGCTTTTTGGTGTCTTCATATCAACTGAACAAAGCAGACCACAGTGCATCGGAAAATTTTGTTCTTGATTGCCCTAGGGCTCCCCTTAGGTAATGCACTAATTTGGGCAAATCCCAAGAGCCCCCAGAGGGCCCACTGTAAAGAGAGTTTTCAGTAAAATTTTGCTAACAAGAAAGAAAGTGGACAGCATTTGGCCACAGAAGGATATCGCCAGCAGGAGTTTGAGGAGAGCTTTCGTTCAGTTGAAGAGCTTCCCTGTTCTGGACTACTGGTACCTTTACACTTACGAACCGAAATGCCTGGGATTCTAACCCAGCCTCTGTTCCTTACAGAGACTGGTATCTTCTAATCAGAAAAGCCTAGGACTCACCTGGCCTCTGTTTATCCAGGACTCTAACAGTTAAACAGCTGCTTTGCTTGGGACTCTGACCCAGCATCTAGGGAATACTCAGAATCCTAAGGATCAAAATCTGTCCTCACTGTGTTTCAGGGGACATTTATCCCGAGCAGTGGATTCTGGAGTCGAATTATCATCAGATACCCAAACCAGCAAACAGACTGGTGGCAAAAGGTCTAGATGCATAGCACCAACCCTGGCTGTTATGTCTGTGAGTCTGATGCTGGTTCCAGTTCAGATCTGGGTCACATTACCAACAACCATAAAGAGAAACAGGGTCGGACAGAAGTTAAAGCAGTGAAGATAGAAGGGTTTGAGGGGTACCTGGCTGACTCAGCCAGTAGATCATGGGACTCAGATTGTAAATTCAAGCCCCACGTTGGGTGTAGAGATTACTTTCTAAAAAATCTTTAAAAAATAAAAATAAAAAGCAGAGTTTGAGTTTTAGTGATGTTTAGTAAAGAGAGGGACCCAGGAACTGTGAATAACTGAGTAATGCTCTTAGAGACCTGTGTTCAGTTTGGTCATTGTTTTCTCTCTGTTGGAGGTTCCTCTCCTAGGGTAAATCCCACTTAAGGAGGGGGCATCTCAGGATGCCTGACTGGCTCAATGGTTGGGTGCCTGCCTTCAGTTCAGGCGGTGATCCTGGAAACCTGGGATCGAGTCCCACATCGGGCTCCCTGCATGGAGCCTGCTCCTCTCTCTGCCTGTGTCTCTGCTTCTCTGTGTGTGTCTCTCATGAATAAATAAATAAAATCTTAAAAAAAAAAAAAAAAAGAGGCGGCATCCCTTGTGACCAGACCCTGAGGCTCCCAGGTGGTTTGGTACACCCATCCATCACAGGGGTCTGTGGTCCTACAGGGTCTGGCCAGCACCTAAGGCCTGAGGGGACTAGCAGGACAGACACCGTGGGCCCTAGCCTTGGGTCACCCAGTGTTAAATGTCATCTGTGATTTGCTAATATCACTGAATCTAGAACCTCCCACCTGGCACTTTTTGTTTTTTTGGAGCCTTTCTGAATTAAAGTGCAGACACGTGGTTTCATGGCAGCTTCACTGAGACTCCGAGGTGTTGTGAGGTGGTATACAAACGCCTAGAGATTAGAAACCAGGCCTGGGAGGGGTGGGGAGGGGGTATTGGGGGTGGGGCACTGCCCCAGCACTAATTTACTGGGCAATCCTGAGCAAGTTCTTTCCCCTCTTTTGGGCTGCCTCTTCATTTGTAAGAGGGTTTTGGCTCAGGTAGTGGCTGAAGTCCCTCATAAAGGCAAGGCACTGTGGGTTGGAACCAGGCCCAGGGCCCCACCCCCATCCTTGGCTGCCACCCCCCTACCCCCACCCCCATGGGTCCCTCAGGCTCCTGGTACTAAGATAAGGAATAAACAAACAAGCCAAACATGTGAGATGAGCAGAGGGTGTTAGAGTATGTTGGCAAATTGAATTTAAATAAAATTTTGAAAAACAAACAAAACCCAAGGCAAAGTGATTTCCCTTTTCCTTGGAAACAAAGCTGGGGTGGTCTGGAGAGGCGTGTGGAGAGAGCCAAGAGTGCCAGGTGGAAATGGGCCAAGGAGGCCTGGGAAGATCACTTCCTTGCCCTGTAGGGAACATCTGAGGACACCCAGGCCAGATGTGTTGATTTTGCACTCTCTCCCGTGTGATAAAATCCCCATCAGGAGCATCTCTCTGTTCTGAGCCAGCCTGCCAAGGGGTGGACCCCAGCCTGTGCTGGTCTCGTCTTCTGTCTTCGGATCACATCTCCTCTTATGGAAGAGCCCCAGCTGCTCCTGCACTGTCAGCAGAGCGCTGGGAGCCGCCGACTCGGGCTCCAGCTCCAGCGGCACACTCAGAGTCTGGGCTTCCGCCAAGCCCCCCCCCCTCCCCCCCGCCTCCCTGCTGACCCTCCCCCACCAGCGACTCTCCCGCTTCCTTCCTCTGTCACCACCTGCCATTCCGCCTGAAGAGCCCCTTATTGATCTTGGCCCATCTCTTAAAGTTGTCGCTCTGTAATTCCACCCGGAGCCACATCATCCCCTGGGGCTGGCCCAGCCGGTCCTCCCGGGTTTGTTAATGGGGGTGCCCTCTCCTGTGGAGAGCCAGCGCCCAAGATGGGGGATTGGTGTCGGTGAGGAGGAAAATCAGCTGGTCTGAGGCTACAGAGCCTGCGTTGGTGGAGGCTGGCTTCCACGCCAAGCTGGAGCCTGCAGGAAATCGGGTGGCTTTCTTGTGCCTCCCAGTCTGAGAAGCGCACAGCTGGAGATGGGGAGTCTTCTCTGCACACCCTGCCTGTCCCCTCCTTGTAGGCATCCAGACACAGAGCCAGTGTCCGTAAGTGCTGGCTGCACAGCAAGTGTGCGGTGTTCCTAGCATGCCAGGAAGGAGGCCAGCCTTCGCCCTTTACACTGTGACCTCAAAACCCAGAACTGACTGCCCAGTGGGAGTTGAATCAGCACATCGGTGCGGTGGAGTTGGGGAAGGAGGCACAGAATGTGACTTCCTGCATCTTTGGGCAGCGATTGGGAGCTTACCTCAGAAGGGTGCAGGAGGCGGAGTGGGAGCCAGAGTGACAGGTCCCCTTTCCTCAGGCTCGGCTGGGGGTGAGGCTGGGGAGAGCAGGCCTGACTGGGAGCCCCAGGGCAGGTTGGAGGTCAAGGTGGACCAGAGATAAGGCATTTAAGCTGTTCTTCTGTATAAGTGGAATACTCATTCCTCCCTGGTTGACTTTTCAGGGGGTTGTTGGGAGAACAGAGGACATGGTCCTAGGAAGGGCTCTGACTGTGTGACAGCAGGGTCAGGTCTGAATGTTTTCGCTTACACTGATGAGGGGCGTGCACCGTTCCCCACCTCCCACCTGCACACCAGCCACAGACCCTGCCCTGGGCTAGATGTGTTCTGTGCCACCTTCTCTGGTGTGCACACCTGGCAGGCCTGACTGTCATTTTACTGAGGCATCACTGATGCCTCTCACGGCCACCTTAGAAGCCATAATGGGGACTCCCAAGGGTGCCCCATGCTGTGAGGCACGCTGGAGATGGTGGGGACAGAGCAAATTCATCTTTTCACCTAGCTGGACAGAAGCAGTCCCAAGCAAAATGCAAAATTAAAACAAATTTTTATTTGAACTGAAAACTGGCACATAAAAATCTTTCTCGATCACCAGAGATGCAAATGACAACTGAAGAGGACTGGTCTTTGGCTCTGGTGAAGGCCTGGTGGAAAATAAAAGCCCTGGGCAGCTCCCCTTCCTTTAAGCCCCCCCTCAGAATGCCTGCAGCCCACGGCAGGAGGCAGTGGAAAGAGAACTGGGGGAAGGTGCCTCTCTGCCTCGTTGGGAAAGCCGATGAGAAGTGAGAAGCTGGAGGTCACAGAGCGTTGGTGGCCTGGCTTAGAGCCACCAGCCAGGCCAAAACGAAACATCTGCTCCCAGTTCCCCAGGCACCTGGCTGGGGGCGAGTGGGAGGCAGGGGTGGGGAAAACTGATGCAGAAGCACAAATGAGGACTCTGCACCTTGGCTCTGAGATGGCCTCTGTTGGCCATGGAGGTGGGCGCGGCACCAAAAATAAATAAATAAAAGCGACCCGCTTCAGGAAGGGAGGGTGACAGACCCATTAAGCACACGGTGTCCAGTGTGAGTGAGCAAAGAGCCAGGGCAGGATGGTTTTAAGAACCCCGTGGAGGCCAATGGCATCCAAATGCAAACAGCTGATGGGGGAGGGGGAAGGGTGTGAGAGAGGGGCTGTTTGTTGGAGGGCTACCGTGGGGATTCCGGCTGAGTCTGGGTGGGCTCACCGGGTGACCCTCACTTTATTCTGTGCCAGGCAGGACCACAGTCCTGGAACTAGGAAGCCCAGGCTGCCCTCTACTGGTGATTCCTGACAATGACCACACAGCCAGGTGGGACCTGCAGCCCCAAACCACCGCCTGGTGAGAACCGGCCCCCAGGGACCTCAGTCGGGGCTGTGCTCCAGACCAGGCCTCCAATGGGAGGCTAGGCGCCTCCCCAGGGACTAGAGCCAGCTCCTCCATCTCTGCCTGGCTTGGGACGAGGGTCTTTGCTGCTCACATCAAAGGCATCGAGAAGAACTTGTTTCCAGACTTGCAGCGGACCTGCTCAGCATGGGCGCGCAGCACCATCTCGGAGTCTTCAAACTCATCCACGATATTCTTCCACCGGGAACCAAGAAAGGAGAGTCATATTAAGGCGAATCAGGGACCCAGAGGGCCCTGCAAACAAGACCAGCCTACTAAAATCCTTCAGGGGTTCGGCACTTGTGGAGGGAGACCGAGGGCTTGGCACACCCCAGGCTCTTGCTTGGGCATCTCTTGTATCATCAGCTCTGCAATCTTGTGAGGTTGGTCCTATCATCCCAACTTTGCAGAGGCGGAAATGGACGCTCAGACCCAATAAAACTGGAATGGTGACCAGGTCCACGGGAGCCCCAAACCAGGGCTCCCACCGCATGATTAGGCCAAGAGCAGAAGCAGCTGCTTGCTGATGGCCCCGGGGCTCTATCCTGTCTGGACACACTGTTTGGCTTGCAACATGTTTAAGAAAAATACACATTAAAAAAAAAAAGAAAGAAAAAAAAAAAAGAAAAATACACATTAGTGCCAACATTTGAAAATAGATCGCACATAAAAATCTGGACTTTTGGCCTCCTTTGAAAAACAGAAGTGCTAGCGATACTAGGTCCACATTCCCCACCCCCTCCTCTCCCAGAGGTGGAGGATCAGCTCCTCTGAAGGAACTGACGGGAAAGGAAATGTATCGCTCACTTATCAAAATAGGAAGGCTACCTGGGGCAGATGCCTGGCCCGTTTGACTCATTTCTAACACCTGCCAGGCCCCTGTGGGCACCAGCGCCTTTGACCCCTGCGCGAGGGACTAGGGCTTCAGGAGGGGCCTACAGCACTCTCCCAGATCAATGTCATAGAGCAGCGCTTCTCATAATTTAGCATGCACACAAATCCCTAGAGATCTTGTTCAAATGCAGTTCTGATTTCTTAGGTCCAGGTTGGGGCCAAAGAGGTCTGGATTGTTAATAGGCTCCCCCCGGGGGCCGTGGCCACGGGGCTGCCCTTTCAGTAGCAAGGTGAGGTGAGGGGGTCTCTTCCCATAGGTTCTGGTTTGCACACGTAATCAGGGCCTGCCAGCAACCCTCCGCTCCCCAGCATGCAGCCCGTCACTCCTGGTGTGCCATGTGGCACCCTCTGTGCTCCCGCACTGGGAATCCACCTGTAGTTCCTGCAGGCACTGCCCTTCGAGCTGGAGACGCGCATCATCCACACACCAGGCCAGACTGATGTGGAATGAAGGGGCCTGTGGAGAAACAGCAGGGAGGCAGCCAGTCACTTGGATGCCTTGGCAGGTCCAGACAGGATGGTAGGTCCATGACAGTTGTCACAGTATCCCTGCTGGAGGCCTGGCCCTCAGTGTTGATCAGTGTTGATTCCCAAGCACTTTCTACAGATAGATAAACTAGCTCTGGGTTGGCCCCGGCTCTGGACTGAATTGTGTCTGTAACCTGCTCCGCCCGCTGCCAGATGTGCCTGCTGAAGCCTCAATCCCCAGTGCGATGGTATTTGGAGATGGGGTCTCTGGGAGATAATTAGGTTTAGATGAGCTTATCCAAGGGGGGACCCTTATAATGGGATTCATGCCTTTATGAGAGACCACAGAAAGCTGGTTTCCTTCTTCCACCGTGTGAGGACACAGTGAGAAGACAGCTACCCATGAGTCAGGAAACGAGTCTGCACCAGAAACTGACCATGATGGCACCTTGCTCTTGGGCTTCTAGGATCCAGAATTGTGAGCAAATAAACCCCTGTTGTCTAAACCACTCCATCTATGGCGTTTTGTTACAAGGGATTCAGCTAAGACTGTCTGGCTTCCAGAGGCTTTCCTGTACACAGTCATTAAATCTGGGACCTGGATGAGAATGCAGGCTCCAGCTCTATTTTCTGATCTAGAACAATTCAACAGATGACATACTTTCTAAGATGAAACGAACAAAACCTAAAATGTCTAAAATTATGAGCAGTAATCTCCACTGAAATTCATACTCATATGCCTCAGCTTGGTTTTTTTTTAAGATTTTATTTATTCATTTATGAGACACACACACACACACACACACACACACACACACAGAGAGAAAGAGAGAGAGAGAGAGAAACAGAGACATAGACAGAGGGAGAAGCAGGCTCCATGCAGGAAGCCCCATGTGGGACTTGATCCCAGGACTTGGGGATCACGCCCTGAGCCAAAGGCAGATGCTCAATCACTGAGCAACCCAGGTGTACCTCAGCTTGTTTTTTTTTTTTTTTTAAGATTTTATTTATTTATTCAAGAGACACACACACACACACAGAGAGAGAGAGAGAGAGAGAGAGAGAGAGAGAGAGAGAGAGAGAGAGAGAGGCAGAGACACGGGCAGAGGGAGAAGCAGGCTCCATGCAGGGAGCCCAAAGCGGGACTCAATCCCGGGACTCCAGGATCACACCCTGGGCCAAAGGCAGGCGCCAAACCGCTGAGCCACCCAGGGATCCCCCCTCAGCTTGTTTTTAAAAAGAATGTATCAAGCAAAACCAGGAGCCTTTCAAGGACCCAATATTCAGTTTGGAGTTTCAAATACCGCCAGAGGGCATGGCATGAGGTGCAGGAAGGTATGTGGAGCTACAGCTTCTCCTGGTGTGTCAGTTTTTACTAAAAAAAGATTGGGAGAACCACTACTTCTTAAAAAGTATGTGAACACGGATCCACATGGAGCAGAACGGGTAAATCTTATGTATACTGAGATATAACAAAAGATTCCTATGAAGTGTTGGATTTTTCAATGGGCAGCACCTGACTACATCTTGGACTCCTCTCCCCCCCTCTCTCATGGAGGTGGGTGTCCTCAGAAGGCTGGCATTAGGGACACTTTGTGTGGGCAAGTTCTGGAGGGCTCTTAGGTTTGCTCTAACAAGGCCTCCTTCGAGGATGGTTTTACTCCACTTTGAGATAGGCCAGTGGAGAGCAAGAGGCTGTTACCTGGTAGAAAGTGGTGAGGTCAAATTCCTCCATGACTCTGTCTACCTCCGAAACGAGGTCCAGGAACTGGGTGTGCCCTGAGGTGACCTCGAGCCCAATAAAGGTCCTGCGGAAGGCAGAAGTGGAGACAACATGGCATGAGATGCAGCCCCTGAGGATGTAAATCATCCAGGCTAGGGGTGGAGGAAGTGACCGGGAACAGTCAGGTTGGGGCCTTGGGTTCTCGCCCTCTCTCCTGGTTGCCTGGCCTGTCCGCCCTCTGAGCCGGCTCTTTCCTCTGTCCATAAACCTTCCTTCCTCGGTTCTAACCACACATCTCTTCTCCTTCCCAGGGGCTCAGACCTTCGACGAACTCCTTCACCTGCCCCTGCCACGTGTCTACAACACTCAAGCTTTAGCGGCCCCGCTCTCCAGCGTGGCATTGCTCCAGAATCTGGACCCTTTCTTGGGGACATGGCTCTTGGGTGCCAGCTACCCTCCCCTCAGCTGTCACACATACTCTCTCATCTTTATTTTTAAAGATTTTATTTATTTATTCATGAGAGACACACAGAGAGAGGAAGAGACATAGGCAGAGGCAGAAGCAGGCTCCATGATATGGGGCTCGATCCCAGGATCCTGGTATCACAGCCCTGAGCCGAAGGTAGACACTCAACTACTGAGCCACCCAGGTGCCCCTCTACTTATTTTTCTTAATGAAAGGTTCCAATTTGGGAATAGCTGCTTTTATAGTCAGAGCACAAACAGAAAAGCACAAACAGAAAAAACTGGGGCAGACAAGGCTGGAAGCAAAACACCCTTTCAGTCTTTACTTCAAAGAATCTTCTGGAAGCAACTAGGGGCAGACAAGGAGACCCACCTGGTTTTCTCTTGATTGGTATAAATCTTTACCCGGTTGGCAGTAAAGAAGAATCTGGAATTTAGAAAAGTAGAGACCATGTTTCAGGAATAATAATTTTAATTCCAAAAAACATTTATATTAAAAAGGAGTACTTGGAAAACAGTTAACTCATTTCACACTTCATTTTGTTACCCTGTTATACAGGTGATATAACTGAACCCTAAATATTAGGGCTGGACAAGGCCTTACCATAATCATCCAGTTGAAGTAACACAGAGCTTCACTGAGAGCCAGCAAAAGTTTTATTAACGGCAGTTCATCCCAATGAACATTTTTGAGACTATTTCAATTTTACTGATGGGAACTGAGAAACTCATCAAGTAGATGATAGCAGATGAACATTTCTCACGTACCAGGCGCTGAGCTGAGGGCTTTGTGGGGATGAGCTAAGGGAATCCTCACACAACTCTGTGATGCAGGCACTCTAACTGTGCCCATTTTACAGACACGGAAGCTGAGGTTAGGTGAAGTAAGATTTGGTGATCTACAATCTTAACTTCAGTCTGATTCCAAAGCCCTTGCTGTCACCTGTGATGCTATAGTGAAGGGAAATGGGTCTCTGCTGGTGTGAAGACGGGTTAGAAATACCTGCCCACCCTCATACCCACCCATCCCTCAGATCAGTTACACAGGGCACGAGTTCAGCCAGGGAAGTGCCTTCATTCTGGCCAGTTCCAGCTGTGTTCTCTGAGACACTAGGAGATCTCAGAGGGACTCACTGGCTTCATGACCTTAGTGGACCAACTTAGCAAATACCATTGCAGGGAATGATCATTTATGGCCTCTGGGCCAGGTTTCCATGTGATGGGACACAACACCCCAGCACACCGGGTAAAATCTCACAACTTGTCCGGGGCTTAGAGTCTGCCAGCTTTTGGCTTCCCCATCAGCCCTCAGCCTCCAAATGTATTCCTTTTGGGGAAAATATAAGGGACGACAGAACCAGCAGGAGCGTGGTTAAGTGCAGCATTTCCAAAGAGTTCTGCAGGGACCTGACAAACGTCCTGAAGTGGACATTGGAGGTTTGTCCCCAACCATGAGGGTTCATTTTATGGGTCAACTTGACTGGGCTAAAGGATGCCCAAAGGGCTGGTAAAACATTATCTCTGGGTGTCTGTGAGGACGGTTCTGGAAAAGATTAGCATTTGAATTGGTGAACAGAATAAAGCAAATGGCCCTCCCCAGTGTGGAAGGGCATCATTCAATTCACTGAGGGCCTGGACAGAACAAAAATGGCAGAAGGAGGACAAAGTGGTGCTCCCACTCTCTGCTTGAGCAGAGACACTCACTTTCTCCTGCCCTTGGACACTAGACATCGCCTTTCTCAGGCTTTTAGGCTCTATGGGGACTTACACCATAGAGTCATCTCCCTCTCCCCCAGCACCCCTCACCCCCCACCAGATTCTCAGGCTTTTGGACTCAGACTGAATGACACCATGGACTTTCCTGGTTCCCCAGCTTGCAGATGGCAGATTGCAGGATTTCTTGACTTTTGTAACTGCGTGAGCCAATTCCTATAATAAATCTCTGTGTATTTCTAGCACTGTCTCCATCTCTACCCTATTGGTTCTGTTTCTCTAGAGAACCCTCCACAGATTTTCGTACCAAAAGTGGTTCTAAACCAGGATTTTAAGGTTGAATTTTCTGAATTGGTTCTGAGGCTTCCGGAATTGGCTAATTTGATTGGATTCAAAGACACGGCTGACTTCTTTCTAGAAGTAAAGAGAGTGCTGGTAGTCCACGTGGGAACTGATTATAGAGACGTGTAAAAAATCTGCACTGCATAATCCCAGTCAACCATTTATTAGAAGGAGCCAAATGACCCTCTGTATGAAACTTTCAAACAATTTGGGGGAGACTGTGGGATATAATGACATTGGTTGGTTGCTCCTCCTGTCTCACTGGACAAAGTGGGAAAAGAAAAAGGTGAGCTGGGGACTTGAAATCCCAACTGAAGCAGCATAAAAGGACCTAGGAGCCTCTAGGTGTGCTCTGAGGGAGGGCCTCCGTCCCTGTAGCCTCAGGGCTGGAACTGCTGAGAGCAAAGGTGGAGCCACCTCCTGTGATTGGCTGAACTATGACACAAGTTGGACTCCTAGCCCTGTAGGGTGTTACAGTTCCAATAAAGACACTGCCTGGGAAAGACTGGGATCCTGCAAGTTGTAATGCACACGTGGGAAACCCTGCGGAAGCTGAAACACCAAGCCCCTAAATTCTCCCAAACTTTCTTCCTCCCCCCCAACAGTGGCCTCCCACCTCAGTGGCCTCCCACAGTAGTGGCCTCCCACCTCAGTGGCCCTCCACCAACAGTGGCCCCCCCTAGAGTTGCCCCCCAAACAGTGCTGTGGGCCTTTCGGCCTCCATCAGAGTGGATTCATCTGGCACCACCAGAGGACCAGGTAACGACCCCCCTGAGGCAGTTACCCTACAGGAGGCTGGCCAGTCTCCTCAGGACCCACCGCCGCCATCCCTCCTTGCTTCTAGGCCTGTAACGAAAGTCCTGGCAGACCCCTAAAGGGCAACAAAGCATGACTGGTGAGGAGATGTGCCATGCCCCAAATACTTGAGTTTTCGAAGCTACGGGAGCAGAAATCCAGGGGCCGTGTGTGGTAATGGATATTAAAGGTGTGGGTTAGTGGTTCAAGCGTCGTAAAGACAGATCAGGCTGGATTTCATGATGCGGGCTCACGAAGCAGAGACCAGGCATGAAGGCTGCACTCAGGGAGTGAGAAAGAGGATCTAACAGTTTGCTGGGACAGTTGCCTGAAATGTGGACCGAGAGGCAGCTCCAGAGACGAACAACGCCCCCAACCCTGAACTGAGAAGCTAGTATAGTTACCATGGTAGGCAGCGCACCAGAGCAGTGATCGGGAGAGTCTGACTCAGCAGACCTAGGCACTGGCTAATTGTCGTGGTGTCCCTAGAAGTGAAATAAATGGGAAGCCTACTAAACTCTTACTTCATCTGTACAAGCAGAAAAGTTCTACACAGGTGATCAACGTCTAACTTGAATAAAAAAAAAAATTACGGACCCTCAATTTCCAGACTTGAGCCAGTTTATGGACCTAAAACTCCTTGAATGAAGGGGAAGTTGGGTCCCTTTGAAGAAGGACCCTGGCACACTGTTAAAAATTTATACTATTCATCTTTTTCCTAGCCTTCTCAAAAGGGACCTATGGCCTTGTGGCAGAGTAATTATGCATGAGAGAAAAGGAAATAATTAGACCTTTTGGGAACAACTGGCCCCTGGCTCTGAACTAATTCTGGGAGACCAAAACATCACTGTGGCCCTCCAGTCGGAGTAGGGGCTCATGGAGGCCAGATGGCCAACGGAGTTTCAGCTCAGCTCTGTCTTGGTGGGTCTCAAACCCACCCTGTGGTTACTCCTCCAGTTCTGAATGCATAATTAAAAGACACACTCAGTAGCTGGCAGAGTCCCCACCTGACCTGTGGGCCAGGGTGATTATGGTTAGGAGAGCCAAGTGGAAGCCACCAGAACTGCCTCTACCTAGGAAAGTAGTAATTCAAAAGCAATACTCCATCCCTGGACGAACTGCAGAGATTGGTGTCACCACTAAGGACTTGAAAGATGAGGGGGCAGGGGCAGGATTCCCACATCTCCATTCGATTCTATCTGGCCTGAGAAGACAGACGATCTTGGAGAATGACAGTGAGTTAGAACAAGCTTAACCAAGTGGTGACTCCACTTGCAGCTGGTGTTCCAGATGTGGTTTTATTGCTCAAGCATATCAGCACGCTCCCTGGTTCCTGGTATGTGGCTATCAGTCTAGCAAATGCATTTTTCTCCAGCCCTGTCCATGAGGCCCAGGGTCAGTGTGCTTTCAGCAGCTGAGGCCAGCATACACCCCTTCACTGTCCTGCCTCTTGGGTATATCATCTCCAGCCCTATGCCATAATTGATCTTGCAGGTTCCATCACCCTGTGCTTACTTACACAAGACATTACATGGGACCATTACATTGATAATCTGTTGATAGAACCCTAATGAGTGAGAAGTAGCAACTACTCCAGACTTCAGAGAATCCAAAAACACCAAACAATACTCCATCCCCTAGGAATCCTATATTGGACGGTTGCTCTCCTATTTTGTGTTGGTGGAGTGCTAATGGGCTTGGCCAATCAGAACACAGCATTCCTTCAGGTGCAGCAACAGAATCACGTGCGCTGTCCACTCTTGGTCACAGGCTCAGACAGACAAATCTGAAGAGGCCACCTAGTCCGGCTTTATCCAGGCCACGGGGTAGGAAACACCATGCACTAGCAGGGGAACATCGGGGGAGCCTACTCTGATCTAGATGCTATTCTCTGGTCCCAAATGGAGCAAGAAGATAAGCTTCATCTGTGCTCCCCAGGGACCATTATCTCTAGGAATGGCCCTGGGGCACAGTGTCCAGAGGTTCCAGCGAGAGACCTGTCTGGTCAAAGAACCACTGCATGCAGAGAAGCCCAGAGCCATGGCCTCCTGCCAGAGGTTTCATTCACTCACAGTCTTTGCAGCCCAGATGCCTGCAGTGTATGACAAATCATTTGGGCCTAAAAAATGTGGCCCCAGACAGAGCTAACATTCCACATTTATCCAGAGAACAGAGCTGGAAGGAGGGTAACTGAAGCATTCTCACATAGAAGGGGAGAGGGTTTTGTTAACTCAACTGACAAAAGCAGAGCACGTTAGCCAAGGTAAACCAATCAAAGTTGTCCCCGCAACTTTTGCTGAAGCTGTTAGAAGATGATTGTCTCCCCAGGGTGGCAGCCTTGAGTTGCTGGTGGCCTTCTTTGCCATTGTGAGAATGAAGCTTGCACCAAGAAGGGCAGGGGTAAGAGATGGTGAGAGTGTCAGGTACCATCTGACATCTGGTCACCCCAATCCACTCACTCATGAAGCTAGTGCTACTTCTGAACTTTTTAGTTATACCTATCAATTCCCCCTAAGTTTAAGCCACTCTGGGTTGGATTTCTGGTGTCTGTGACTAAGGGAGTCCTGATTAATATATATATTGCTCAGTAAATTTGGTAGTGGAGATTAAAAGCAAAACAAAACAATACACAGGAGGGGAGAGGGAGGGGCTGAATGAGGTGGAGAGATAAGCGTTAGCCCTGATTCTCTGGTTGACTAAATTGGAGCAAATCCCTTCCTCCCCTGGCCCTTAGAAAGGGCTGAACCAAATGGGCAGGCAGTTCCCTACCTGGGCAGAGTGAGTCTATAGAATTCCTGGGCCTGAGGCTTCCTGGGCTGTGGGGGTAGGGCTTGCACCAGAAGACTTCTGTTCTTTTACACATCCACACTTCTAGGCTTTTGGGTAACACCTCATTTCAAGAAGGAGCTCTGCAAATAAAACCACCCCCTGGATGGCTTTTTAGGTTCCTTCTTCTGAAACCAACACTCTGAATCCCTCTCTCCTCCTGCTCAATCATTCAAAAAATACCCATGTGATGCCTACAGTCAGCAAAGTATCTGGAGAAGATGTGTAGGGTATTCGGAGAGAAGGTGCATGCCTGGGCCTGCAGGCCCTTGGCTCCCAAGGGGGAAATGGACATGGGAAGGACTGGATATGAATGAAATGAGCACAGGGGTATAGACAGCACAGCATGGGATGATTCCTGGGACTGAGGAATTCTGGGGGAGATGCCAAATCAGAGAGCTACAATGAAGGAGAAGGGCTTTGACCTGGCCAAGTACAGGAGAAAGGCACTCTGGTAGGAAGAAGAGATGTTAAAAGTTGAGGAAGGAAAAGTCTTAGGCTGGCAAACAAAATCAGAGGCTGGGTCCAATTCTGATCATCCAAGTGCCACGCCAAGGCCTGCACGACCTCATTTCACTCTTGGAGTGAAGCTACCACTTTTTTTCCCCTCCCTAAAAAACACACGTTTACCCGTACACTGCAGAGATGGCCCCGTACACTGCAGAGATGACCCATACACAGTTCAAAGGCCCCTTTGCCCAACGAACCCCAAGCTCCAAGCTGTCCTGACCAAGGCAATCGGCCTGGGAAGTGTGGCACCAAAGGCAAGTAGAAGGCGGAGTGTGAGGGAGGACCAGGGCTGTTGCAAGATCAAAGATTGTGATGCTGGTGAGCGGGGGGCCATTGGCTCCAGGGCAAAGGCCACTGGACAGACCCAGAGAAGGGATGAAGATTTGGATGACTCAGGGAGTGGAGTGCGGAGGAGGGCGCCAAAGCAGCTCCCTGATCTGCCCATAGGTAAGGACGCAAGGCTTCCAGAGCTTATGTGGCATGTCCAAAGTTGCACAAAACGAGGTAAAGAGCAGGCGGCTGGCTCCAAGAGATGTTCACTGTTCTAAGCTTTAGGTCTGGTCTGCTGGCTGGGGTAGTACACCCACACCTACACCCCCACAGTAGCTTAGGACAGGAAGAGGAGCCATGCAGAGGAGATGAGAGGCAGAGGAAGCACTGGGCACTCACCGCTGGAAGGAGGCCATGCGGTCTTTCAGAGCCTGCACAAAGGGGAGGATCCAGTGATGCCGCAGAACCACACTCTGGGACAAGCTGAGGTGGAATGCTTCCATCTGGACCAGCCGGGGTACGTATGTCTGTGCGTGGGGCAGCAACACATCAAGCAGGTCCAGGAACTCCTCCCTGGTTTCATCTGGAGAGAAGAGTGGATAGTGGGCCATTCTCTTAGCCAAGGTGGTGTGGCTGAATGAAGTATCCCAGAAGGCAGAGAAAGGATTTGTTACTCTGGGTTTTTTGGGGAAAATTACTTTGACAGCAGCCTAGCTGTAAGTATCTTAGTACAATTTTATGGTTATAGAAGTAACACACATATGCTCATTGTAGACAATTAAAAAAAAAAAAAGGAAATAATAAAAGGAGAAAGCAGGGCTCCCGAGATCCTATCACCTACAGCAGCAGTCTCCAAACTGTTGTGATCACCTGGGCCATTAGTCAAACAAACCTGCACGCACACCTCCATTAAACCAGTATTTATTTATAAATTACAAACATTCATGTTACAAAATTATATCCATTGCAAAATGCACACTCCTGAGAATGGAACTTTTATTTATTTACTTATTTAAAGTTTATTTACTTTATTTAAAGTTTATTTTTTTTAAAAGTTTATTTATTTTTTAATAATCTCCACACCCAATGTGGGACTCGAACTCATAACCCCAAGATCGAGTTGCACGCTCTTATGACTGAGCCAGCCAGGCGCCCAAAGAACAGAAACTTTAAAAAGATTCAGATAAAGGAGTTCTAATACTTTTCTTCCAGATGGATCATCTTAACCTCTTCCCCCGGGGGCATACACCCCACTTTCAGGATCACTGCTCTAGAGATCAAAACTGTCAGAAGTGGACACCTATCTCGCCAGCCCCCTCTCAGTGCAGGTACTAGTATATACATTTTATTTACTGAAAATATGAGACTGTACCATTCGAACTGTTCTTCCACCAGCTTTCTTCATGTAACACTACATGCTGGATAGTCTTCCTCTCAGGGCAGAGGGCAAGCTCATGATCACAGCTCCACAATAATCCGTAACTTACAGTCTCCTCTTAGACATTTAGAATCTCCTGATAAACGTTTAGAATGCTTCCGACTTTTCAGAGAAAAAGAACTACAATGACCACCACTGTATGCTCATATATGCTGCTGCTGCTTCTTTTTTTTTTTTAACCAGACGTAGGACTGGAGCTGCGTGGTTAACAGTCTGCTCACACACACCGTGAGTCACTTTTTCCAAATGCCCTGGTGAACAGGCAGTAGAGAGAATCACTCTCCTTCTGTGGATGGGGAAATGGGGGTTCTAAGAGTTGACCAGATCTAACATAAAGTACTAAAAGCCACCACCTGCTCTGTGCATTGTGCTAAGAGCTTGACATAAACGATCTGATTTAATCTTCACAAAAGTTCTAAGACATACAGATTTCTATAATCTCCATTTTAGAGGTAAGCAAAGTGAGGCTCTGAGAAGTCCAGTAACTTAATAAAGGGTGCTCAGAGTAGTGGGTGGTGAGGTCTGACCCCTAAGCTTGGGCATTTTTTTTGCCTGCCACTCACTCATGAGGGCTGGGGGCGGGGGGTGGGAGGGGGACCTGGCCTCAGCACATCTAGCACATCTTAGAAAAAAACCTATCAGCCATTCTCGCACTCCAGGATGGCCTTGGCATTCTGCTCTAGATCCTTCCCTAGTCACCCTCCTCATAAGTTGGAAAACACTATACCAAGGGTTAATAAAAAATATTTCAGGCAACGAATTTGAAACTGAAAACAAGTTTACAGAAAAATTCCCCAATTCCCTCTCTCTGTTAAGTCCATCTCTCTCCTACCCTCAACATCAGGGGTTTCTGGCTTCTTCCTCCTGATTGGGGCACCTATCAAGAGGCATCCCATCAGTCTCAGGCACTCGCCTTTTACACAGTACTCACACGGCACATAGACGTGGGTGGCCCAGTTGCCCCGCTCATGGGGGAAGGTGCGGACCCGGCCTCCATGCTTTTCAGGGTCATCCACAGGCTCCTCCTCTGTGTCCAGGAACATGTGCAGCACGCTGTCCGGGACTGGCAACCTCTGGCTGGGAAGTGGGCTCTGGGCACTGCAAGAGAGAAAAAGAGAACGTGCAAATTTATCCTCCTAGCATCCTCTACCTCTGCACCTACAACAAAAGTCATAACCCTTTATCCAGGTGCCATAGGCACCTTCTAGATAACCACAAATCTCTTTCAGTGGTACTGTCTCACTGGGGTCTCCCAACAATCCCCCCGGAGGCCGACTTTAGCTGGGAGCGTGGTTCCCACAGGAAACAACTGGGCAGGCAGCAGTGTGTGGTTCAGAGGTCACATTCCCTAAATGGACAAGCCTGAACTGGAGTAGAAGTGCTTTGGGGTCTTGAGCAAGTCACACATACTCCGTGGGCCTCAGGGTCCTCATCTGTAAAGTGTACTTGACAGAGCTATTGTGAGATGGCCCGGGTACTGCTGCTTGAAAGGCACTCCTCAAAGCACCAGGCGTGGCACCGGACAAGTGAAGCTCCACGCAGTCCGACTTCCACGGCTTGGTTCACTGCCAGGTGTGCCAGCCCCAAGCCTGGCGCGGGGCGGGCGCTCCACGAGTATTTACTGGCGAATGAAAACACTCTCCAAGGGAGAAAAACAGACCCAGAGCGGTGCCGTGGTGCTCGCCAGGAGATCCAGGCGGCCAGCGCTGGGGGCTGGACCCAAACCCACGTTTCCTGCCTCCTAGCCTTGGCCTAGCCAGGTGGGAGCACCTGGGGCCGTGTCCGGGGCTGTCCTCCGGATCCTCCTTCCCTGGCGGGACGCCCCGCACCATCATCGCCCCTTTCCCCCCAGACCCTCGGGTCCCGTCGGGGTGTCGCGCAAACCAGCAAGCTCCCCAGGAAGACCTCCTCGCTCCTTACCGCCCGCAGCCGCCAGCACCGGGCTGCGCCTGGGCCCCGGCCCCGGCCCCGGCCCCGGCCCCGGCCCCGGCCTCATCCTCCGAGCCGCTGCTGCTGTAGCCCACCAGGGGCGCCGCGCTCATGGGGCCTCCTCCAGGACGACGCGCAGCGACCGCGAGCGCCCGCACCCGGAATTCCGCCGCGCCGGAAGTGCCCTCCGGGGGCGGGCCCCGGGCTAGCCCCGCCCCTGGGCGGGGCCTGGGGGCGGGGCCCGCGGGACCCCGGCGGGACTCCCGCCCAGGCCGCGCCGTCTGCCGGCTCGCGGCGCCTCGACGGCTCCCTGCAGCCTCCCCGAAGCCCCCCGCCTTCCCCCCAGCCTCTGTGCGCCCATTTCACAGATCGCCCCGGGCCCTGCCCTCTGTGCGCTGCTCTGTCAGCCATCCGCGACCAGACCTCCCTGGGTCAGCGGCCGGCGCCCTAGGCCCCGCGGAGACCCCTGCCCTCGAGGCCCGGGCGGGATCGGCGGCCCGGGAGTCCCCTCCTCAAGCCGGCCCAGGTCCGAGCGCCAGGGCCCGCGCTCCTAAGAGCAAGCCGAGCAATCAGAGGCGAGTCCGTTCCGGGCGCTCCGAGGGTCTGGGAGGCCCGCCTCGCAAGCTCGGGCGTCGGGCCGCGGGTCGGGCCGCGGGACCCCTCCGCTAAGGCCGAGCAGGTGGGTCGGAGCCGGGCGCCCTCCCGGGTCCGCCGGCGCGTGCGGGCAGCGCCCCTGGAGAGCCACCCCGCGCGCCCGGCTGTCCGACCCGGCCCGGCCGCGGGGTCCCCGGCAGGGGGCGGCCTCGCTCCGCGCCGCCCGCTCCTCCCGCAGCCGCCGCCGCCCCGGCCGCCGCTCCTCCCCCGGCCCCCGCTCCTCCCCCGGCCCCGCCTCCCCGGCCCCCGCGCCGCCCGCCCGTCCGCCGGTCTCCGCAAGGCCGTCGGTCCGTCCGCCCGCCCTCCCGGCGCTCCTCCGCCCTGGCCCCGCGAGCCCGGCCGCGCACGTCGCCTCCTCGGTTCCGGCCGCCGCTAGCCCGTGCCCCGCCCCCGGGCCGGCCGCCGCCGCTACTCGAGGCCGGGGATTGGCAGTGCGCGTAGGCCGCGCCGCCGCCGCCGGAGCCGGAATAAAGGGGCGGCCGAGAACGCAGCCGGTCGCACTCGCCCCGCGCCTGACCCCGCGGGCGGCCTGGAGCAGGTGAGCGGCGGGGCGCCCGGGCTGCGGCGGGGGGCCACTCCCGCGCCCGCCGCACCCCTTCCCCAGCCGGCCCGCCAGCCTCCACCACCACCTCCCCCCTCCGGCCCGACCCGGCGGCCTCCTGAGCTCCGGGGCGGCCCAGGCCAGCCTGGGCGGGTAGCGACTAACCGGGCCCAGCCTGCGGCCCTGGGGCCTTCGTCGGGCCCAGTCGCCCGCGGGGCCGGCCGAGCGCCGGAGAGGCCTGGCCACCACCGGGGAGGGCTGACAGCAGGCAGCCCCGCTGGGCCGCTGGGCCGCTGGCGGTGCCGGCGGGAGGTGATCGCCTTTCATTCGGTTTCCCCGGGGAGGAGGCAGGGCTGGCGTGGGGCGCAGGTGGGGGCCTCCCTTTGCCTCCCTTACCCTAGCCTCTCGTTGCGGAATGGTCAGAGAGGTCTCCAGGCCGCACCTTCCTGGAGAGGGCAGGGGTGGGCAGGGGTGGGCGGCTGAGCTGGGCACCAGGACCCTGGTTCTGGTCTGGCAGCCATTCATGCCGCGGGGGGGGGGGGGGGGGGGAATCACCTGGGTTGGCGCACCGGGACCTAGACTGTGCTCAAAGGAGCCCCTCTTCCTTCTTTCCTGGGGAGGCTTCCTACCTGCTTGCTCAAGCAACCTGCTGCATCTGCCCGGGGCAGCGGCGCCTTTCCTCCTTTCCTTCCTGGAGGATGCTGTGGATGACAGTTTTTTACCCGAGTCTTCGGTTTCTTTGGCAGAACAGTTAGAGGCACGGCTGGCATGTGAAGGCATCCCCCCCCCCCTTTCCCTCAGGAGAAAACTTAGAAACTTTTCAGTGTTTGAGGCAGAGGAGCTGGAAACCTGAAAGTGGGTTGCGTGTAATTCTAAAAGTTCCTCCCTCTCGCTGTCATTACCTTATGCTGCCACAAAGTGGTGAGTTAGAGATCTGCCTGGGCTGGGTGTTCTTTACCTTCCATCGATTACCCAAAATGTTATAGAGTTTTGGAGCAAGGGAACAAGGTCATCTCTGGAAAGGTTGTCTTTTCCAGGTTGTCCTGGGAGAAGGAGAAATGCTCTGTGGTTAGCATGCTACCTGCCACATTGCCCAGGCAAACTCCTAATTGCCTACTTTTCCCCGCAGGGAATCTTCCTTGGCACGGTCAGATTCAGAAGATTTAGCAGTTTTGGCTGCTCTGGGAGTTAACGAGAGTGGGGATGTTGTGCTGTGGAGACCTCCAGCCTGGGTGGGTCTCTGGACCTATCATCCAACCCCCATCATACATTGGCTTGGGTCTCTGCAAGGCCATCCTAACTATTGTGTGGAGTGAGAAACAGGCACATAATCAGGATAGAGGGCCTGGGGATAGTTGAGAGGGATGTTGGTCACCCTTCACAAAGTAAGTTTTTTGAGATGGTCCTCATTTCCTGTAGTTGTTTTAAATATTGGCTGCCTGAGGCCTTTTGCTGTTTGGGCCCTCAGGTCTGGGAGGCCTGATTCTCCGGCCCAGCAGGCTCTTACCCTGAGCAGCGATGTGCTGGGTTGAGATACAGGCAGCCAGGGGAGAGGAGCTGGAAGGCATTGGGGAATCCTCCACCAATGCCTCTCTGCTTTTATCTAATAACGTATTGGGCTTCCAAGTAAGAATTTTATTTGCAAAAAAAGTCATGCTGCTGAAATTGGTTTGGACGCCATGGCCCTCTTTCTTCCTTTGGAGCATGAGCAGAATTTATGACTTCTTCGTATTATGGGCAGACCATCGCAGACCCTTATCTGTGAGATAGTTGACTAAAGAGAGCTGGCGGTAGGCTGGGAAGCTGGGAGGCTCCCTTTGCTGGAGGGGCTGAGCCACCAGCAGACTTCTTTGCTCGGGTATGAGGAGAGCTGGTCTTCCAGCCCTGAACCCCCCTCTCTTCCCTGATGTGGCAGTGGTGTGGGCCAAATGGAGAGGCCCAGGGACCAGCTGCATATCCCTGCCTCAAGCTCATGATTTTTCTCTTCTTTCCAGAACCAATCATCCTGGAAGGCAGAGCCCGTCTGGCATTGCTGGCACCTTGCCTCGGAGAGCTCTCCCATCCTGTAGGCAGAGCCTCATAGTCTGTGTTGGTTAATGACTTGGGCCGTCTGATCCGTCACTCTTCCGTGCCTTGTCTGAGGTTCTGGTCCATACCTGATCCTGGGCAGCTTCTCTGTGGGTTGGATCACCTTAAGTGGGAAACTGAAGCCATTACTCTCCAAACCCTGTTTCATCTTCCCAAGCATGTCCGAAAGCTGGCAGCAGCCACCACAGACACAGCCACAGCAGCCACAGCCACCACAGCCTCAGCATCATGCAGAGCCACCTCCGGCCCTGGCTGAGCACACACTGCCCCCAGGCTCAGCGGAGAACCCCCTGGGCTGTGCCGTCTATGGCATCCTCCTGCAGCCAGACCCTGGCCTACAGCCCCCTCAGCATGCGCCCCTGCAGGTGGCAGGTGAGCCAGGCCCCAAGTGCGGTGTGTGTGGTCACGACCTGGCACACCTGTCCAGCCCACATGAGCACCAGTGCCTGGCGGGCCACGACCGCTCATTTCAGTGCACGCAGTGTCTCAAGATCTTCCATCAGGCTACTGACCTGCTGGAACACCAGTGTGTGCAGGCGGAACAGAAGCCTTTTGTCTGTGGTGTCTGCAAGATGGGCTTCTCGCTGCTCACCTCGCTGGCGCAGCACCACAGCGCGCACAGCGGCACGAGTGGCCTTGTGAAGTGTTCCATCTGTGAGAAGACCTACAAGCCGGCTGAGGCGGCTGAGCCAGCCGCCACTGCTGCCACCTCCCTGCCCCCGGCGCCCCCGCCGGCTGCCGTTGCTCCTGCCACTGAGCAGGCCGACAAGCCCTACAGCTGCCCCATCTGCCAGAAGCCCTTCAAGCACCTGTCGGAGCTATCGCGGCATGAGCGGATCCACACTGGGGAGAAACCATACAAGTGCACATTGTGCGACAAGAGCTTCAGCCAGTCGTCGCACCTGGTGCACCACAAGCGCACGCACAGCTCCGAGCGGCCCTACAAGTGTGCGGTCTGCGAGAAGACCTTCAAGCACCGCTCTCACCTGGTGCGCCACATGTACGCACACTCGGGTGAGCACCACCTGTTCCGCTGCAATGTGTGCGAGCTGCACTTTAAGGAGTCCTCGGAGCTGCTGCAGCACCCCTGCACGCCAAGTGGGGAGCGGCCCTTCCGCTGTGGCGAGTGCCAAAAGGCCTTCAAGCGGCCATCGGACCTGCGGCAGCACGAGCGCACACACAGTGCCGAGCGGCCCTTCAAGTGTGACCTGTGCCCCATGGGCTTCAAGCAGCAGTACGCGCTCATGCGGCACCGGCGCACACACAAGACGGAGGAGCCCTTTAAGTGCGGCCTGTGTGAGAAAGGCTTCGGGCAGCCTAGCCACCTGCTCTACCACCAGCACGTGCACACCCTCGAGACGCTCTTCAAGTGCCCTGTGTGCCACAAGGGCTTCGACCAGTCGGCTGAGCTGCTTCGGCACAAGTGCCTGCCAGGCGCGGCTGAGCGGCCCTTCAAGTGCCCCGTGTGCAACAAGGCCTATAAGCGGGCGTCGGCCCTGCAGAAGCACCAGCTGGCACACTGCTCGGCGGCCGAGAAGCCCCTGCGCTGCACCCTGTGCGAGCGCCGCTTCTTCTCGTCCTCAGAGTTCGTGCAGCACCGCTGCGACCCGGCGCGCGAGAAGCCGCTCAAGTGCCCGGACTGTGAGAAGCGCTTCAAGTATGCGTCTGACCTGCAGCGGCACCGGCGTGTGCACACGGGCGAGAAGCCCTACAAGTGCCCCAACTGCGACAAGGCCTTCAAGCAGCGGGAGCACCTCAACAAGCATCAGGGTGTGCACGCCCGGGAGCAGCAGTTCAAGTGCGTGTGGTGTGGCGAGCGCTTCCTGGACGTGGCCCTGCTGCAGGAGCATAGCGCCCAGCACAGTGCGGCCGCAGCTGCTGCAGAGGGCGCCTACCAGGTGGCTGCCTGCCTGCCCTGAGGGTGGCCCTGAGTGCGCCAGCGCTAGGCTCCCCCCACCATGGTCCCCGCTCCCGGGTCCACCCATTGAACCCTCCCCCTTCTTCCCACCCCTGTCCTCCCCGGCTCGGTGGTCTGAGGCCCTGGGCCTGAAGACAGTGGGAGTTGGGCTGTGCAGTTGCAGGGTGTGGGTGCCTGGCATTCCTGGTTTTGGGCGGGAGGTGGTGGTTGGGTAGCCAGATTGCTGTGGCTGAACCTGATCCCAAAAACCTCTTTCCCTTTATGGGATTCCTTTTCTTGAGAGCCATCAGCCTCCCTCGTCTCTGGGGGCAGGAAACCAGGCTGGAAGTCAAGTGGCCTCTCTTTACCCCACGGAGGAATGGGTGCTGGCCCAACCTTCCCAAACTCTTTAGCCTAACTAGGAACCAGATAGGTTAGGAAAGAAGACGATGGCCTGGGACAAGGGCTGGGTCCTATAGGTGGGCTGGATATAGGGCATCCTCCTTCAGGTTGCCATTTGATGAAGGCCAGCTTTGTGATGCAGTCCTGGGGACCACGAGGGCGGACGGTGAGCTGCAGGCCTCTCTGCTCCAGCTAGGGGCAATGTGGCCTCCCGGGTTCCCACAGTGAGACATACAGGAGAGCTGCACAGCTGTGAGCTGGGGCTGCTTGGAGAAAATCGGCCCAGCCAGAAGGGAGGAGGCAGAGAAATTCTCCCATGACACACTCAGCCAGGGACAGTGCCATCCACAGGGAAAGGACGAAAGGCAGCTTTTGTAACATTGCTGTTCAGAAAGCACCCCTCCTACCTTTGCAGCATGGTTCCAAGCTCTGGGGAATGTGTTCTCAGCCAGACAGAACCACTGTAGAAGAGATTGTTAGATGTTAGACTACCTTGGTGCCTGGGAGGAAGCAGGGCCAAGCCCACAATCTTACCAGTGGATGCACACAAGTGTCTTCCCCCTTGAATGTGTGAACCAAAGTGTCCAGGCCTGGCTTCAAAAGCTTGCCCAGCTCTATTTCTGGGCCAAGACCAGGCCTGGGCACCCAGGGTGGGGAGGTGAATGAAAGGACTCTGAACCACAGTACTCTCCCTAGACCATGGTCTGGCTGCTGGCCTGGACCCCAGGGGTCTTGCACTGCCAAGATGCCCTGGATGACATCCAGTGACTTCCAAGGCTGGGGTCCTTCTGGGGTCCTTCTAGGTCTATGCCTGCCCACTGGGACTCATGGAATTGAGAGTGTCTGGGGTGATAGGGAGCAGGCCAGGGAAGAGGGCTGTGAAGGGAATCCATAGGTGCCTGGAGTTGAGGGAACTCAACTGGCCAGTGGGGGGGGGGGCATCCCTTGGGAAGCCCAGAGGACCTTTATTATTAAAATGATTCTTTTGAACCCAGCTGTGGCCCTGCCCTGCTCTCTTCCAGCCCTCCTTGGGCATGGGTCTTGAAAGAAGACTTCAATCAGTGCTCGCACCAAGGGCCCGGAGGAGCAATGAGGCCTGCCTTGTCTCGCTCTCGCCTTGAGAAGGCTGAACAGCCCACATCCGCCTCCTCTATGGGACTGGACTCCCTTCCTGTGCCTGCAGAGAGGGGCTGGGCCTTCCCCTTGGTGCTGGCTCTCAGTTCACAATGCCTCAAAAGACACGGAACCCAGGCCGACAACAGGCCCCAACTGCTAATTTTTCCCTTTCCTTTTGCTTTCTAAAAGCAGTTGTTATACTGTTCATAACATTGTATAGTTTAATTTCATGTCATTTTGGATCTTATATAAAAATGTGAAAATTTGGATTTTTAAAAAGAATGACTCCATTTTAGATAGCCTCTTTTGATGTTAATATATAGTGAGTCCAATGTATGCTTTAGAAGTAAAGACATTGACCATCACAGACCAAAGCACTGCTTGTTCTGGTCATTCTTCCACTGGGGAATGATGAGGCATGGAGAAAGAGAGGGTGGCAGGCTTGGGATTGGGACATAAGGCTGGGTTTGAATCCTGAGTTTCGAATGTTCTGGTCATATTGCTTTGGGTAAGTCACTCAACCTCTTGGGAATCAGTTGCCTCAATTGCCTTGCTTAGTTGCTGTGAGAATTGATGGCATCATGTTTGGAGGCCCCGTTGGGGAAGCTGTGAAGGCGCTGACAGTACTCAGGGCCTTAGGAAATAGGCCAGCAGCCTATTTGGGTTAGACCCCTGCTAGGGGTCTAACTGCAGCCCATGCAGGGGGAGCCGGGCTGGGAGGGACAGGCAGCTTGTGGTCAGAAGCCGGGAACCTGGCCTGGTAAGTGTGAGCACTTGCTCTGCCCCGGTGGGAAGCCAGGGCTTGCCTGGAGCAACAGTGGCCTCAGTCAGATGCCCTGCCCCATGGGGTTGCCTGCCCTCGCCCACTTGTACTCATGCTGTCACATGGCCATCCATCTGTGGGTCCAGCCAACTGTCTCCCTTCTTGGCCTTCCAACCCACCTTTCTTCTGTTCCCCTGCCCTAGTCCCCCAGTGGGTGAACTGTGACTCAGACTCCTTCCATTTCTCAAAAGCGGAGTTGGGGAGAGAGGGAGAAACAGTCTCCCCAGGTCAGGACATCTGAGAGCCAGGGGAGGGTGCTAAGCAGGGTGGTCAACACCCTGGCCTGGAGGTGAGGGGTGATGAGAGTAGAAAGTCAAGGGGACAAGAAGCTGCCCATGCCACAGGGAGCTCAAAATTAGGTGCAGACGGATAGTGGAAAGGGTAAGGGGGACCCTAGATGTGACCTGGACCCCACAGTCCCCTTCTTCCCTCTGTGTGAGCTCATGGGAGGACTTCCCTTGAGGATGTGTGTGGGTCCTTCCTACAGGCATCCACTTGTCAGCCAGGCTTCTTTTTTTTTTTTTAATATTTTAATATATTTATTCATGAGACAGAGGCAGAGAGACACAAGCAGAAGGAGAAGCAGGCTCCCCACAGGGAGCCTCATGCAGGACTTGATCCCAGGACCCGGGGATCATGTTCTGAACCAAAGGCAGATGTTTAACCACTGAACCACCCAGGTGTCCTGTAGGCCAGGCTTCAATCCTGCCCTCTTTTCTAACTGAGTGACCTCAAGCAAGACCCACACACCTTGCAGAGACTTCTGGAAAGCACTGGCATGTGTTTGGTACTCTAGGGCTTCAGATTCCTTTCCTGAATGGACAATGGTCTAAGTGTGCCTGGGGCAGGAGGAGCCCAGGCCGGCACGGCTGAGCTCACATGGAGCCTGCAATGACTTTCTCTTGCTCTGTGCCCATCCTCACCTCTGCCTGCAAAGCAGTGGGGCTCCTACAGCCCCCACTTGGCCCTCAGGCTCTGGCCTCCAGCCTGCGCTAAAACCAGGGCAGTGAATGGAGCCTGAGAGCCTGGAGGTTCAGGTTCAAGTCCTAGTCATTTGATAAAAAGTGACCCCAGGCACTCTGTGGTCTTGGGGCCTCAGTTCCCCATCTGAAGCAGAGGTCTTGACCCTGATCTCTGACGGTTCTTAGAGACCTGACACTCAGATTCTGGGAGGGTGACAGGATTAACCCTTGTCTCCTCTTCCTCTCCCAGCCCCTCCTGGCCTCCAGCCTGTGGTCTTCCTGTCTCAGTCTGGCTTCAGTTGTGATAGAAGGAGCACAGACTGGCATAAGCAGCTGTTGCCTGCAGCTGACTGCACCTCCCACCAGTCTGCCTGGGAGCCCCGCCATCTCCTGAGTCCCATAGCCGATGTGAGCCTCCCTCTTGTAGAGCCTAGCATTTTCACGAGGGGACTTCAGACGTTGTGACGAGGGGTGTAGACTAGTATTACCTCCTTTAGTCTGGGGAATTGTTCCCTTTGCTCCAACCACTGACAAGATAGGAAGAAGGTAGTATCTTGGGGTGAGAGGTGACATCTGGATGACAACCAGAGCTGGGAGGAGCAGGAGGGAGAGGCTGACATAAGCCTCCCAGTTTGGAGTTAGTAACTGGGGAGCGTGAGGGCACAGTGAAATGGCCTGTGTGAAGGGTTTGGCAGGTAGTGGCCACTCGGGAGAGCAGAACTATCAGAGGTCGAAAGTGGGAGGGAGCCGGCCTAACTCTTCCCTCTGACAGTCAGGGCTCTCCCCACCCCACCCTGACACCCTATGCATAAGACCTTTCCCATCCACCAGCCGGTCAGATCCTCATACCATCTCCAGGAGACGGGCAGGGCAGACCTGAGTATTCCCTTCCGGCTGACCCTTGAGAAGCCCTGGGGCTGCCCAAAGCCACGTAGTTGGTGACAAAAGATGCCTGCAATTTTGGGGGCTGGCCCGGTGGGAACAGACAGAGGGAAACGGGACAGCCCTTGGGTCTGAACCTCACAGGCCTCCAGCTCCAGCCGCTGAAGTCTGGGGCTCTGGTTCCACCGCACTCTTTGCGGGTCGGGAAGCTGGGCACAAGGGCTGGGACCCGCGCCGGCATGCGGGATGGCCAGGGGAGCAAGAGCGCTCTTCACCGGCTGGCAGAGGGGGCGGCCAGCCCTCTGGTGGGCCCTGGATTCCTTGAGGGATTAAAGCAGCCGTGCTCTGTCTCCCATCTGTGCAGAGGCAGCTTTGTAAAGAGCCTAGACCTCCTTAGACGCCTTTGGGAGTCTTCTGTCTCCAGCCCTCCATCCTCGCTTCTACCTCCCTGCCTCCTTCCTGCCTCCAGAGCAGGCCGCAGACAAGAAGACTGTGGGCTGCCCAGGCCTTGGACATCTGCCCAGGGCCTCCCAGCCTGGGGCAGGCTCTGCTGGTGATACCACAACCCATCCTCAAACGGTTGCTTTCTTTGTTCCTTGAGGCTCAGGCCTCCAGGAAGAGCTTTGGCCGCATTGATTTTCACAAATCTACAAAGACTCCGAGGCCCAGAATGCCCGATCCCCCTCAGGGCCCTGAGGAGGTTGAGGAGAGGGGTGGAGATTGGGGGGCACCCGCAGGGTCTCCCTTTTCCCTGTGTGTGCATCCCCAACCTACGTCTGCATTCCCGCCTTTGTTCCCCAAGGGCTGGTACTGCAGGGCACGCAGCTAAAACTTCAGAGGAGAGAGCATTGAAGTTTTCATGTATCAAAAGGTAGGGTTAGAAAGGTCAGAGCTTCTGATTTGTAGCACAAAATATTACATGTGAGTCCTCCCTGACCCTCACCCCACCCCAATCCATCCCCATTGCCAGCCCCAGGCCCTGGGTGAGGATGTGTTTTGTGTGTTACTTTGTAACAAACATAGCCATTGCTTTGTAGAAGTTGTTTCATTTAGTCTAGATCTGTGTGTTGGTTCTGGGTGGTCTCAGGCCCCATTCTTGAGCCCTGCTGTTCACTCAAAGAGATAAAAAAGAGCCTCCAAGTGCAGTATTTCTTTAGAGACAACTGTGGGCCAGAGGCTAGGAATTGTTCTGTAGGCCTGGGGAAAATCGGTGGGGGGAGGAGGAGGGAGTGCTTGAGAGAGGCCTGCCTGGAAGAAGTGGCAGGATTTGGGTAGGAATAGATGAGGAAAGTATTTCTGGTGGGAGGAAGGCTTTGAACAAAGGTGGGGAGGCAGGCAAGAGCCTGGGTGTTCAGAACAGCAAGGAGGCTGATGGTGAGGTTTGTGTTGGGGGAATACATTGAGGCTCAGGGCCAAGGAAGTGGACTAGGGGACTGACCAGGAAGACCTGTGGGTGAGCCCATGGAGGCTGGACTGTTCCCAAGGTAGTGGGCCATAGGGAGGATTTCTAATGTGATCTATTTATGATGAGTCAAGAGCTCCTGAGGCTGAGGGGACTCCGAGGCCAGGAAACAGTGGCCCAGGCTTGGTGGGAATGGGGCTTCTGCCCATCTCTTGGCCTCCAGTTTGATCTCTTGGCTTCCATGTCCCTATCCCCAGGAAGCCCCGTCTGGTTTCCTCTCCACTCTTGACTGGAATCTCTCTCACAGCTGGAAGCCAGTGGAATGTGGTGGCTGCAAGCTCAAGGGTCAGGTAGGCTGGCTTCAATTCCCAGCTCTCCAATCACCAGCAGTGTGACCTTGGGCCAGTCACTTAACCTCCCTGAGTCCATATCATCATCCATAAAAGGGGTCTGAAATTATCCACCTCACGGTGTCTGTAAAATGCTTAATACATTACCTTGGCTTAAAAAATAGAAAGTGCAGGGGTGCCTGGCTGGCTCAGTTGAAAGAGTATGTGACTCTTGATCTTGGGGTCTTGAGTTCGAGCCCCATGTTGGGTATAGAGATTACTTAAAAATAACAAGAAAAAGTGAGTACTTAATAAGCCTTATTAACACTCATCTACTCTGCATTTCCTTTATTCTTGGGCACACATTTTTAGGTCTGTGGAATCAGGATTCAATGTACAACTGGTCACAAGAACCCAATTAAATTGCTGGTGCAGGTTACCATTCACAGTGTCTCGGGTTTGAGGAACGTGGTCACCCATATTCTCACCTTCCACTTTCATATTTGAATCAGTGTGGCCTGCCTTCCTCTTCCTGGACTGGAAGCACCTCCCAGGCAGGGATGGCATTTGGTCCGTGTCCTTCCTGCAGCCAGCATGGGGCCAGGCAAGGCCTCAAATGTCTGCTGGGCCAAATTCCTGGAGGGCCTTGCCCCGTCATTTGGTGTCAAGAAGGCAGGGCCAGGAAAAAGCTCCCAGACACTTGATTCCCTCTGGCATACTGAAGTGTGCTCTTTGGCTGTCCCCAGTCCCACACGGGCCAGGACTCCAGCATCCCTGCCATGATGTGAGCCTTGGGCAATTCTATCTTTTCTCTGAGTTGTTGTGTTGGAGGAGGCACTCAGGTTTGCAGAGTGTGGCTCTGGCACCCCAACGGGTTCTGTCAGTGGCTTCCCAAGGTTCAAGCCTGGTGGACCGCCCACTGGGCTGGGATGAAAGGGTTTCTTCCTGCATGAAATGGCAGGAGGCTGAGTACCTTCCCAATAGGCCCCCAAAGGAGAAGGGTTTCCGTGATCTGTTTACCTGTCTGCTCTGCCCCCAATGCTTCTTTTTTTTTTTTTTTTTAAGATTTTATTTATTTATTCATGAGAGAGAGAGAGGCAGAGACACAGGCAGAGGGAGGAGCAGGCTCCATGCAGGGAGCCCGATGTGGGACTTGATCCCAGGACCCCGGGATCACACCCTGAGCCAAAGGCAGACGCTCAACCGCTGAGCCACCCAGGCATCCCACGCCCCCAAGCTTCTGCTCTATTGTCAGCAGAATCCCACACTTGAGAACAGAGACAGACACCCTGGTCCCTCACCTCAGTATAAGGATAGTAACCATCACCTCCACCCCTAAAAGAAATTAAAATCAGCCTAGAGTCTGTAAGGCAGGCTCTTTCTGCATTTTCAGATGACAATAATATAATTCACCTCCTTGTTTTTTTACCCGAGAAACAAAGGACCTCCCATTCTGAGAAATAATTTATTCTACAATATTGAGTATAAACTATAAGTGACCATTGTGTCAAGTGCCAGGACTTGCTTTGAGTCCTGAGTTGTGGGTTTGGCTGAAGTGAACTACTTCCCAATCTGGGCCTCAATTTTCTTATCTGTGATATAGGATAGCATTCATTCTGGTCACTTTTCAGAGTTTTTATGGGGCTCACGGCCAAAAAGTGATAATGAGTCACATGACAATGTATTCTGAATAGTGTAACACAGAGTCCAGAAATAAAAGGATAGTATTGTTCTTCAAATCCCTTCCACCGGAGACCTGGCTTGCATACAGCAGTTGCTCAGTAAATATTAGTGGAAGGGGCTGGGGAGGCTATAAGTCAGGGTTTCCTAACCTTTGTGGGCACAGACTATCCTGAGAATCAGATGAAAAGGAGCCTCTCCATGGGGAAATGTATGTGTGGGGGGGACAAGTTTCGTTTTTTTAAATAAAGATTTTATTTATTTATGAGACACACAGAGAGGAGAGACATAGGCAGAGGAAGAAACAGGCTTCCTGCAGGGAACCCGATGCAGAACTTGACCCCGGACCCCAGGATCATGGCCTGAGCCAAAGGCTCAATCACTGAGCCACCCAGGTGCCCCAGGACACACAGTGTTGCTCATAATTTCCAAAGGTTCGTGGATCCCTGAGGCCCCAGATCCTAGCAGCAGGGGTCTTGTCCAAATAGTCATAGAGCTTGGTGGCTATATGTCCTTGCAGACTGCCCACAAGCAGGATGCAGGTGGGATGTCTGGAAAGTCTGGGAGCTATGCATTGATCCTGGCTCTCTAATCCCCCAACCATGCCAGAGAAACTCTTCCTTAGCCCTTTGAGTGGCGTCATTCTGGACCTGGCCCAGGAGTGCCGATGGCTGTCGCCAGGACATCATGCTTTCCTTTCTGTAGTGCAGTGGACAGATGTAAGGGCTAGTCCTGAAGCTATGTGGACAGAATAGGCAACTCTTGCTCCATGCCCAGAGATGCATCTAGCTCCCCAGAGCCTGCCAGGCCGAGGGAAGCCCCCCGGATTATACTGGTCTGCTGAAAGCTTCCGAGAGAGGTATCTAAAATCCCTTTCAAAGTTCCTCTTTTCTCTTTAGGGACCAAGTTCAGAGCCTGAGGTGGAGGGGGCTTGGTCGTGGGGCTGCAAGCAGTGAACAAGGGCACAGGGGAAATGCAATTCCCAGGCTGCCTCTACACCTCACTCCCAGCTGAGTCTTGGGGTGCAGACCCTGGATCTCTACTTGGGGTCATGAGACATGTTTTTCTAGCCTCCGTACTGTCCTCCAGGAGTTGGCAGAGGGCAGGTACAGGTGTGTGCACGCACACACATAAACATGGGCCTGGCCTATTATTACTAGGTTTATTTCCAGTCAGGCTGAACTCTTAGGGAGATGAGTGATGCCACCATATACCGTCCGTCCTGCTGGAGAACCTGAGATGACATAGTCCAGCAGCCTGAGGCTTGGCTTCCTTTTCACAGATTAATGCCAAGGGGTCTGGTAGTTGACACGGCTGTGGAAAGAAGGAGGGCTGATGCAGGGGCCTCTAGGGTGTCCTGGGGAAAATCAGGCTGTCCTTCTGCAGGCCTGCCCCCCACCCCACCTTCCTGTCCTCAAGGCTCCGAAAACACAGCTTCTATCCTGCCTCTCCTGGCTCAAGAGCCTTCAACAGCTCCCTATTTCATTTTATTTCTATAATTTCTGAGACTCTGCTTGACTTTCAAGTCCCCTCCCCTTCCAGTTTGCCTCATCTTTGTTTCTCATTGATCCCCAGTCCTGCCCTGCTTTACTCATTTTTCAAACTTTTAGTGCACTTACTCTGGCAGGCATTATATCATAGTAAAATATCAGAAAGTGTTCCCCTATGTGTGCACAGGGTGGGTGAGAGAAGGTAAGCTTTCCATTGGTAACTATAATGCAATACTCTGCATGCTTATCAGATAGGGATGCACCTGTGGTGGCCCACCTTGAAGGTTTGAGCTGCAGGGGAGGGGCAGAGGGGCAGGGAAGGTTTGAAGGAGGATGGGACATCTAGGCTGGGCTTTCAAGAGTGAGGAGGAAATTTCCAGGCAGAGAAGGAAGGATCATCTAGGCCCTGAAACAGCACCGGCAAAGGCCTGGTGTACTTGGGTGTACTGGTACTTTGGGTGACACCAAGGAATTGTGGTACTGCTGTGGTGCAGGAAAGGGGGCTAGGTAGGTGGGAGATGGCCAAATGACCAAGATGCCTAACACCTTGCACTGTCCTGCTGGGAACAGGAGCCTCAGCCTCTCCCACCTACCCCCATTCTGGAAGGTGGACTCTAAGTTCTCTCTATCATGTTTCTTATATGTCTGTTTACTTCTCTGGCCCCTGATCTCCAGCCGGTAAGCCCTCTCCTTTTGGCCCAGCCTGAGCCAAATTGGGTGGGACATGCATTCTGCTCCCATCTCTCAGTAGGCCACACCTTGGGCAGGTGCAGATCTCTCTGGAGGGAAGCAGCTCGGCACCCCCATATCACCCAGGAGGTACCAATCCTTGGGTGAAGTGGAGTGGAGAGGGGTCTGAGAATGGCCTGAGCCCCGAGGCTATCTGGGCACCGCCCCTCGGGGAGTGGCTGGGTGTGGAGCGGGGCGGGGTCATTCCCCTACCTGTAGATTGAGCCAAAGCGTCGGAAAGCGTTCCTGTGGAAGAAGAGGAAGGTGAGCCCGAGGTGGGGGCGACCCTCTCTGGGAACCTCATTCCCATCTCGGGAGGCGCCATCCCACCGGGAGGATTACATTCCACCCTTGTCCCACCTAAGGCCTCTACTCCGAAAGGGTGGGGTTGCCAGGGACTGGACGACAGGATGCACCGTTTGATGAGAATTAAACATCTATCCATTTTGAAACTGCTGTTTTCTTGTGGTGTATTGGAACCAAGCAGTTTTCCCGGGTCTCACATATTCAAGGGTCCCTAAATGTGCTCTGAGGAAAGTGGCCAAGCCCTCATCCTCCCTCCTCCAGGTATGGGGTTCCAGGGCTTGTGGGGTCACTTACAGGGAGTCAAAAGGCAGGGGCTTCTGTCCGTAGCGGTCCAGGCTGGGGTTCTGGTTGAGACAGTACTGGCGCGGGCCAGAGAAATGGGGGGGCAGTGAGCCGAGGGGGACACTGGCCCCCTCCCCGGCCCCCACATCCCTCTCTGCCAGAGATCTTGGCCCTGGGGCCTGGAAAACTCTGCTCTGGGTGACCTCTCCCCTACCGCTCCGCGTGCTGGCCTCTCCTCCCCTACCTCCTGGTCCCCAGGGACAGGTCAGCGCGCAGATCTTCCTTACCCGCCAGTTCTGGGTCACCTCCGGCTTCAAGTACCGCACCGCGTAGCCGCTGAAACTCTCGCCTGCGGGGGGACCGCCAGCCTCCAGCGCCCAGCCAGTCCCGCCCAAGCCCCGCCCCCGGCCCAAACCACGCCCACACCTGTGGGAGAGCCAGTCCCGCCTCCACTGCCCCGCCGGGACCCGCCGCGCCCAGCGACCCTGCTCCCCCCGTACCGGGACGCGCCCCGCGCTCGGCCTCCTCCCAAGGGGCTCCCTCCGGCGGGACCCGGCCCCTGCCCCCTCCCCAGGACGAGCCCCATCTCTTTGTCCCTCTCCCCATCGCGGTCCTGCCCGCTCCAAGCGCCCCAGCTGCTCCTCCGCTTCCCCGCGGTCCTTGTCGCAGCCCACCCGATGCCCCCCGCCGCAGTCGGAGCTCCGGGTCTCCCCCAGCCCCTCCCCGAGGGCATCCTCCGCGCCCAGGAGACTGACCCTTCCTGCTCGGGCAGGGCAGCTTGAACTCGCCGGCGGCGGACACGAAGCGGGACCAGTCCTCAATGGCGCGTGTGAAGCAGGGCCAGTCCAGCCGGTTGATGCCTGGAGCAATGGGTACCAGCTTTCCCTCGCGGTACCTGTTGCGGAGTTTCTGGCCGGTCGCCGTGATGTCCTGCCGGGGCCATGGGAGTCAGGAACGCGCGGGTAGGTGCAGAAGCTTGGCGCGGGGGGAGGAGGGGGGGCGACCCAGTCCATCCTATAGACCGCAACAGACATCTTGGCCCGTCTGACCTGCACCCAGAGGTGCCTGACCCAGAGCCCGAGAAGCCCCCTAAAGGACATGGGAAGGGGGGAAGGGGCCCAAGCAGGCGGCTGAAGAACCCGAGGTACTCTGGGGCTGGGCGCAGGCAGGACCTTCACATCCTCTCTCCTGAGCAAACCCAGGGAGGTCCAGGAGCAAAGGACACTTACCAAGCAATGCAGGGGTTTGTTGGGGACACCCAAAAGTGTGAAGTGGGCGTTGTCAAAATCATCTGAAAAAGAGAAAGAAGAGATGTCTCCTCCACCAGCCCGTTGTGCACCCATTCAGGAGATCTTTGGCCCACACTGCTTCAAAAGTTTTTGGGAGTTTTTAACAACTTAAAAGAAAAACCAAGATTAGATTTTACTTTAAAAAAAAAAAGATTTTATTTATTCATGAGAGACACAGAGAGAGAGGCAGAGACATAGACAGAGGGAGAAGCAGGAGAACTCTGGGATCACGCCCTGAGCCGAAAGCAGACACTCAACTGCTGAGCCACCCAGGTATCCCTAGATTTGTACTTTTACAACAGATAAACTCCAAGTAGTTCAAAGATTTCAATGTAAAAGAATGAAACCATGAAAGTACTAGAGGAAAACATGTAAATTCCCTTATAACCTTGGGGTGGGGAAGGCCATACCAACTCACCCACAATCCAATGGCCAAAAAGGAAAGATTGATGACTTTGACTACATAAACATAAACTTCTGCTCAGCAAAACTGACAAGAATCAAAGGACAAATGGGGAAAAAAATATTCCCATTTAGTTTACAGATGGAGCAAATGCCCTAAGAATTGCTAGAAATCGAGACAAGAAAAGAAAAATGAGCAAGCCATATGCATAGGTGGTTCACACACAAACACAAGGAGTGCAGATGGTCCCTAAAACATGTGAAAAGACACTCAGCCTCATTCACAATAAGATGAGTGCATATTCAAACTACATTAAGATGCCAGTATTTGCCTATCAGATTGGAAACAATCCAAAAGTTAGTGCAGTTATTGGAAACAGTGACACTGCCCTAACATTGCCAGAGGAGCTATAAATTGATTCCACCCTATGGAAAGCAACTGGCATTATCTATCAGGAGTATGTGAGTATAAATTCATATACCTTTGGATTTAATAGTTCTACTTCTGGGAATTTATCCCACATTACAGGTGTATGACTGGCAAATGATGTGGGTAAAAGATCTGCCCATTTCAGCATTGTTTGTAGCAGAGAATGATGAAACAGCTCAAGTGTCTGTCATTAAAGGACTCATTAAATACCCTATGATACCTCCTTACTAGGCAGCTACTTAAAATAGAGGAAGTTCTCCATACGAGACCCTCCAAGATGCATGAGAATATATGCTGTATGCTATCTTTTGCTTGAAAGCCTAAAACTGAGATGATGGAGGCAGAGAAGAATATACATTCAGGTCACCACCTTAACCAACTCATCAAACTTTGCATCATGAATAGTGGGCTAATAGCATTACCTGTCTCCTGCTGAAGCATTAGGGCAAACATGGCATCCGCCACCTGTGCAAGATTCTGGCCAGCAATGTTTTACCTGGCTAACCAAGCCTGTACACCTAGTTTCTAGTTTACAGAAAACAATTATGGTAAACAACACTGTAAGGAAACAATCACTCAAATTCACAACATAGGACTGTATACAACATAACTGTTTTGAACTCTAAAGAAGTCGATATTAGGGAAAAATGGAAAGTGGCTGGACTATTTCAGACCACAAAAGATACATAACCACCAGTTGGAGTGCACAATCCTAGATTGCAGCCTGGTTCCAGAAAGATTTTAAAGCTATAAGACATCTTTAGTGGTCATTTGGGACATTTTAATATGGAGCAAAGAGTAGGTGCTATTATTGTTAACTTTCTTAGATGTGAAAATGGTATTATGTCATATAGGAGGTTGTTGTCACTGGGAACTGCTTGCTGAAGTGTGTGTGAGTGTGTGTGTGTGTGTGTGTGTGTGTTAGAGATGAACCAAATAAAGTAATAGATTAACTGGAGAAGGTGGAAGGCACTGGGTGTCCATAATATTATCCTTTCAACTTTTCTCTATGTTGGAACATATTTATAACAAAAAGTTGGGGAGCAAAAGAATATATGTTTGTATTCATATTAGTAAATAGTGGAAGGGTATGTTAGAAACGGTGGTTATCTGTAAGCACAGGTGGGTTGCAGTGGAGGGAGATGTACATTGTTACAACACTTTGAATTTTGAACCTGTGACTCTATTACTTTTTAAAAGGATTTTGTTTATTTGAGAGAGGAAGAGCACAAGTGCAGGGGGTGGGGGGCAGAGGGAAAGGGAGAAGCAGACTCCCTGTTGAGCAGGGAGCCTGACTCAGGACTCGATCCCAGGACCCTGAGATCATGACTTGAGCCGAAGGCAGACACTTAACTGACTGAGCCACCCTATTACTATTTATTTATTTATTTATTTATTTATTTATTTATTTATTTATTTTTCCTCTATCACTTTCTTAAAAAGCATATGCTTGCAATAAAATACATATCTAAATCAAGAGCTTTCCCTAGAAATCTAGATTCCTGACTTCCAAGAGAAGCCAGGAAATTGGAAGAAACGTGCTGAGCCTTCCCACGCAGCAGTCAGCGGGAGCCCCATGGCTGTTCCCCCTTAGAGGGCCAGGTGTGGGGGCTCCACTTCACCTTTCATCCCTCCCTCCTCACTGCTTCCCCACCCACCTCCAGCACTTTCCATGTTGGCCCCCCAGGGCTCTGCATGGGACCTCTAGGGATCTCCATGCAGTCTATGATACATTTGCCGCATTTGTCACCTGAGCTGGAACCTGGGTATGGTTCTAGACTTCCTACTCTTGCCCCTCATCCATGCTGCTACCAAATCCTGTCTTTATCTCCTAAATACCTTCCCGAGCCCTCTCCAGTGGCCAACACACTGTCACTCCTTCCTGAAGACTGTGGTCCCTTCGTGTCATACTACCCAGCCCCCATTCATCTTTGGTCCCTTTGGGCCATCCTCTACCTCTCCACCCCCAGATTGCTCAGACCTCATTCCTACTTCAAGTCTTCAGAACTTCCCCTGTGCCTCCAAGGTCCAGGCCTCTGAGCTTAGCAACAGTTCCCTCATCCCCAGCCCTGGCTCTTGCTGCCGCTCCAAACTTGTCCTTTGGCCCTACCAAACCCCTCAAGGTCCCCCAACACCTGGGGCAGGTTTTGCCTTCCAGGCCGCCTCACCCACACTGACCCTTCTAGCTAGGATACCTTTGTTTCCCTGCTTCCCCAGGAACATCAGGCACAAAGCAAGTGCTTAATAAATGTGCTGAAAAGGAAAGTGTATTCATTCACCCATCCATCCATTCATTCATTCATTCATTCACAGGCACCCCCACCTCTACACCCAAGCTCCTCAATCGATGAAGGGCTCTTCCTCGGGTGCATGCAGCCTTTTCATCCCAAAGGCTCTTCTCTCCTGTCCACAGCTCATTCATGGCAAGTGTGAGGAGGGTCTTTCTCTTCCCTTTCCACACAGCACATTGGACAGAAAACCTCACTATAACTTTATGATCATCCCTAGCACCCCGACTACTGACTTCACACTTCTCTCTCCAAGAGTAACCACCATTAGAGTATTGTTGAGCAGGTACTATATGCTTGGCACAACTTTAAGTGCTTCTCTTAGCTTGTTTATTTTTAAATTTAAATTCAATTAATTAACATATAGTATATTATTAGTTTCAGAGGTAGAGGTCAGTGATTCGTTGGTTGTATGTAACACCCAGTGCTCATTCCATCACACCCTCCCCTCCACCAACCCTCAGTGTGTTTCCTACGATTAAGAGTTTCTTATGGTTTGTCTCCTTCTATGATTTTATCTCGTTTTATTTTCCCCTCCTGTCCCCTATTCTCTTAGCTTGTTTCAATCTCACCATAATATGAGGCAGGCTCTGTTATCCCATTTTCCTAATAAGAAAGCAGAGGCTCAGGCCTGGGCAGGTCCCCTCTCCCACCTCCCTAACCCCTCACCCTCCCACCGTGCTTCTGGGTGTTCCCTCCACCAGGGCTCTCCCCCGAAACCACCCACCCCTTCCCCCAAGGCCCAGAGGCAGCCAGGTGGCTGGACCTTTGCGGCAGTAGGTGGTGGACTGGCAGTGCTCGTCGGAAAGGCAGGCCCTGACCGAGTCCATGTCCATGCGGCGCAGGCTGGGCAGAGCCGGGTGGTAGAGCTGCTGTTTCACGCCGGCCAACTGGTTGCGTGTCCGTTCCACAGGCAGCAGAATGGCCGGGGAGGCATACATGTGCGTGGAGCCGTCATCCCAGGGCACCAGGTCGATGATGCGGGCCATGGCTGGGGAGCAGAGACACCCCGACCCAACGCCCTTCTATAGGGTAGCACAACCCTGGCCCTGCAGATTTGTTTTCTTGTCCAACACGACTACCCAGAGCTGGGGGCTCCCATGCGGTGTTGGGGGCATTCAGACTCACGCCCACCCATGCACACACGATGTGCTAAGGGCTCTGATGGGTCAGTACAGGGGCTATGTGGTTGGGGATGGTCTAAAAGAGGATGCATAGGAGTCTATTCTTAATTCGTGAGCAGCAAATGGTTTCAGGATTTAGCTCAGCTTGCCTCTGGGTAGCTAATTATGGACTTCTGGCCTTAGCTAAAGTATCTGGCATTTACTCAAAATTCTACAGGGAGGCATAGGAAAGTTTTAAATCAGGGGCGAGGCATGAGAGATAGGGACTAGAAAAACATTGCTGGTTACTCAGCGCCTCCCTTTAAAGAGTGGCTATTCCCATGGCTTTTCAGTCATTGAAACTTCAGTGAGAATTTGTTGAGTCAGCTTGCTTTCTGCCTGACCCAGTTGGACGTGTGAGACGGAGGTGAGTTGTAGGTGGGAGGGAGGAGCGAGGACCTCAGATGGTGGAAGAGCAGGGAGAGGGCAAGGTGACTGGCCCTGGGGAAGCTGTCTTAGGGTGCGCGCCTGCCTGGGGGGGATGGGAAGTGGGGCAGGGACAAGAGGACACAAAGGACTCCTTGCTCCTCACCCTCTGACGGTGGCTACCTGGTCTGCAGGTGCACAGGTCTGTGAGGGTTCTCTGCTCTTCCGACTGCTCAGTGGGGAGAAGAGGCAGGGAGATGGGCTGGCCCCAGCACCTCATACAGTAGGAGAATAAAGGAACATTCTGCAGAGAGACAATGCCCATTGCCACCTGATTGTGAGGGCAACCCTGGCAACGGTAGGCTCCCAGGAGAGGAGCCAGCTACCTGGGATATTGTGCACTGGCTCCCACTTTCGGCTTTCCTGAAGGTTGCTGTCTTCTAGGCCTTAGCTCAAGCCAGGTGTGTTGAAAAATGTCAGACAGGAAGCAGGCCTCCCTGGAGGTGGCCCTGCCAGGGCGAGTCCTGTGTGATCCCGGGCTAGTCGCTATCTCTCTCAGGGCCTCACATGGCTCTATGTCAGGCAAGATCCTAGGCCCTGGCATGCAGGGTGACCGTGAGCCCTCCTGCAGACTTGAGAGCAGAGGGTACTGCCCTGCCTGCCAGCCCTTGGGTCTCCAGGGGTGGTGATTAGCAGTGGTCAGTATCCAGGGTCAGTATAAAGGGATCAGAGAGAGTGGTGGCCTCAGCAGGCTAGGGATTAACAGGTGATATCCTAGCCCTGGCCCCTTGCAGGCCTAGAGCCTCCCTCCCTCCTTCTTAGGAAAGAGAGGTCATGAGTGCCTAAGCCCGGCACGAAAGCCCTGGGACCTGCCCACCACCCCAGTCACAATTATTGGCAATGGACCCCAAGGGTGAAGAGACCCTGGGGAAAGTCTAGCTTATTTACCTGTATCCGTATATGCTCCGCAGACACCTGCCCAGGTGCTGAGGCTGCTGGGTCCTGGAAGACGCCCCTTGTGAGGGTCACCCAGGATCTGGCTTCCTAGGGGCTCTACCTCCGGGACTACATACAGCTCCAGACAGCATCCTCAAGCCCCACCCCTTAGAGAAAAGTTTCCCAGGATTGCCTCTATTCACCACCCCACTCCCAATTTGTTTTTGGTTCTTTAAAAGTTATAAAATACAACAAATGCAGCAAGTGCATAAGTATATAATGTAACTAATAATTTATAAAGTGAGAGTTCAGATCAAGACAAGAGGCACTACTTTGCAAAACAGATTAGCAGTTTCTTAAAACCTGACACATAAAATTACTACACAACACAGCAATTTTGCCCCTAGGAATCTTCCCAAGAGAACTGAAAATGTCCACACAAAGACTGGCATGCAAATGTTCATGCCAATTATTTCAAATAGCCAGTAGGTGGGAACAACCCAAGTGGCCATTGACTGGTGAGTAGATAAACAGACTGTGGTATATCTCTTCCATGGGTTACTCAGGAATTGAAAAGAATGAAGTACTAATACATGGTACCCTGTGGGTGATCCTCAAAAACGTTATGCTGAATGAAAGAAATCAGACACAAAAAAACACTACACATGTTGTATGATCCATTTAAGTAAAATGTCCAGAAAAGGCCAATCTGGGGGACGGTGCAGATTGACAGCTGTCTAGAGCTATGGCTGAGGATGGGAGTGATGCCCATCAAGCATAAAGGGCCTCATCGGGGCGATGACAATGTTCTCAAACAGGATGGTGCAAGTTGCCTAGCTCGGTCAATGTTAAAAATATAAATTATACCTTGGGAATTTGTTTTTAAAAAATTTTTATTTTTTTTATTTTTATTTTTTTAAAGTATACTTTATTTTTTTTTAATTTATTTATGATAGTCACAGAGAGAGAGAGAGAGAGAGGCTCAGAGACACAGGCAGAGGGAGAAGCAGGCTCCATGCACCGGGAGCCCGATGTGGGATTCGATCCTGGGTCTCCAGGATCGCGCCCTGGGCCAAAGGCAGGCGCCAAACCGCTGCGCCACCCAGGGATCCCCTTAAAAAATTTTTAAATTGATGTCAGCTAAAGAAAGCAAGAAACAGGGAGGGACTTGCTGCCTCCTAGAAGCTCCCACACACCCCTTATCCATCCCAACCCCCTGCAAGAGGTAACTGCTCTCTGGCTGTAAAACATCATCACTGCTTTTCTTGGTCATCTTACTACCCATGTTTACAGCCATGGACAAAACAGGCTAATTTTGCCCCTTTTGAATTTTTTTAAATTTTTATTTATTTATGATAGTCACAGAGAGAGAGAGAGAGAGATGCAGAGACACAGGCAGAGGGAGAAGCAGGCTCCATGTACCGGGAGCCCGACGTGGGATTCGATCCCAGGTCTCCAGGATCGCGCCCTGGGACAAAGGCAGGCACCAAACTGCTGCGCCACCCAGGGATCCCTAATTTTGCCCCTTTTGAGCTTTGTATATTGGGATCATCGGAGTCTTGAGTCTGACCCCTTTCCCTCCATGTACACGAGGGTCATCTAAACCGGTGTGGAGCCAAAGTATGTTCATTTCCTTTCCCTAGAGCCTCTTCCTCTTCCCCCAGGCACATCTGACTTTGCCTGCTCTCCAGGGGCTCCGCTGCCTCCAGGTTGATCAGCCTACAGAGAGGGGCACAGGCCAAGCCTCACTCATGCAGGGTCCCATATAATCACCCCTTCCCAAGCACCTCACTCCCCTTGGCTTGCAGCACCCTCACTTCCTGCTCCTCCTCCTCTTCTCAGCCTCAAAATGTGCTACAGGATTCTGTGTCCCCTTCTCTTCTTTAGCTGCATTGCATTTCCCAGGGGTTCTCAATCTGTCCTGGGGCTTTAAGCAGCATCTACTGCTGAGCTAATAGGTCCAACATTTCCATCTTCCCAAACTCCAGACAGATGCACAGACACACAGACACACATACACATACACACACACACAACTCTGCCACCTACTGCACATTCCCATTTGGAAGTCTCTTCAGACATCTTACTAAACTAGAGTTCATGAGTTCCCCTGCCCCCCCAAAACTCTTCCCCCCACCTCGCAACCCCAGCCTTCCTCTTTTAGGTAAATGGCATCATCTGCCACCCAGTTGCCTGAGCTATACCCTCAACACCTCCTGGTCTCTGTTTCCCTGTCCCCACCCACTGCCATCTCTGCATGGGCCTCTGTCAAGCCAGGGGCAAGGGTGATTATCACTGAGGACACAAGCCATTGCCTGCAGGCCGGGCAGAGCTGAAGAGCTTGCTGTTCACAGGTACCATGAACTTGCAGGCCACAGGTACTTGCAGGCCACAGGTACCATGGGAGGAGCCCTCATCCCCTGCAACCTGGTGTATTTACAGAGGAGGCGCAGGGCCAGCTTGAGCTCTGCCATTGGTGTTCGGCCTTGCTGGCAGAAAGAACATTCTCCCATGCCAGCTACCTTGGGAAGTTGCAGAAGACTCAGGGCCAGAGAGACTCTGCTAGAGTCCTGGCTCTGGAGCTGGAGGCTGGGGTGCCTCTTGCCACTGATGATTGAGAGTTGACAAGCCCTTGCCACCTAGAATCTCCCAGGATCACGTGGGGACATGAAGCTCTTATTCTCCCACTGGCCACTCTGTGGCTTGGCCAAAGTATGTGGGACACTGGATCCCTGGAACCTGGAGAGGTCCCCTGGCAACTCATGGTGTCCCAGTGAGGGCCACATGGGGCTCCTTCCATGGGGCCTAGATCCCTGTTGGCCCCTGGAGGGTTGCTCCTGGCTGCCTGGCCATCGAGCTCCTGTCTTCCACCGCCACCTCCCCACCCCTGTTGGGCACCTGCTAATCCTTTGCACACGGCCCCTGTCCCGCTGCTGCCAGTTAATCCCCCCTGTGTCTGAGAGATGAGCTGCAAGTGACAGGGAGAAGGCAATTCCTGGCTGGTGGTCGGCATCTGAGCAAGTAAGTCAGGATGATGTGGTGGCTCAGTGGGACCTCTGGTGGGACGCCCATGCTCTCCTTCTAGCAAGGCATTTAGATGTGGAGAATAGGGAAAAGCTGGAAACCTGGAGCTTCCCTCTCCACCTGTGGTGCTCAAACCTTAGCAAATCCTCAAGGCAGCTTGTGACATGCAGATTCCAGGCCCCACAGAGGGATGAGGGGAGCAGAGGAATCTGTGTTTTCACTAGCTTCCCAGAAGATTCTGAAAGGCTGGTGTCCCAGCACCATGGTTACCCTGGGCTTTCAGCTCCCCTTTCCCACCTTTGCCCGCCCTTATCACTGTGGAGTCAGCAGGGACATGCAAATATGTCTTTGCTGGAGGAAATGGCTGGGTCAGGGGGAAGGAGAAAAATTGGGAGTGGGGAGGGCTTCCCTGGTCATTTCCAGAAGGTTCAGAAACACAAACAGAACTGCTGCCCACTGGAAAAGGGTCTGTAGGACTGGCCTGCGGCAGCCAGCCCTGAGCACATATCAATACCATGGAGAGTAGATGTGGGGCATCTGGAGTTCAGCAGACCTGAGTGTGGCTCAGCTTGGTTGCTTGCCGACTGTGTCACTTTGGGCAAGTCTACCAATCGCTCCATGCCTCTGTTTCCTTAGCTGTAAAGTGGTAGCCCTTAACTTCCTGAGGCTGGTGGCCAGTGGGGACAATGAGGATGAGTGTGATCTGGGGTAAAGGACACTTAGCTTCATTTGGGCTCTTGGGGCTATTTGGGGTTGGCCACATCGGTGGAATCCACCATCCTAAACATAGGGTCTTGGGCTCTCCCAGCCTTGGAAATCCCTGTGTCTGCGCCCCAACCCAACAAAGACATGGCAGACCGGAAGGGCTAACGTCTGGCTCAGGTTCACCTTTTTTTTTTTTTTTTTAAAGATTTTTAATTTATTTATTCATGAGATACACACACACACACACAGAAACAGAGGCAGAGACACAGGCAGAGGGAGAAGCAGGCTCCTTGCAGGGAGCCCAACATGGGACTTGATCCCGGGTCTCCAGGATCAGGCCCTGGGTCAAAGGCAGCGCTAAACCGCTGAGCCACCTGGGCTGCCCAGGTTCACCTTTTCGGATGCCGAGTCAGGGATCTGATGTTCCCACCCGGAAGTCTGCCCCTCACCATGGCCTCTCCTAGGGGAGCTGGACTGCTGAGGCCAGAGCAGGGACAGAAGTCAGGGCTGTGAGTAGAAGGGCAGGTGTGGGGACTGGGGGACTGGGGCAGGGATCCTGGGCCTGTACTTTTCAGCATGGGGTCAGGGTCTCTGGCAGAGGAGAGACAGAGACACCTTCTATCATGTTGGGCATCGCCTTTGAAGAGCCTTTCGAGGGTGTAAGTTTGCACATACTGACCTGTGTGGTGCTCGCTGGGCCAGGCCTGTCCATAGGGATTTAGTAGTGAGTGCAGAGCCTCCCCACTGTCTCCAGAAGGGAAATGATGCCAGAAACTGAATCCGTATAAGGTAAGGCTGAAATACCCCAGTACATCTTGAAAAGGGATTTGACTATCATTTTATCTTAAACATTTTTAAATCATGAAAATAGGTTAACATTTATGTTAAAATATTTTCCATTCATATGCTGTTCATAATGTATTTTTAAAAATACATTAAATTAAATACACGATATTCTAAAATTGTTTTTTTTTTTAATTTTTATTTATTTATGATAGTCACAGAGAGAGAGAGGGAGAGAGGCAGAGACATAGGCAGAGGGAGAAGCTGGCTCCATGCACCAGGAGCCCGATGTGGGATTCGATCCTGGGTCTCCAGGATCACGCCCTGGGCCAAAGGCAGGCGCTAAACCACTGCGCCACCGAGGGATCCCCGATATTCTAAAATTGATGTTTTTGCTTGATACCAAATAATGGTCAGGTCACAGCCAGCACTTTATTAAGTTCTCAGTGTGTGCCAGTCACGTTTGTATCACGTTATTTTATCCTCACAATCCTCTCCACAAGGTAGGTTCTGTAACATCCCTGCTTTACAGACAAGCACACCCAGGCTCAGAGAGTTCACCTGACTTGGTCATGACTAGAATCCAGAGCATGTACATCTTTTCGTGTTAGTTCAAATAGATCTACGTTTTTATGGCTCCATAATATTCCATCATTGGATGTATTATAATTTATTTAATAAGTATCCCTCTTACAGATGAAAATTTAGGTATTTTCCAATAATCTGGGTCCTACTGATGAATATTTGGATGTTTTTCATCTCTTGCTATAACACTGTGGTAACCAACCTCTTTATACATGTGTTTTTGGCTTGAGTATTTCTTTTCTTTTTTCTCTTCTTTTCTTTTTTGCCTGAGTATTTCTATCAGATGAATACTTGGAGGTATCACTTGTAAAAAATGTTTTGAAAGATTTACTGAGAGAAAAGGGAAATGTGTGACCCACAGAAGTGGCCCCCAAGTGGCAGGAGCAAGGGTGCACACTCTGGGGAGGCCTAAGTACTCTGTGTCTTACAGGTGTCGGGATGTTGAGCTGGGTCCAGAGGGTGCTGCCTCAGCCCCCAGGGACCCCTCAGAAGACCAAGGTAGAGGAGGAGGGAGCCGCAGAGCCAGAGCCAGAGCCAGAGGTGAAGCAGGAACCAGAGCTGGAGCCTGAAACAGCCCTTGAGGAGGCCGAGCAAGGGGACTCCCTGGTAAGAGAATGAGCCTGAGGGAACAAATTCCTAGCTTGGGTCAGCTGCCCCCCAGGAGCTTCCATGGGGTGACTCCAGCACATCCACAGTTGCCAGTTCTGCATCCCATCCATTCAGGGGCCTGATGATGACAACTAATTCAGAAGCTCAATTCTATAGATTTGATTTCGTTTCTAATTGATGCCAGGCCTGTACCCTGAGCTGGGGAGCATGATGATGAGTGAGGCTTTGTCCCCGGGGGGCAGCAGACAAGTACCAGCCAGATCATCCTAACAGAAGACAGAGGTGATGAGGAAATGCAGGGATCTCCAACATTGGGCTCAGCTCTACCTTCCAGGGAGGGCCAAGCAAGTTCATCACACAGAACTATGGGAGCTCAGAGGAGAGAGAGAATCATCTTAACTCCAGAGAGTGGAGGGGGAGTGCTTCCCAGACATGGAGGACTGGGCCCAGTGTGATGGGAGATGAAGAGCTGGGGTGTGCCTGGCAGAGGAAAGGCTAGTTCTTGGCAGCACAGGGTACACTGATGAAACAGTGACTATCCAGGTATAGGGTTTGTGTGTATAGTGTTTGCATGTGCACACAAGTGTACATGTATGTGCATGCCCTGTGTCCTTTGTGGTATGTCTGCACATACATATGCACTAGCAAACCGTGTACACATGAACACGCATATTTACATGGATTTCTGTGCACGCATGTACTCGTATATGTGCACTTGTGTGCACACATGCATTGATATGTCTGTACTTCCATGTGCCTGTGAGGCATGCTGTAAGCATGTAAGTGTGTATATGCATATGTTTCTGAGTCTGTGAATGTATTCATGTGTTTGTGTATGCACATGTTTGCGTATTTGTGCATGTATGTGTGTACAGACATCTCTGGCATGTGTCTGCATGTTTGTATATATACATATTTGTACATCTGTGCACATATATGTGTGTGTTCAGATGCAGAACTTTGTGTGTGCAGGTATACATGCATATGTATGTGTACACACATATGCTTGTATGTTTGCCTACGTGTGTATTTGATTATGTGTTGATGCACATATGAAAGGATGCGTTCATGAATACACATTTGTGTCCGTGAGTGTATCTGTGTATGTGTCTATGTCTGTGTGACTAAGCATATAAATGTGCATATGTGTATACATAAATATCTGTGTCTGTATATATATGCAAATATATGTCTGTACATATGTACATGGGTGTGCATATGTGTATGTATATTTGCAGGTATCTGCATTTGTGTGCATCTGGATATGTGCATATATATGAATATGTGTGCATGTGCCTGTATGCACATGCATGTGTGGTGGGGCACACATGCACACACAAATGTACATGCACGTGTGCTTGAGTCTTGCATGTACATATGCAGGTGTGGGCAGATACATTTGTTTTTGTGTCTATTCATGTGTGTATACACACATCTCTGTGTTACTGTATGTACACATATGCATGTACATATGCAGGTGTGGGCAGATACATTTGTTTTTGTGTCTATTCATGTGTGTATACACACATCTCTGTGTTACTGTATGTACACATATGTGTACTTATGCATGTATGCATCTGGACTCATATGGAAATTTATGTGTGCTCATACATTTACATGTCACAGTGAGTGTGCACATGTTAGCATCCCTGTGTGCACATGTATGTTTGTACACACACATATGTGCATGCAGTGGTAGGAGCTGCAGCTTGGAGGCAGATGAGAGGCAGGTGGTGGGTGCTGAATGCCCCCCAGCTGCTAGAGGAGAATGGAAGGTTTGGCCCAGAGGAGAGGAAGAGCTCTGGCTGCGGGGGAGGTATGTAGGGGGGCTCTCACCTCCCTCTCCCCCTCAGTTTGCTCCAACATTTCTCCCTATTCTCAGGCCAGTGGAGTGGGGCAGCTTCCTGGGGAGTATGATAGACCCAGAGCCTACCTTGGTGGGGGGCACTCAGGGCCCTATCCTGGATGAGGGACCCCTAGGATTGGGAGGAAGGGAGTGTCCCAGGCTGAAGGTGAAGCTGCCAGGATTTACAGGGATGATTGTGAGAACAGAGCTACTAGGTCCTGTAGGGTAGGGGGTCTTATGCAGGTGGTTTTAGGGGCTGCTCCTGCCTGAACCAGGCTGGTCTCACAGAGGGCTTATGTGGTCCTGTTTGAACCTTCCAGCTACCTGAAGAGCCATTGGAGGAAGTGGCTGCAGCTGACCCAGGCCCTCAGGGTGAGTGCCAGAAGCCCAGGGCCAGGCTGCGGGGTGGAGTGTATTCTCCCTCAGGACCTTGCCACATCCACAGACTGGCAAGCCCATTTCACAGATGAAGAAACTGAAGCTCAGAGAAGTTGAGGGCTGGGTTCCTGGAGACACTTTAGCTGAACTGAGCTGGAGCCTTGGCCTACTGACTCCCTTGGAGCTCTCCTCTTTTCCCTGCCTCTGACTTGACTTTCCTAGCAGGGGAGAAATGGGCCACTCTGAGGCTCCAGATCTGAAGTATGAGGGTCTCTTTTCCAGAAATCCAGGAGGCTGCCCCGAGTCCACCTACATCCGTCCAGGCCCAGATCACTGTGGCTCCTGAAGTGAACAGGTACCACACCACCCTGCCCTCTCCTCAGGGGCCCCCAATCTAGGGAGCCACTTGGGGGTGGGGACCAGCATTGCTCTTAGGTCTCTACTCATTCCCGGGCAACTGCCCCAAGCATCTTGGGAAGGGAGCCTCGGGCAGGGGTGAGGGATCTCCTAGGCCAAATGGACAATGTGACCAAGAGAAACAGTGAGTAGGGTCCAGAGTGTTCTCAGTGCTTGGGGGAAATCAGATCCATGTGGTTAGAGTTTCCAATTTTCCTAACAGAGCCAGAAATCCAGACTATTGCATGATAACTCAAAGTTGGCTCATTTTAGACCATTAGCACTTATCCAAGTGGGCATGCCTGTGGGGGGTGAGGCTCAGGCAGTGTCTGTGACCCTCACACTGAGACCATCGAGCCTCAGCCACAAGGAAACACCCCATAGGAAACCCTCAACCCTTCTAGAGCACAGGACATGTGCCAAGTATAGATAGGATGGGACCCCCTGGGACCAGGCTAAGGGGGAAGCAGGATGACAGACTTGGCTGCTTTGTGCCTAGCATCCAATGGGAATGGGCTCAGGATGGCACACCTCTCCAAGGGTCGGTGTCCCCCATTTTCCAGAGCTGGATACAAGACTCAGGGGGGAGGTGGCAAATCTGAAGTCTTGCGGTGAGGAGATAGACATTGGGATTCAAGCCAAGTTCATCAGGACACTGTGAATGAAGTGCCACTGGGACTAGGGTGGGGCAGGGGACCTTGAGGATGGGTTGGTACCTCTGTCCCTCAGCAGTTCCAACGACTGGGTGCTGACATGGCTTAAGAAGAGCGTGGAGAAGGTGGTCCCACAGCCTGTCCCCAGCAGCAGGCTGGCCCAGAGCACCGCTGCTGGCAGGGAGGGCCCTGCTCAGGTACTTCTGAGGCCAGGAGCTGAGGGAGGCAGGGTGGGAGGCTGCCGCCTCTGGGTTCTCTGTCCTCATCTGTCTGTCTGTCCTGGCAGGCAGGAGCACAGGTGTCTGGGCAATGCAGCACTGGGAGCTCAGGTGAGGCCAGCTTTGCAGGGATGGGACCACAGGACTTGGGATGGGCCCTGCCACTGCAGAGAGCCCACAGGCGGGGGACGCTTATGTGACTGGCCCTGGATTGCAGCCTGGGTTTGAGTGAAGCTGATGGGAGGAGGGGGTCTGGGCAGGCCTCTTGATGTTCACCACCCTCCTTTCTTCTCAGATGGACTTGGTGAGGCTGCTGGGGACACCGGGTGAGTCCTCATCCCTGAGTACTGGTTTGGGAGCCCCTGAGCCTCCTGCGTAGTGTGTGTGGTGGGGGGAGCAGTGTGCCCAGAGCTGAGGGTCTTGGGTTCAGGAGCAAGGTACACCACCACCTCAGTGTGTGGCATTGGACTCACCCTTCATCTCTTCCGCATGCTCCAGTTTGCAATCTCTGCTGGAAACCCGGAGTTATGCATTCATCTTTATTCACCCCATTCATTCATTCCTTTCCTTATTCACTTGTTAGACTGTTGAATTCTTGAGTGCAGAGGCTTTTGTCTCGTCACTGCTGGTATCCAACACAGTGCCTACCATAAGGAGGACTCAGCACAGAGGGGATGAATATTCCAGCTCACTGTCTATTTCTTTTTGTCTCCTGGAGGCTGCCCAGGTCAGGGGTCCCCAGGGCCACTCAGCTGACTCATGAGACCAGTAAAGCAATTTAGGATGAAGGCCCCCAGGGGACTTGTTAGCTTTCTTTTGGGTTATACCTGAGAGAGGGGTTCCCTTGGGAACATGGAGCTTCCCTGAAGAGAGAGCAGCTGCCTGGAGGCCATGGTCTGGGGGCCATTTGCCCCAGGACCAGCTATGTAATTTGTGGGGCCCAGTGCAAGATTAAAATGCAAGACTCCTTTAAAAAATTAATAAGAGTTTGGGGCACTTGGGTGGTACAGTTGGTTGAGCATCTGACTCCTGGTTTTGGCTCAGTTCATGATCTCAGGGTTGTGAGATCGAGGCCCACATCAGGCTCCATGCTCAGCAGAGAGTTTGCTTGATATTCTCTCTCTGCCTCTCATTCTTGTGCTTTTAAATAAATAAATATTTTAAAAATTTAAGTTTAAGATTGAGTTTAGGATCGTGCCAACAGCATGAAACCAAAAATGAGCCCTTCTAAGTATTGGGCCCCATCTGACTGCCCTTCTTCCAGGCCAGTGGAGCCAGACCTATCTGTGCCAGGCACGGGGAGCCCCCCATGCTGCATTCAGGTTCCCAAGCAGCCCCTGGTTCTCACCTGCTGCGCGGGTGGCCAGGCCGGGTCTGTTGTTCTGGGCCTGGTCCAGCCAGAGGTCAGAATTTGAGGCTGCCAAAAGTTGCCCCCCGACCTGAGGCCCTTACGGAGTAGCCAATGCAGAGTCCCCACTGTGCAGATGAGGCTAGAGGCAAGGAAGGGCTGGCTGGGGGCCGGGACTCCAGCAGACATTAAGGTCGCTGTGACCTGGCTGTGCCACTGACCACTGGCCCCTGTGCAGGTCTGGGCCCTGGCTGCTCAGGTGGCTTGAGCAGAATCTGGAGAAAGTTCTGCCTCAACCCCCCAAAACCTCCAAGGTAAGTCAAAGAAAAGGAGGAGTGGGCAGATGACCACCTGGGAGGGTTTCTGGGGCCCCAGGAAGGACCCAGCAGGCTATCCCACCCCCGGGTTACATAAAACCTCCTGGCGGGTTCTCCATGGGGAGGTGTGACTGCAAAACAGCAAGGGAGCTCATCAGGAAGGATGGGGGCCCCTTGCCGCCTGCCCTGGGTACGGCTGGCCAAGGGAGGGAATGCTCAGGGCTTGCTTTATTCCACAACCCCACGTCCTTTTCTTTTTTTAAATTTAAATTTAATTTGCCAACATACAGTACATCATAAGTTTCAGATGTAGTTTTTGATATGACCCCACTTCCTGTTTCTGATCTAGGACCAGAGAGATGAACCTGCAGATGCTGCCTTGGACACAGGTACAGGGAGGGGGCCTGGGAAAGGCTGCCCAGCATGGTCACAGGCAGGGCTGGGGGTGCAACGGGGCCTGAGAGAACCCGCGGGAGGCCCTTAGCCATCAGCTGGGGTACGGAGGGGCTCGGGGCTGGCAGGGAGTGGTGGACCTCAGAACCCCTCCTCGGTCCAGGCTGTGAGGTCTTGGACAAATCCCTTGAACTTCCCAGGTCTCACTTCCACATCTGACTGATGAGACGAGACGGGTAGTGGAGTGGGCCCAAGGGGCTCCTGATTCCGTCATATTGGTGCCTCAAATCTGGTCCTCAGTGCCCATGAGGGGTCCCGTGGAGCCCTGTCTTGTCATCTTTAGATGTGCTCTCCTTGCTGCTTAGAGCCCCCTGGGCCCACCCTGGAAACAGAGCCCGTGCTGCAGGCCCCAGAGAGCTCCTGCGTGCCCACTGCTGGCCCCTTGGAGCCCCAGGAGGAGCTGCCTTCAGAGCCCCAGCTCAGCCCTCAGGCTTCCTCCTTGCTGCTCCCCAGTGACCCTGCCAGGTGAGCCCCCCAGTTGCTACCTCTTTCATGGAAGAACCAGTACTTGGCCTCAGCCCAATGCCCAACACTTCACCAAACTAGTTTTTTTATTTTTTATATTATTTTAAACTAGTTTTTTTAAAATTTAAAAGTATCATATCGCTCCGGGAGAAAATGTTCAAAGGACTCCCCAGGGCCCTTCCCAGGGCAGCCACATCAGCCATCATCCTTCCACGCCTTCTGGAAGCACGGACAAGCTCTGGAGTCTGCTTCTCCTTGAAAGAAACACACCTACCAGCCAACGGCAAAATCTATATACTTTTCCACATTTTGCTTTTTTTTTTTTTTTTTTTTTTTTACCAAAAAGTCTATCTTAGGGTGGTTTTATGTACATTGGCCTACTTCATTCTTTCAACAGCTGCGGAGTGCCCCGTTGTATGGCCGTACCGCTTTTCTGTGGCCATTTGCTGGCCATTAGGTTTATTTCCACTCTTTTGCTACCATCGGTGGCCTTGTACAAGCATCATTTATTTTGCTTGTGTGGATTACCTGTAGGGTAAATCCAAGGAACTTGAGTTACTGAGCCAAAGGATGCATGCTTTTGAAATCAGGTTAAGTGTTGCTGGCAGTGTGGGAGAGGCCTGCATGCACCCACAGGGCGGGGCAGGGGGCTGCTGGGGTCTGAGCGGTAGGTCCCCAGAGGTTGGCCTAGGGAGGCCTGGCAGGAGGGCAGCAGGCCTTGGGGCTAGAGACCTGGGTTCAGGTCTGCCTTCTGGTGAGTTTGCTGTCTGCCTTGGGAGGGACCCAACTCTGATCTCAGTTTCCCCAGGGGCCCTGCTGCATGGACATGGCCTGTTCTCTTTCACTTGCAGGTTGATGGCTTGGCTCCTGCACAGGCTGGAGATGGCCCTGCCGCAGCCGGTGCTCCATGGGAAGGCCAGGGAGCAGGTCTATTCTGGGCAGGGGGAGTGGGGCCTAGGTAGTTGTGGGAAGGGTCTTGGGATGGAAGGTCTGAGGGCGAGGTACAGAAGGAAGAAGGGAACCTGGAGCAAGAGCCCACCCCATGCAGCCTGCCCATCTTCTCAGCTCACACTCATTCCATGTGCACTCTCTGAGGCACCTTGGCCACAGGGCTGAAAGGGGCTGGCCCAGCCTTGCTAACCAGGAGGTCACAGTCTGTGGGGGAGGTGCTTCCATGGAGGGAGCAGAGAGGACGTGAGGTGAAGAGGAGGAGGGCTTCCAGGAGCATGAAGGAAGGCTTCCTGATGGAGGTGGATTTCAAGCCAGAGACCTGAGGGAGAAGTAGAATGGGGGTGGGTAAATGAAGGGGCCGGTGTAGGGAGAGCCCTTTAGGCAAAGGATCAGCATATGCAAAGGTCCAGAAACAAGAGAAGCCTGGAATGTTCTAGAAAGGAGTGGGGCTTGCAGGAAAGCAGAGGGCTGTGTGTGCATTTCTGAGAACCTAGGTTTCCAACATGGGTGGGTGGGGGAGCAAGGCCTCTGTCACCTTTTCCTCTCCTTCTCCAAGAACCTGGCACCTAGGGGTGCCTGGGTGGCTCAGTTGGTTAATCGTCTGACTCTTGATTTCAGCTTAGGTGGGTCATGATGTCAGGGGCATGGGATTGAGGCCCACTTCGGGCTCTATGCTCAGCAGGGAGTCTGCTTCAGATTCTCCCTTTCCCGCTGCCCCTCGCCTTGCTTGTGCATGTTCTCTCTCTAAATAAATACATGAAATCGTTTAAAAAATTAAAATAAAAAAATTAAAAAAAAAATAAAAAAGAACCTGGTACCTGGCCCCTCTTTCTTGGGAACAATTGTGTAACTTGACAGCAGCTGGAGCTGGGAGGCAGGAGGCCTGGGTCCCAGTCCTGGCTGCAATAGGAGGTAGACAAGAAACCTCAGGTGGGGGAGGCACCCTTCCCTGCAGGCCGAGCCCTCAGGCTCTGAGTCCATATGGCCTCTGCTGGCAGCAGAGGAAATGCAGCTTTGGACTTTTCCAAGAGGAGGGGAGAGAGGCCTGGTAGCAGGAACAACATGTCCTCCTCACAGACAGGAGGGGCCCCTGGGGCCAGGGAAGGTGTGGTGCTGGAGGGGGAGAGGCCTCCCTGGTAGATAGAGATTGGAGACAACCCTCCAGGGAAGGCTGGGAGGAGGGGAGGGAGGCAGGCATCTCAGGCAGGTGGCCCCACCTGGGCAAAGGAGCTGAGGAGGGAGCCGGTGGTAATCCAGGGAGGAGAGAGCCTGCGGGCCCTGAGGCAGGAGGGGAGAAGCAGGCCAGAGAGGAGCCAGGAGCAACTGGGTCTTCCGCGTGTCCCCCTTGGGGATGAGGAAAACCCTCAAGCTCCTGCGTGTGCTGGGAGGGGCAGTGGAGGCAGGGGGGCTGATGAGGAGACACAGCATTTTCCCCCTTTCTCCCCATGCAGGAGCCTGACTCCCCTGTGACTTGTGACGTGCAGACCAGTAAGTGCCTCCTTGGTGGGTTTTCATGTGCATCTCCAGTGCAGTTGCTTGGCCCGAGGGCACTAGGCCAGGCCCTGAGAGAGCCCAGGTCCTGCAAGCTTCCCCTCAGGTCAGCCTGGCCAGGTAGTCAGAGCCTGGCCAGAGCCAGATGGTGGCTGGAGGCCCCTCCGAGGAGCTGGAGAGAGGTGGGGCGGGGGGGGGGGGGGTGCCTGGCTTGCCTTCCAGTTTCTATCCAAGTTGGAGGGACCCCCTTCCTCTGGGAACACCTCCAGGGAGCTCTCCACTACTCCCCTGGGCCAGGGTGTTTGGCTAAGCAGAGTCCCTGGTTGAGGGGTAAGCGGAGAGGCATGGGGTCTCCTGGGGGAACTAGCTCCCATAAACTCCAGCTCTCTTGAGCCAGGAGGTTTCCCCTCGTCAATAGGTGGTGGTGGGGGGGGGGAGGGAGGGGGGAGGTGTGTGCTGCCTTTTATCCCAGCCCCGCACAAGTATTGGGGGACATACTAAGGGCAGGATAGGAGGGGACAGCTTGGGTCCAAGATCTGCTCCTCCTTTCATGTCATGGCCTCAGTTTGAGAAACATGTGGTTATAGGGCATTTCTTCATTCGCAAAGGTCACAGAGGGCCTGCTATGTACCGGCTGTGATAAGTACTAGAGGTGAGCAAAGCAGAGCTCAGGGCCTGTGGGCAGTGGCCCTCCTGACCCTGGACACAGGCCCTCAGACCATGGGCCTCAGGTGTCCAGAGGCTGTTATCCGTAGCTCCACGAGGCTGATAGTGGTCTTTATGAGCACTGCAAGGGTGAGGCTGGCCACCACAGCCTGGAGCACAGACGGGCCAGCCAGCTGCGGCGTGGGGTTGTCTGGCAGAGTGGCTGTGGGAAGAGGTGGAGTTTGTAGAGTGGTGATGATGCTGTGAGGGCAGGCCTCAGAGCAGGGCTTGCTCAGTCTCGTGGAGTCCCTGTGTAGAGCAGTGACCCTGTATGGCTGTTGGGGCGGGCAGAGGCACAGAGATGTGCCCAATGTCACCGAGTGAGTTGTCACAGAGCGACGACTAGCATCCCCTTGGCCTGGCGGCAGTTGTCAAGATTGAAGGAACAGACAATGTTCCCTGGAGCAGAGACCCTGGAGCAGGGGCCCTGGGGAGCTCTGAAAATGGAGCCCCTGGCCCCCTCTCTTCCTCTTCTCTGCTCCTCTGGAAGGAGGCAGGGTGCTCAGCCAGCTGTAGCCGGGCACAAGCCGGGAGTGTGTGGGTCGTGGGTGGGCGCAGGGCACCAGGCCCAGGCACCGGTGTGTTAGCTCCCCAGGGCTGCTGGAGCAAAGAACCACAAACCGGGCGCCTTCAGACGGCAGGAATGTACTCCCTCACAGCTCACGATCCAGAACTCTAACTTGAAGTGTTGGTGGGGTTGGCTCCTCCTGGTGCTCTGAGGGGGAAGCCATCCCACACCTCTCTCGGGGCTTCTGGTGGCTGCTGGCACTCCTTGGAGTCCGATAGGCTTCCGGCTGGCCTCCAGCCTCTGCCCTTTCCTCTGTGTCCCAATCTCCTCTCCTTTCTCTTGTAAAGACACCAGTCACGGATATAAGGCCCATCCTATAACCAGGATGAGTTCACCTTGAGATCCTTAACTGATGACACCTACAGACACCTTTCTTTTCTTTTCTTTTCTTTTCTTTTCTTTTCTTTTCTTTTCTTTTCTTTTCTTTTCTTTTCTTTTCTTTTCTTTTCTTTTCTTCTTCTTTCTTTCTTTCTTTCTTTCTTTCTTTCTTTCTTTCTTTCTTTCTTTCTTTCTTTCTCCCTCCCTCCCTCCCTCCCTCTTTCTTTCTTTCTTTCTTTCTTTCTTTCTTTCTTTCTTTCTTCTTTCTTTCTTTCTTTCTTTCTTTCTTTCTTTCTTTCTTCTTTCTCCTTCCTTCCTTCCTTCCTTCCTTCCTTCCTTCCTTCCTTCCTTCCTTCCTTCCTTCCTTCCTTCCTTCCTGATTTTATTATTCGTGAGAGATACACAGAGAGAGGCAGAGACACAGGCAGAGGGAGAAGCAGGCTTCCTGTGGGGACCCCGATGTGGGACTCAATCCCAGGACCCTGGTATCAGCCCTGAGCCGAGGGCAGACACTCAACCACTGAGCCGCTCAGGTGTCCCTACAAAGACTATTTCTAAATGAGGTCACATTCACAGGTCACAGGAATTAGAACTGAGTATATGTTTTAGGGGGACACTACACTGTTCAACCCACTTAGCAGGGTGACCCACAGGGTGGGGGGATGAGTTCCCTCCCGTGCTGCTGGCTCTGCTTCCAGTCTCCCTGCCCATTCACTCCTCACACACCTGCTCATTCATTCCTTCCGCCTGCCCACCCAGCCACCCACCCTTCCGTCTTGTTTCAGGCATGGCGACAGCAGGAGGCCTCTGAAACAAGAGAGAAGGGATCCTGGGAGAGCACGGATGGACAAACGGATGGTCGGATGGAAGGAAAGAAGGGTGCCCTGAAGACCTGCAGGGGAGGGGAAGGAGTGGCTGTCCACCTGGCACCCTCCTCGAACAGTGACACCCCTGCCACTCTGCATGCTCCCAGGCAGGGCGAGGGGAACCAATCCCAGAACTGCCCCTTTCCATGGAAGCAAGAAGGGCAGCCGAGGGCAACCTGTGGGACTCAGTCTAGACAGCTGGAAAACTTCCCAACAGAAGGCTGCAGGAAAGCCCATGGAGGACTCTCTTTGAGAGCTGGCCTGCACAGCCTTCAGCATGGGGCCCGGCACACAGTTGGTGCCCTCACAGGATGCATTTTTTTCCCAGAAGAGGATCCCCTTAGGCTTGGCTGTGTTCTTTCCCTTGAAGAGTTAGGGTCCAGCAATGGACAGCAACACATGCCTTCAGTGACATTAAAAACCATAAATTAGCACATCAAAGCTGTGATTGCATGATATCCTTGCTTCAGAGGAAGTTAATCTGGGTACTTAGGTTTGAAGGATGGGTAGGTTAAGGTGGCCTGTGGTCTGGGGGGAGCAGGAAGGAGGAGCTTGCCAGGGATCCTGAACCAGTTGCCCTGGGCTCCAGCTGGTCCACAGATGTCTGTGTTTGGGGCAAGGAATGATTTTAAACATCAGAATTAGTTGCCAATATCTAAAGATGAGGGGACATTGCACAGGAAAATCTGGCTTCTCTCAAAAACTAGGAATATCCACACAGTGCTTGTGAGGACAGTGTGAGCAACAGCTGCCCCCTGAAGGCAGGTAACATGCTCCCCTTCACCCACATAAACCATCTCCCTGGCTACATAGGTCTTTGAATTTGAGACCCCTGAGGTCCCAAACTGGTGGCAAGTGAAGGGCAGCCTGGGAGAGGGAATAAGGTTGCAAATGCCTAGAGGTGAGAGAGGGAGAGTGGTGGGTACTTCACTGAAACCCGAGTTCCTGATGTAGAAAATAAAACCAGAAAAGCTGGGGCCTGATTTTAGGAGACTTTAGCAATGGAGAGCCACTGGAAGTGATTGAGCAGAGGAGTGACTTCACAAAGATGACTCTGAGACTGAGCAAGCATTGGAGGCAGAGAAAGCAATTGAAGCAAAGGTTCTTGAACTTTGGGCCACATCTGAAGCATCTAGGACCCAAGTGTGCCAGAAAGGATGTGCCTGAGCTTGGGCTTTGCCAGAAACCCAGGGTCTGGTGGGGACCTTGGCCTAGAATCCACGCCCTTAGCCTCCTTGTTTGCTGATCCTGGAAATAGGAGCTCCCTCCCCAGATTCACCTGATGACCTTCTCTGCTGGAGGCAGCCCATTCAGTTGCCCTGAGGGCCATCCTAGGCTGGCAGAGAGGCTGCTGGCCAGGAGGTGGTATGCCAGTGAGGGACTCCAGGAGCCGAGTTTCAGCCCCACATGGCACCAGGGGTGTCTGTGTGAGCTTGAGCACCCGCAGTGCTTCAGTGGCCCCATGTGCCACCCAGGGATGGGGCCCTGGAAAAGCCAGCAGAGCTGAGAATCGGATGCCTACAGAGAGGGTCTCAGAACCACACCCCTGGGTCAGTGTGGCCAAGTACCCCATGCCTGGGCCCTGTGTACTGGTACCTTGGTCACCATCCTCTTCTCAGAGCCACAGAATCTTTGGCTGTAACATGGGGACAATATAGGGCATGGCTCACAGGACTGGCACAGCAATCGAAGGAGGAAAAGCTTGCAAAATGTTTACTCACTAGAGTACTGAAAAAGAAAGCAAGGACATAAACAAAGATGGCATCGACTCTTTAGGACACCAAACACTGGGCTCACCCAGTGCCCATTACACAGAGGCCACCCATGCCAGGGAGACACTCATGGGACATGTTCATCGCCTGGAATAGCACACTAGGGAATTGGGAGTCAGGAGACCTGGCAATGCCTCCGACATCCTGTGTGGCCTTAGACAAGTCACTCAACCTCTCTGAGCTGGCTCTGTGGTTTATCAAATGGTGAGAGTAATGTTCTCCCCATGTAGAGTTGCTATGAAAGTTAATGAGCTCATGGGCCAGAGTTTGTTCCGTGACATAGCAGGATACCCCCTGCTATGTCAGGTGGGGACTTGCACCCCAAGTGGCTGCTCAGGGGAGAGATGCTACACCATGACTGGACGTTGGTCAAGAATGATGTTTATGATGCGACCCACCACTGGATTAGGGCCACGCTTGGAAGAGCCTCCATGGTTAGACCCCAGGGCTGTTTGTGGGGCTGAGGAGCCAGGACTTCGTGGAAGCCTAGCTAGTTCAGGATGCCTGTGGGGAACTTCCCCGGGGGCAGGCTTATCCTCTCTCTGAGAGGCAGGATGATGTCTGTACTTGGGAGCCAGGAGGGGGAGCAGGAAGGAGCAGCTCCCAGAAAGCAGACAGCCCTGAGCCTGGGACATGGGAAGCACCCTGTACAAGAAGGTGTTAACCTGGGTCTCAGTTTGCTCATCTGTAAAATAGGGAATAACATAAAAGAGGGAAAATAAAATGGGGGGTAACAATTATTACCACCTAAAGGTTGGTGTGAGAATCATTGAATTAATTCATGTATATCACTAGGTCAGGCACATTGGAAGTGCTCAATAAATGCAACTGCCATTATATTATTATTAGTATTACTTTTCTGCACCATGAACAATAATTTCCAAAGTCACAGAATAAGACTTGGAGCGAACTCCCATTTACAGTCACTGTTTGGGGAGCCTGGGTGGCTCAGTCAGTTGATCATCTGCCTTTGGCTTTGGTCATGATCCCGGGGTCCTGAGACTAAACCCCGTGTCAGGCTCCCTCCTCAGTGGGGAGCCTGCTTCTCCCTCTCCCCCTGCTTGCTGCTCCCCCTGCTTGTGCTTTCTCTCTTTCAGTCAAATAAATAAATAAATAAAATATCAAATAAATAAATAAATAAATAAAGTCATTGTTAGGGTACCTGGGTGGCTCAGTCAGTTGGGCATCTGCCTTTGGCTCAGATCATGATCCCAGGGTCCTGAAATGGAGCCCCACGTTGGGCTCCCTGCTCAGTGGGGAGCCTGCTTCTCCTTCTCCCCTCTGCAGCTCCCCCCTCCTTGTGCTCAATCTCTCTGTCAAATAAATAAAAAATCTTAAAAAAATAAAGTCACTGTTAGTAATTCATGCTTGGCTGAAGGGCCATCAGGATGCCAGAGCTTTGAGGGAACACCTGAGAGTCAGGCAATGTCTTCCCTTTTCCCCTTTCTCTTGCTTGTTGGGGGTTCCTGATGGGATTCCCTTATCCTCCTTCTGCCCCACACTGTTTGCAGTGTCAGGGACCTGGGTACATGGAAAAAATAGTGAAAACAACCGATTCCTATCTGAAGGTGGGATCACCTCTACCAGGAGGTCAATCCCGTCAGAGTCTCTAGGCCCAGGAGGGAAAGACTCCTGGAAGTGGGTGCTGAGGTTAGGAGCATGTAGTATGCTGTCACCAGTGGGTGGCATCTAGAGAATAGGCTGGGGGGGGGGGAGGCAAGCTCTCTCTGCATCCCTGGGGACAGTCTAGGCCACCCTGCATCTGCACATGCCAAAGCGGACCCCAAGCCTGGATCTTTCATATCACCTGTGATGCTGTGGTTCTGCTTTTGCATAAGCCTCCAAGAAGCGGGCCCAAGGGGACAAAGGCTAACTGCTATCAAAGCTCTATCTCAGGAGGAAAAAGAAGGGGAAGACGACAAAAGGAGACTGGGTGAATGAATGATCATGGGCTTCAGCACTGGTCTGGTTGCTGAAGTTTCCCAGATGATGGTGCTATTTCTGCTGCTTGGCTGGGAGCTGGCTCATGGCTGGCGAAATCCCAGGCCCCCCATGTGGTCCCTGGGACTCAGAGGCCCAAGCCCACTCTCCCCTGTGCCCTGTGTCCCCTGCAGTCTGCATCCTCCCTGGAGGCCAAGAGGAGCCCGATCTCGTCCTAGAAGAGGTTGACCCCCACTGGGAGGAGGATGAGCATCAGGATGGTGGTGCCAGCCCACAGGACTCAGAGGCAGCTCCAGCTTATGAAGAGGAGAATGAGGCTGTAGAGGAGATGCCCATGTGGGAGCCAGAGAAAGCCCCAGAAAAAATGACTGTTTGGGAAGATAACAGGTACACAGTACAGAATCCCAAAGGTACCAAAGGGCATAGAACAGGAACCAAACCTCCTCCTCCTCCCTCCCCCAGGCATCCATCCCTCTCTCTGGGAACAGAAACTGCAGGTCTCTTCTCTGCCAGTTCGGGGAGCACCTGAGCATTTACAGGCATGGCTCCCCACCTCCTTTTTTTTTTTTTTTTTTTTTTTTTTTGCACAGAAGATAGCATATCACATGCACCTACCTAGATTAAAAAATCTTTAAAAAAATAAAGTCACTGTTAGTAATTCATGCTTGGCTGAAGGGCCATCAGGATGCCAGAGCTTTGAGGGAACACCTGAGAGTCAGGCAATGTCTCCCCTTTTCCCCTTTCTCTTGCTTGTTGGGGGTTCCTGATGAGACTCCCTTATCTTCCTTCTGCCCCACACTGTTTGCAGTGTCAGGGACCTGGGTACATGGAAAAAATAGTGAAAACAACTGATTCCTATCTGAAGGTGGGATCACCTCTACCAGGAGGTCAATCCCTTGTTGCTCTATTCATTCAACAAGATACCTCTCCACCTTCAGAGCTTAGAGAGATCATCCGCAGCATTTTTTGTTGTTTACAACTGCATAGTATTGTGTTGTATGGATGAAGAGTAGAAGTTATCTACTCTGCCCGCTATGGATGGACATTTATGATTCTGAAATTTTCTTTTTTTTTTAAGATTTTATTTATTTATTTGAGCAAGACAGTACAAGCAGGGGGAGAGTCAGAGGGAGAAGCAGGCTCCCTGCTGAGCAAGGAGCCTGAAGTGGGGCTCAATCCCAGGATCCCAGGATTATGACCCAAACCGAAGGCAGACACTTAACTGACTGAGCCACCCAGGTGCCCCTGAAATTCTGTTATTATAAATATTTTTCAACAAACACTCTTGCACATATGTCCTAATACATGCACGTGAGTAGGTGTGCAGGGTAAGTTTCCAGAACGGGGGCTGCCCCTCCATAGGGACATCACAATCATTGTTCCCACTAGTTGTCTTGGAGATAGCCTCTTGAGCTGGGAGGTCTCAGGGCCACAGGCTTCTGACCTACATTGTCAAGGTGGGGAAACTGAGGCCCAGAGAGGCTCAGGGACTGGCCTAGAGTTGCCACTAGGACGGCAGGAGTTGAGTCAGGCCCCTCATGCCATGAAGTGGCCTTGCTGCTGGAGAGAGCCCGAGGATGCTTAGGTGGGGTTCCCTAGATCAAGTCTTGGTTGAGAAGTCCAGGTCTGGTCTCAGAGGTCACAGGACATCTTCCTGAAAACGGGGGCAGGAGGTGGACTTGGGGTGGTGCTGCAGGTGGGCTCACTTCCTGCTTCTGACCTCAACTCAGGAAGCTGCCCTGGATTCAAGAGGAGAGAGAAGATGAGGAGGAGGATGGAGAGGAGGAGGGAGAAGATGAGGAGGAGGCAAAGTAAGGTGCTTGTGTGTTCTCCATCCTTCCCACAAGGGCGACTAAAGGAGGGGTTACAGGGAGGGGCAGTGGGGCTTCTGGGGTGCTGGAGCTCTTTCCTTGTTCTGTGCTGTGTGCTGCTGGGCACTGAGCAGAGAGGCTGGGGAAGCTGGGGGTCCCCCCACTGTGCTCATTATGATCTGGACCTCTTATTATTTTTTATTTATTATTATTAATTTTTTATTTATGATAGTCACACACACACAGAGAGAGAGAGAGAGAGAGAGAGAGAGGCAGAGACATAGGCAGAGGGAGAAGCAGGCTCCATGCACCGGGAGCCCAATGTGGGATTCGATCCCGGGTCTCCAGGATCGCACCCTGGGCCAAAGGCAAGCGCCAAACTGCTGCGCCACCCAGGGATCCCCTGGACCTCTTATTGTCCACCGCTGAAACTCTCACACACCTGTATACACGCATGAACACTAGAAAGCAGCCTCCTTGGGGGTGGGGGTTTGTCCATTGTGCTCACTCCCATGTCCCTAGAGCCTAGGCACCAAATAATGCCAGCTGAGTGCATGGATGGATGGGGGAAGGGGCCCACACAGTGGGCTCACAGCCCCTGTCATGAGCCAAACCAAAGCATAGGGTTGTGTCCCCATCCATGCTGCCCACAACGGTCCCATGCATGCCTTTGACACTGAAGGTCTGTCCCAGATTCTGTTCTATGGCCCATCAATGGTTGATTCTCCACCCACATCCATAAAGATTTCCACAGGAACACATAGAGAAATCAGTTAAAATAATGGTTAAAGAATGGCAGTCAGAAACCACTAAAAGTTACAATCATCAAACCTGCTGAGAGACTAGATCTTAGTTATTTCCAGCCACTAACAAGGAATGATCATCATGTGACATGGTCGAGGTGCTAATTAGCACCGCAATGGCAAATCATATTATAATATAGAAACACACCAAATCAATGTGCCGTACACCCCAAATTTACACAATGTTATGTCAAACACATTTCAATGATTAAAAAAAAGACCACCAAGAGGGAGAATTTTAGCAGTGTGTGAAGGGCAGGACAGATGGAGAGGGGGACACAGGGGGAGATGGGTAGCAGGTGGCGGGGCCCAAGTGGAGTTGGGGGTGAGGGGTTGGAGTGTAAAGTCAGGATGTGTAGACAGAGCTGGAAACCACAGGGCTGGAGGAGATGCTGGGGGAGCTGGCATGGTGGAGGAGAGGCCCAGACGCCACATCAGAGCCACGGAGATTCGAGGACCCAGAAAGGCCTGAGGAGGAGGTGCCTGTGAGGGGAGTGGGAGACGAAAAGAGTGTGGAGCCTAGGGGTTCAAAGAGCGAGTGGTTTGCTGCCTCAGAAGCAGCCCGTTGTCCAGGGGCCAGTGACAATGCAGCTGGTGGACATGGGGAGAGAGGATGCATCAGATGTGGGGGGCCAGATTGTGAAGGCCTTGTGCTTGCTTTCCTGGGAGCACTGGGGAGCCATTGAAGGTTCGTGAGTGGGGGGGGGGTGATCTGGCAGCTGTAGTGTGGGGAGACTGAGGCAGGAAGAGCTGTGAGGAGGCTGCTATCACGGGGCAGGCCAGACGGATTTAATCTGTCCCTTGCATTAGTCCCCATCCCTGTGCCTGTTCCCTCCATGGTGCCCTGGCCCACACCTTCCTCCTTGACCTGTGCCCCTGGCCCTGGCTCGAGACTTGGGCTCTGCTCTTCCTGGCAGAGTGACCTGAGCACGTGCGCACGGCATGGAGCTTCTGCCTCTATGTCTATGGAACAAGGGTACCAACAGCCCCTGCAGAGTAGACACAGGGCCAGCTGTGTAGCCGGTATATTAGGGTCTGGCCCGCAGTGGGTGCCCCATCAAATGTCGTCAATGTTCTTATCCCCACTGAGGGTCACTTACTGTCCCAGTCAGGAAATAGTCATACCATGAGACCAGCACAGGACTTCCGGGCTGAAGACCTGCTCAGTGGCATCTGCCTTTATCCCACTTTCCCTAGTTTGCATATAACTTTTTCATCATTGGGAGGAGACCACACAGCCACTTGCTTGCCTCCAGCGATGGGGAGCTCACAACCTCTTGAGGGACATCCATCCCATCCTTATACACCTCTGACTTATGAAATTATTTCTTCCATCAAAAATGAGCATGTTTCCCTATGGTTTCTGTAACCCAGTCCGAATTCTGCCCTCTGGGTTCCCCAGAGCCGGAGTGCTCTCACTTACAGGTGACAGCCCTTCTCCTGGGTGAAGGCTTAGGTGTGGCCCAGCCTTATTCATGCAGCCCCATCTGCTGTCTGCTTTTCACCTTGAAGGCCAGCGAGTTAGTGTACTCACACGCAGGCACCTACTACGCACGTGTTCTCAGTGCACAGTACACACTGGTACATGCACGTATTGCACTATGCGTACACGCCAACACATACATACAGACACACACACGGGGTTGGGTACACACCTATATGTGCAGGTATGCACACAGTTACACCCGCACATAACCCACACACATGCACAAGCACACACACACACTCATCTATGTGTCCACACACACGTGCACACACAGGCACGCAGATGCACACTTGCATGTAGGCATGCTCTGCCCTGTCCGCACGCTCATGCACATAAGCCTGTGTATATAATTACCCACAAACACTGCAGACACACATGTAATCACACACATTTCCCCAGAGTTTCAAACTTGGGGAACTTTAGGGCCCAGGGCCCTGGATGGGGACGAGAGTGCAAGTGATCCCAGGGCCAGGGCCAGAGGGTGTCAGGTGTGGGCAAGCGGCTGGGGCTGTCCTGGCTGGGGGAGGATGCTCTCTCCAGCTTTGCAGAGGCACAGGGGTTACTGATGACGCGCGCAGGCCCTGGTAACAGGCAGACAGTCGCCTAGCGACCTGGTCTCTGCCGGCAACAGCTCAGCTCTTCCTAGCAACCGCAGCCTTTTGGTCCCCACCTAGCCTCCCTGGGGGCATTTCAGCAGAGTTCCCTGCACCCCCCCTCAATCTAATTAGAAGCAGGAAGGATCAGTGGCTCATCTGCCACCCGAGCCACACTGGCTCCAGCGCTGGCCTGGCAGGCCTGGGGCTGGGCTGGGGCTCCCCCAGCTGTCTACCTGTGTGCACTCGACCCGGGGCTCGGGATGAATGTCACCGCCCCCAGCTGAACTCCTGCATCATGGGCCCTCTTGTCGGCAAAGACAGCGAGACCCAAGTAGGTGGCTACTTCTTCCTAGGGGTTCCCCTTCTTCCTTTCAGGGTTGGGGTGCCTGGTGAGGAGTGTGCTGAAGACCTTGGCTTAGGGGCATAGCCTGCCAGGTGCTGCTGGGGAAGAGGAGCAGGGGTGGCCAGCATTGGCTTCTCCCTGCACCTCTATCTTCGATAGCCAGCTGGGGAACCCCTCTGGATGCCCACCTCAGCCAGTTTGTCTGATCCTCTGCTTGGAAATTGCTAGGATTGGGGAGGTTTCTAGAAGTTGATGGCCTACTGCTTCTGGGCCAGGCAAGGAGGGGGCATGGGGCCCATTGTGGGCCAGGGGCAATGTGACTTTGGGTACATAGCTCCCAAAACGGCCCCTGGAGGCGCTGACAGGGCCACAGTAGGGCTTGTTAGGTGTCTTGATAGCTGGAGATGTTTGTGCAAGATGTTTCCAATCCACGTGGGTGACTCATAACCCTGCAGGATGCTGCCTCCCCTACGATTAGTAATAATAACAACGATGAAAACAATCACAACAACAGCTGCCATCTGAGTAACACTTGGTGTCCATGCCAGACTCTGGGCACTGATTATTCATCCCATTTCACAGAGGACGGAACTGGGGCTCACAGTCCTCTCCATGTCCAAGGGGTGCACTGCCAAGTGCAGAGCTGGGACCATAGCAAACAGTTGGTTTGCTTGGCCAACAGACAAGGAAATTGCTTATCAGTGTTGAGAGATGGGGGATGAAGAATGACACCAGGCATGGGAAGTCTTTTTTGACTTTTTCATGAGATTCTCACTGGCCCTTCTGACCTTACTCAAATAAGTCAGACTGGACAGGCTGAGTAAGTCCTACTCGTTTGACAGATGGGCAAACAGAGGCAGACCGAGGGCTTCCCAGTGACATGCTCAAGGCCATCCAGTGATTTCCTGGCCTGATTCTGGAATGAGCAACACCCCAGGCAGCCCTTGACTGGACCGTGAACGATCATGTCCTGGGCCTTTCTGCTTGGAGAACTGGGCAGGGCATAGTTCCCACTATGCTTTTAGGGGCCTTCAAGCACATTTTAATTTCTTTTGACATCAGACCCCAATATGAACTTTTCAGTGGGAGAGAATGTTCGAATATATAATAGTAACATATAGATCTTCATATAAATGTAATCACAAAATATAATTTTTCTTTTTAAGGACAAAGGGGCCCATGAGGGCTAAAGTGCCCAGGCCCCAGGAAAGTCATCAGGTGCTTTTGCTTTTGTGATTTGAATCTCTTTAAGAAAATCTGTCTCTTCCTAGGCAGGGTGGGGAGTATGACCCTGATAGCTGAGGCCCCTTACAATGGAAATAGTTATGTACTGTTGAAGGGAAATGAAGTGAGTTAGGTGATTGGATCCTCAGGACAGACACTTGCCTCACTCCTCCATGTCACACGGGGCCGTGTAGACGCTCAGAGGCAGGCAGCCAAGTATTGACTGGGGCCTTGGGGTCAGAGGTACCTGTGTTTTATCCAGGCTTGCCTTGTGCCAGCTGTGTGACCGTGGATGGGGCATCTGCCCTCTCTGTGCCTTCCATTGCTGAGCTGGAATGGGACCAGTCACAGCCCCAGCCTCTCAGGGTGGTTTGGGTGAGAATGCAGGGAGCCACAGCCCATGGGGACTGCTGTGGCAATGTGATCACTGATTGATTCTTGCCCCCAGGCTACTGGCTGTAAACAGACTGGGGTTGCAATTCTGTCCCCACCCGCTCACCCACCTCGGGAGAACTGAGGCTCAGCCCTCTGGGCAGGAGATGGTGAATCCGGGTTTTCCAGACGGCAGACATTACAGAGCACCCTCTGTGAGCCCTTGCTGACAGAGGTCTGTGAGATAGGGTGGGCCACTAGAAACCAGGATCGATTTCTAACTACAAAAGTCCCATTGGCCCCTGATTCTGAGTCACCACTTCAACCCAGAGGCTGTGCACGGGCATCGAAAGGCCCAATTTAGCCCATAGACAGGCTCTTTTGTTTATCTACATATTACCATGAGTATACTAATTTGGATTAATTATCAGCAACTAAAGATTGGAGATCCCACCTTCGAAACATGTAGTTCAGGCTCCTCTTGAAAATCGGAAGATTTTTCAAGCCAAGTGGGATTGCTGACTCGGATGGGTACACGTTCTCTGCACCCCTGGTCCCCGTCAGCCTGGGCCAGGGACCCCTGAAAGCTTCAGCGGCCGAAGTGTGGCTCTGATCTCATGCCTGGAAAGAAGTAGGGCTTGCATTCAAGGTTTGTGTGGTGTCCGACAATGTGATTTTGGCCAGGTTAGATCACCTCCCTGGGCTTCACTTTCCTCATATTCCCTGCTTGCCTGCATCACCAACATCACCTGGAGACCTGCAGAGGGGAAATGCTGGGAGTATATTTTGAACTCTATACAGTGCCATTGGTCCCACCCCCAGAGGACAGTTTCTCAAATCACCCACCACATTTTTCTTTGCACATGCTGTTCCCTCTTCCTGGACAGCCTTCCTTACCCATTCCTCATGATCAACTCATTGTCCCTGAGATCCAGCTCCGATGCCACCTCCTCTGGGCAGGCCTCCTTCCTTGGCACAATTGTGGTCTGCTTGGTCTGTGCAGGGATCCTCGTGAGGGTGAGGACCTATTTGTGGGCATCTTGGTGCACCAGCTCCCAACACAGGGGCTGGCTCTCAGCAGGGCTCAGGAAATGTCTAATGTCCCTAACGCTAGCCCTTTCCTCCTCCCCCATGGGGTCACAGTGTCCTGCTGGATAGCTGTCTGGAGGCGCAGGCTGGCGAGGACCTGACTGGAGTAGACAGAAGCCAGCCCCAGAGGGCCTCCCAGCAGGTACGGAGCGGCACCGGGCCTGGTACCGACCACCTCTGAGGCCTGGGTGGGCGTCGGCAGAAGCGGCTGTGGCTTTGTCTACTTTGTTTACAGGGGGATTTTCAGCTGGTGGCGTCACGTGCAGTCATACACTGTGAAGTGTAGTGCCCGGGGGGAGGCTGTGGTGGCTGCTTTAGCCGCTCGAGGCCCGCATGCACAGGGCTGTGTGAGAAGACCTCCCTCCTCATCTGCGCCAACTCCAGGCACTGGGGCCCAGGGCTCCCGTGTGCCCTCCCCTCTCCAGGGTGGAGGCTGCCTCCCTGGATGCCCCAGCAGGTGGGGTGGCAGGACCTGACCCGTGAGGCAGCGCTAGGCGTGGAATCAGGGCCCCTGAGGACTCTAACAGGGTCTGGGCTGGCCTGGGGCTAGGAGGAGGCTTGGGGGTCTCAGCTTCTGTTTCCCCTTCATTGTCTGCAGGAGCTGCAGGAGGAGGCCGTGACCACCAGCCCAGAAGGTAGGTGTGCCCTGGGGTCGGGGGGTGCACAGAATGTTGCGGATGTTTTCAGGCCAGGGGGAAGCCTAGGCACAAGGGCATGCACCCCCTCTCCCTCCATCTCTGCTGTCCCTATGCCTGTCTTATCCTTGGGCAAAGCCCATCCTCTGCGTCTTGGGGCCACATTATTGAACTTTGTGATGTATTTCAAAGGCCCCAGGAGAATCACTGGAGGCTCCCGGGACTCCAGCAGGCCTGTGGAAACCCCACCCCCGGTCAGCCCCTCCAGCCCCCCACCTCACTGGGAACGCCGTTCTCTGGACCACCAGCTAGAGAGGGATTGACTGAAATGTAGCCTCTCTGAGTGAAAGTCGGGACCCCAGCTTGCAAAGGGCCCGGCCTAGACTCCACGTGTCATGATGCGCTTTTCCTTACTGCTCAGATCCCCAGGCCACGCCCAGCACATGCACTTTGCTGTTATTTACCGCCCTCACCCCCAAACCCGAGAACTCCAGGGACGGTGCGGCAGAGTCCAGGGGAGCCGAGGATAGCTAGGCTGGGGAGCCCGAGACAGGTGGACACGAGCCCTGGCCTTACAAGCCTCCGGGTCCCTTGAGCCGCCAGTGCTCTAGCCACACTGTGAGGCAGACAGACCAATAGAGGATATGGCTGAGCGGTCAAGGGCACAGACCTGCATGTCACTGTTGGCTCCTCCCTCCCGTTGCTGTGTGACCTGGAGCCCGGTGTGTGACCTCTCCTAACTGTGGCTCCCCACAAGGAAGACAGGGCAATAGTAGTACCCACCTCCTAAGGCAGGTGGGCAGGGCCGGGGGATAGTGTGTTGCAGGTACCCAACCCTGTGTGGCGCTGAGGCAGGAGGCCACATGGGGACCCCGAGGCCTGTGTCCCAGCCAGCCAGAGACTGACCTGGGACTGTACGCAGGTGTCCTGACCCCAGGCATCCCGAGCTTGCTCCCCACCTGATCTCTGAAAAGCACCTTCTATTGACTTGAACACGCTATCGGTAGGAAACCTACTAAGTCTGAACCCCACACAGATGAATAAGACCAGGGTTGCCCTGCTGCAGACTCAGGTTCTGAGGGCCTTGTTCTGCCTCCTTCTCCGGGTCATCTGGAAGCAGGTGGCCTGGGAACCACGCTCAGAAACACAGGCAGTGCCATTTGTCTGCTGCTCCTCAAAAGTGTGGACCTAGAACCGGCAGCTTTGGTGTTACCTGGGAGCTGGTTGGAAATACAGAATCCCAGGCCCCACCCCAGATCGGCTGAACCAGAATTGCATTATAACCAGATCCCTGGTGGTTTTTTGCACAATAGTGTTTGAGAGGCAATGGCCTCGAGCCCTGGTTCTCAAACATGTCTGCGCACCAAAATCATTTGGGGAGATTTTAAAAATCAGACATTTCTGAGTGTCCCCAGGTGATTCCGATGTAAAGCCTACAGAACATTCCTGCTTCTGGGTGGAAGAGAAATTCATTGAGCTCCAGGGTTTCTATGGAATGGAACATCCTACCTGGCTGAGAATGCTTCAGTCCAGGATATGTGGGTTCTTTGATTCTAACATTTTCTGTCTGAGTTGGGAAATGCCACCATTTGGTGGTGGTTGGTTAACAGAGAGAGCACAAAAAGTTGGGGGGCCCGGTGCTGTCCCTCAGAGCTGTCAAGTAGACCAGCCACACGACATGACATGATGACGCTTCTGACGTTGACTCCAGGGACACAAACGATGTTCCAGGCTTTGGGTGCAGCTGCTACAAGTGCAGGAGGGTACTGGCTGGCCCACATTGGCGCTGGTGGGCAGGAGTCTACCTGCCCTGCCTCCCCCAACCCTTGTTCCTGGTTGCAGTCCCCAGGGTTCCACCTCCACCTGAGCACCCCGGCCCCAGCACCATGACCAAACCAGGCCAGGATGTGGAGCTCAATCACCTGGTCCAGGACCAGCCACCCGGCCAGGTGGCTCCAGGGCTTGCTCCCCCAGCCCTGGTGGAGCACCTCCCCAATGTGCCCAGCTACCACCCCCCAATCACCCGCATCCCTGTCCTCATCTCCCGGAGGACGGCCTTGTCCAACTCCAACTTCGCCAAGGAGACCAGGAGTTCCATCCGTCGCCTAGGTAGTGTGATCTCATGCACCTAGCATGCTTGTGCCTCAGTGTGCTTCTGCATGGCTTGGGCTGTTCCCTGCATGGGTGCCGTGGCAAGGTATAGGACTGCCAGTTGAATTCATGGAAAACTACCCCCTCCTCTGTTGACCAATGCCTTCATCTTGCTTTGTGGTGACTTAAGAAGTATTAGTCCCCTTATCTCTGTGCCTCAAATCCCACAATTAGCAGTTAAGTTCTTTGGGTTAAACATTACATTCTGCAGATCATCATTTTTTTTCTTTTTCTTTTTTTTTTTTTTTTTTACAGATAGTCAATCGCACCCCAGTTTAAACAAATTACTAAGCTCTCTAGGCCAAGAAACTTGGGTGGGGGAAGAAAATAAATTGAGGGGATTGGGGCAGAAGGGGAAGGTGAGGACCCATTTCAGACAGAGTCTTACTGACCTTGATGATTTTCTGGGAGCTGGACTTTCTAAGAATTGTTGATACCGCCCAGAAAATTCCATTTCAGGAAAAGAGAGGCCCCCAGGTGTCTGCAGGCAGACCAGGAGTAGAAGCATCCTGGGGGCCAGCAAAGGAGGGCTGTTTGGATCTGTTTAACTGTAACAAGGTCCCTGCAATAGCCTTTGGGCTCCTGCTGCTTGCTTCTTGGTGACCAAGTGCTCGGGAAAATCCTGGCACCTCTGGACTAATCCCTATCACTCTGCTTTAACTGGAGCCAGACCTGCCCACTTTCCCTTTTAATTGACTTATTTTTGAGTGATAGTGTGCAAGGTTGCCTGTGAGGTCAGTAGGCAGGTAGAACTGAACATGTCCTGAGAATAGATCCAGTTCTGTCTTTTTTTCCTGGCTCGTGGTGGGCATAGGATGGGGATGAGGTGGCACGGGGATTGGCCCGCCAGGCTCAGTCTTCTGGGCAAGCCCTACATCTACTCACTCCAGAGCATCTTCCAATTTCTACCCCCACGGATCCCTTCTCAATTTATGCTACATTCTGTACTGGTTCTACATTTATTTGCTTGGTATTTTTATTTCGGTAGATTCATTTTTTAAATTTCGTTAAGTTTATTTAATCAGGAAACTTTACAATACTATTCCAGTAAGAAACCAACATCATGTGCCATAAATAGAAGGCATACATCGAAATAACAAATAAGAAAACAAAGTCATGCTAATTGTTCTAGCGAAGTGCAATGACCTGCTGAAGGCTCCCAGGGGAGCCCTGCTCTCTTAGCCACGAAGAGGAATTAGGATGTGTCCGAGAGGCATCAAGGCTATGGTAGCACCATGCTGAGACTTCTCTGTGCGCGTTCAGGATCTAGAGAGAATGGGGATGGGAGGAATGTTCTCATTCTGTGTTTCCTTTGCCTCATCTGTGTCGTCTTAAATCATCTTGTGTCTTCCCTGGTCCCTGGGAGCCCCACGCTTGGGGAAATAAGTGTCCCCCACACGTTGGGACAGTGGACTGATCCAGCTGTGGGGGTACGACCAGAGATGATTTGAGATGTTGTGGATAAGGTGTGGCAGCACGTAATAAGATTATCCCTATTTCAGGGATGCTGCTTGGCACACAGTGAGGCTTTGTTTAAACAGAGGCCTCTATGTGTGCTGGTCACCTGCCTCGGGATGGAGGAAGAGGCTCAGAGCCGGGCTGCCTGAGTCCAAATCCTGGCTCTGCAGCCAGGTCCTTAACTTTTCTGTGCTTCAGTTTATCCACAAAACGGGGACCATGATAACAGCAGCCTTCTAGAAGGGCTGGGAAGGGGGAAAGAATTAATATATGTAAAGCACAAAGAATTTAGTAAAATAAATGCCTGGCAGGCACATCGGAAGTGCTTCACAGTAAATATGAACTATTCTCTAAACCAATTTAATCATGCCATATTATTCTTTATTTTTTTTTCACAATATTATTCTCATTCTATAAAAATAAAATACCAGGCTTAGGGGTTTTCCTCCTTTCCTGGGGGTGATGGAGGTTGCAGAGTCTTGCTCAGCAAGACTGCCCCCCACCTCCCAGGCTCCCGGAGACGGCCTCACAGAGGGGCTACGCCGGGAAGTCTGGGGCCCTGAGCATTTTGGACAGGCTGCCCTGGGTCCAGCTGCTGCCCCAGCCCGCTCTACCCCCCACCCGCCCCCAGCTCACCCAGCCGGGAAGCAGGCCCAGGTACCTGTACCTCACTCCCTCTCCTGCTTTCTACAGCCCAGGGTATCTCTTGTTAGTCCAGCAAAACTTCCTCCTTAAATCTTTAGAAACATCTCCACCCCCGCTCATCCTCTTCCTCTGAGGGCTGAAGGCTTAGTAGAACAGATGCTAAAAGGCCTTGCTTAGACCCCCTCCGTCAAAGTCCACAAAGTGCTGGCTTTTCTCATGGTGGCCATTTCAAAAGAAAATTTTGTCTCCGAGGGTTTCAAAATGCTCCCTCTCCCCATTTTGGTGGTATGTGCCCTCCTAGCTGGTACTGGGCTTGCGCCTGGCTGCTAGCCAGTGGTCCCACCCAGGTGTGGCTGGGAGACCCCGCCCCGCCCCGCCCGGCCTGCTCTGGCCCCCTCAGCATCCTCCGAGCTTCACCTCAGGCAGGGGTCCCCACAGCCCTCGGGGTGGGCGATGAAGCCTGAGGCAGGGCCACCCCCTGCCTCCTCAGGGAGGCCCCAGTTCTTGAGATGTGGGACATGGCACCAGACCTGTCAGAGGTCAGGAGGGAGGAATTGGGCTGATGAGTTCCAGGGGCTTCTGGCACACCCCAAAACAAGGAGATACCAAAACAGATTCCCAAACAGGGGTGACACATCGACCGGGACAAGCTGCTATCTTGAATTGCAAGAAAATTCCCAATGTCTCCACATGAGGCCCTTCAGGAGTATGAGGCCATGTGCCTTTATCATCCCTACCTTGGGATGGGGAAACTGAGGCCCAGAGAGGGGAAGCAGCTGAGGCTGTGTGAGGCCAGGCCCTGGGACTTGGGCTCTCCCAGCCTCTCCCTGACCTTTCTGGCTGCTGCCGCCCAGCACCCCCACCCCACTCCCGCCAAGCCCCAGGTCCTTGATGCTTCTCTGGGCCTGGGGAAACCAGCCTGAGCTTGGGAGAGCTAGACTCCAGGCAGTGCTCAGGAGCTTCTGTGCTTCTATGGTGTGGTGGCTCCTTTTGCAGTTCCTGGGCCGGTGTCTGGGGTGGCCAGGCCCTCAGAGGCCCCCGGAGCTCTATGTTCTTGCACTCTCTGCATGGAGCTCTCCTGTGGGCCCCACTGGGGGGTGAGGCTGCCAGAGGCCCCTCCAAACATGCTTTCTGTGGCTTTACTCAAGAACAGAGCAAGGCCCTTGGGACCCGGCTTCTCTCTGTCTCTCTCTTTCTGACTGTCCTCTCCTGCCTCTCTCCAAGTGCCTGCTACAAAAGAGCACCCGGAAGTGCAGGTGGAAGATGTTGATGCGGACAGCCATCCCCTGATCGTGGAAAATACCCCCTCACCTGAGCTGCCACCACCTTCTCCTGCCAAAGCCGACACCCTCACGGTCCCAGGATCTGCCGCAGGAACAGAAAGGTCACCTTTTACGCTTCCCTTGGGCTTTTCAGTCACTCAGTGCTTTGGTGTCAGGACTGGGACTATGGCCCTACTCCCTGGTCCTAAATCCTGGTTTAGGACTCTATAAAGGATTCTCCAAGGAAGTCCTGTCCCAAGTATAGAAGGGGATAATAAATGTGATAAGGCTAATCTCCACTCCCTCATTTTATTATGAAAACAATGGAATGGAGAATCAAAAAACACTAGAAAAATAAGCATCCTCATCCCACCACACTAGATAGTGATTTCATTTTACTGCCTTCTCTTCTGTATCTGACCTATGGGCCCTTGCTTATGTGTGGTTTTAACTGGAGGAGTGATTTGGGTCACATCTCATCCAAGACCACATCTGACATTCCTACAGTTCCATGTGCCAGAATAAACTTCATAAATATATTCTCATTGGGCACTCTCCATAATGGAGCTAAGAACATCTCTTTGGGTCTCTTCTCTCTGTCCTCGGGCTCCTTTCTCAAAAGTGGAGCTCCTGGTCAAGGCTGTACACGTTTTTATGCCTCTTGATATAAATTTGTTGTATGATTAGAGTTGGTTTTGGACAACCTGAGCCAGGTAACAGAGGTCTTGCATACAGCTGTAGATAAACAGTGAAGTGCTTTGCAGTACTTTGTAAATAACTATATTTAAACTGCAGGAAGTGCCAGATGCTTCTTTAGTGGTTGGATTGTGAGATAGCTTCCTTTTCTTGATTAGTCTTTACTCTCCTCTAAGGGGCCTTGAGTACTTTCTCAGCCAAGGTAAAAAGCTTGCTGTAACAGAGATGGCTAGATGTGACCAACTGAGGGCTCTCTGATTTTAATGTAAAGAAAAGAGTTGTAATCTCATCTAGCCTTGGATCACAGCCCACTGTCCTATCAGTCTTCTTGTTTCATTCTTTGAACTATACACAAAGCACACATAACAGGAAATGGAGCCAACACTGTTGCAGACATCTGGTCTACCTCCCTCTGCTCTCATCATACAGGCTGGGTTGGGGGTAGATATCTGGGCACAGAGAGGGGAGTAGGCTCACCTGAGGATAAAATCCAAGCCCTCTGCCTTCTGTTTATGGGCTAGGCCTGGGAGTCTCTTGTCCTTAGCACTCACTCACTCATTCATTCACAAACATTTATTGAACATCTTTATATATCAGGCTCTGCTCTGGGGTGCTGAGGATGCATCAAGGAGGAGCCTGACAGGGGCCTGCTGTCACAGAGCTGATGTTCTAGGGGGGCTGGGATAGACTATGAACAGACAAGACTGCTCCAGAGAGCACTAAGTTGAACATGACTCCGAGACCAGGAGAACCTCTACTTGAGCCTCTGCCTGAGCATGGCCCTGAGAAGGGAAAATTCTGATACCTGACTTGAGAGGCCAGTGGTGCCTATGGTCAGAGGTGGAAGGAGCATTGTGGGCAATTGATAGGCACCAAAACGCCACAGGAACCACAGAGGCTGATGGAGGGGCACACAGGCAAGGCCATGCCTCATAGCTTAAAGCCTGGTTTTGGGGTGAATCCCAGCTCATCACTCACTGATGTGAGGCTCAAGGCAAGCAGTTAACATTCCTGGTCTTCCTGTTCTTCCTGTAAGATGGGGATAAACACACCACCAGTTACTAGATTGCTGGAAGAATTCAATGAGTTAATTCATGCCAGGTGCTTAGCACAGGGCTTGGGGGAGCCTAGCTGCTGACTCAGTTCCACACTCTGGGGTCTCGGGCAGCATGTGCTCTCCTGGCTCAGGAGAGAACACCAGGCTGGGTGCAAGAATACCGAGTTTGGGTCCCCCCTGTGCAAACTCTGCCCTCAGTGCCCTCGAATGTGAATTTTATTTAGAGTTGAAAGAAGTGAACCCATGAGTGCTGCCTTCCTTGGGGAGGTAGCAGAGGGCAAATGGATAGTTCCAGACCTTCTAGAATAAAGGCAAGTGCTGCACATCCCCCCAGGCTGTATCCTTCTTAAATGTCTGGGATCCTGAGTCCTGGTGGTTGGGGATGGGAAGAAAGACAGGTGGGTTTGAACCCAGACACCATCAGCCAGGACTCCAATGGCTTCAAGTGCAGTTGCCATAGACATGGACCAAATGACAGGGGACCCTGGGGAGGCTTGGTGTTCCTTCCTCAGACAGGGAGCCTGGAAGAGGTGCCCTGGGGATGCATTCCCTATAGACTGGGAGGGGACGCATGCCCTGTAGACTGGGAGGGGACAAAGGCCCTGTAGACTGGGAGGGGACACAGCTCCTATAGATTGGGAGGGGACGCAGGCCCTGTAGACTGGGAGGGGAGGCAGAAGAACATTTAAGCTGAGGTCCCAGTGAGTCCTAAGTAACTCATTCTACCCCCTGCCCCATTCCCCCTGCCCAGGGTTCAGCTCTAGGTGATCTGCAGGCGTCAAAGTCGGCTCATTTCCCCTAGGCCCCTGCCCTTGCTGAAGGCCTCTTCTATGTCTGTGTCCTTGCAGGAAGAGGCTGCCCTCCCAAGATGATGAGGCTGAAGAGCTCAGGGCACTGTCACCAGCTGAGTCCCCCATGGTCGCCTGGTCAGACCCATCCAGCCCACAAGGCACTGAGTGAGTGGGGATCACCTCCAGGGTCTCAGAGGTTGGAAGTATGGATAGGGATGAGCAGGCAAGGGGAGGTGAATGGGGTGGCGGAGAGCACAGACCTTTTTAGAACCCTGTACCATGAATTTGCAGCACCATCTGAGCCGTAAGGCTGGGCTCTGTCTCCTGTCCAGGCTGCTTTTGGCTGGCCTAGGAGTTCTGTAAAGTCTGCAGAATAGGGACGCCTGGGTGGCTCAGTGGTTGAGTATCTGCCTTTGGCTCAGGGCGTGATCCCGGGGTCCTGAGATCGAGTCCCACATTGGTCTCCCTGCATGGCGCCTGCTTCTCCCTCTTCCTGCGTCTCTGCCTCTCTCTGTGTCTCTCATGAGTAAATAAATAAAATCTTTTAAAAATCCGCAGAATACACTCTGTCTTTGCAAAGAGGCTTTGTTGTGAAAGAGAGTTTCCTGGCCCACAGGCAGAGGTTGGCTCCTGGCACCAAACCCCTGAGGGGGTCAGCAGGTGGAGTGAGGACCACAATGATCTTCCAGGGTCTGAACCCAGGGAGCTTGTTAAAAATACAGATTGCCAGTCCCTGCCCAGACCTGCTGCATCAGAACCTCAGACAGTGGGCCCTGGGGCATTCACATTTTTATAAGCCTCCAGGTGGTCTGTGGGACAATATTTAGAGGCCACAGTGAGGGCATTGGAACCTGGGTCTCTGACATCTACCTATTCCAAGGACTGGGCCAACAGAAGATGTTTTCCTGAAGAGTCTGAGATGTCTGGTTGATGGTGAATCCCCTGGCTGCAGGCTCTGGTCTGGGATCCCCAACCTATTTCCAGCCACAGCTCCAGGAGTGGCCACAGGAGGCACTAGACTTTCCTCCCAGCTTTTTTTTCTTTTCTTTCTTTCTTTTTCTTTTCTTTTTTTTTTTTTTTACCCATAATTTATGGAGTTTGTTTTACAGAGTTGTGGAAAGTTCAGAAATGTTAGAGGAGCAGGAAAAAAAATACAAACCTCACCCCTAGTTCACTGGTCCATTTGAGTATACGGTGGAGTCCCATCTTATGCAGTAGGGTTGGGACAGGGTCAGAGTTTAGTAGCAGAAAACAAGACCGAAATCAGTTATAATAATAAAAGTTACCCTTGAAGGCTCTTAGGGGGTTCAGCGTGGGGATCCATGCGCTAGCGAGGTGGGCTCAGCCTCTGTAACAAATAGACCCCACAGATTCAGTGGCTTAAGCAACAAGATGTCTCATTTATCATAAACATGTCACTAGATCAGTGGAGGGTTCTGCTCCATTAAGTCAGTTTAGGGACCCCGCTGACAGCAGCTCTGCCACCTTCATGTGGCCTCCAAGACCCCACAGGTCACCCCTAGAAGGGGAGAATGCCAGGCAAGGGGTTCAGGGATGCATGTAATGTAGTATGTCCATTCATGTTCCCCTGGTGGGAGCTCGCCCGGCCACACGCAGGACCTGCAGCCCCTCGCTGGGTGTCTGCAGCCCAGCGACCTCTCCCACGGGAGCCGATGTGGGTTAGCAGCTGGCATCTCCACCCCCCCTTTGTGCTGTCTCTTGTTAAGGCCCCTGGACTGCTTGTCTCCAGCCTGCCTCATCAAGTGAGCACGGGGAGAGGAGCTGGCTTGCATTCTTTACCTTTGTGGATGAAAACAAATAGATGTGAAAATACTAGTATTACACTCAGCTCAGCACAATGGTCCCAGTGAGGCTGCTCAAAGGACAGCCGATTTACAGCCTGTCTCAGCTCACTCCAGGCACTTGCCCCATGCTGAGTGGAGTGGTGGGTAGACTCGCACTCTCTCTCTTGCTGTCTCTCTGTCCATCTGTCTCTCTTGCTGCAAGTGCATGCAGTTTAAATTCCTTTAAGTTAAAAGGAAACAATTTTTAAAAAGATTTTATTGATTTATTCATGACACACACACACACACACAGAGGCAGAGACATAGGCAGAGAGAGAAGCAGGCTCCCTGAGGGGAATCGGATGTGGGACTTGATCCCAGGACCCGGGATCACACCCTGAGCCAAAGGCAGACACTCAACCATTGAGCCACCCAGGCGCCCCAAAAGGTTACATAATATATCCACAATATTCTTTTCCACCAGCTATTTCCTGAGCCAAAAGTATAGCCCCGTCCCTTCTTTGATCTGTCCCAGACACGAATCTCATGTGAACCCTGAATTGGGACCAACAGCCCTGATCTAAGTTCTAAGCTTTGCTGCCTAAATCTCAAGTGGGATCAAAGTTTTCTCAGAACTCTCCATCTGAATCAGATCCCACGTGGTACATTTTCTAAAAGCTGGGCCCCCGGGTGTTAGCCCCAGACTGAATTTCCTCCTAGGAGCTATTAAAGTGGATTTGATATTTCTGGTGTCAGAAGGAAACCGGGACAGCTTTTACCTCCTTAAGGCCAGGTGGAATACAGATGCCATTCAGCTCTTGCCCGGGGGCACAGGGGTCCCTTCCCCTCCAGCCCACTCACTTCGGGTGGTGTGTCCACAGTGGCCAGGATCGTGCAACCTCCACGGCCAGCCAGAACAGCGCCATCATCAATGACCGGCTCCAGGAGCTGGTGAAGCTTTTCAAGGAGCGGACGGAGAAGGTGAAGGAGAAGCTCATCGACCCTGATGTCACCTCCGATGAGGAGAGCCCAAAGCCCTGTGAGTCCAGAGCTTGGATGATTCACCCTATCAGAAACAGAGCCCCTAAAGCCCTTGTAAACTCCTGGTGAGGGCACCCCCAAGGAAATGGTTGAGGTGCTTGAGAAAGGCCTATGTCCCCACTGTCTGGATTTTGGGGTCCTGTATGTACAGGTTTAGCTATGTACCCAGGGGACAAAATAAGGTCAAGTTCTGACCGATGATCCAGTTGTACTTGGCTCTCCCTCTGGGCAAAGTACCCTCATTGGCCCTTCTGGCCCTTTCCCTCTGGCAGGCAGGTGGTTCAGCCTGGGAGGCATCTCATGGACTTACACACAGAGGGTGTCCATACCCCACTCTGGAACCAGGCAGTCTTATTTTTTGGAGGCCTCATTTGGAATAGTCTCATGGGGCTACCTGAAAGTTTCCTGTTTTCAAGATTCCAGGGGGAAATGAGAGGTTTTCCAGGTCTTTCCAAAGGAGGACTGTGCCCCAGATCTCAACAATGGACCTAGCAGGGCCTGGATCCAGAGTCCTAGAGCTAGAAATGCAACCATATTGAACCTACAAAATTCAACCTCTAGGTCACCAACAACATTGCCTTCAATGCACAGGGAGGCTCTGGTTCCCTTCAGTGTCCTATTTCAGAAATAAAGGAGCTAGGTTCTTGTTCTGTAAAACCCAGAGCAAGGTTTCCCTGACTTCTGGCCATGGGTCGTAGGAATCTGGGTACGAAACGCCCCCAGCCCTCCAGAGAGAACTGAGGGGGTCTAAACACAGATGCACAAACAGACTTTTTCAAACATCCAACTTGTCCAGAAACATCTCATTCTGGGCAGCTCCTGAGAAGCAGCTCCAGACTGGTAGCTGATAAGAGTGTCAGGGCAGGTGCTGTGGGGTTTGCTGCAGGAGAGCACCCCAGCTTCTGCACGCAGGGCTGACAGCAGGTTGTGAGGTGGCGCCAGGTTCCCTCGGATCCAGGTCCAGAATCTGGGGTTGGGAGTCCTCTCCCTGTATCCTTTGCCCGAGCCTCAGGGCAGGGTCAGATGGTCACTGGTGTCATCCCACAGCCCCGGCCAAGAAAGCCCCAGAGCCTGCCCCAGTCGTGAAGCCGGCTGAGGTGGGGCAGGCGGAGGAGGAGCACTATTGCGACATGCTCTGCTGCAAGTTCAAGCGCCGCCCCTGGAAGACGTACCGCTTTCCCCAGAGCATCGACCCGCTGACCAGTGAGTCCTGGGTGGGCCTGGGCCTTGCCACGGCATACTGTGTGAGGACAGAACAAGAGGGAGAAGTCGGGGGAGTGCAAGCCCCGAATAGGAACCTACTATCACACCCACCGCACAGACAAGGAAACTGAGGCACGACTAGTCAGACCCGGAAGCCCTGACCCTTGGTCAAGTCTGCTTTCTACTCTGCTCGTGCTGGCCCCTTCCTGGATCTATTACTCTGAGCAGGAAAGGGCAGAAATTCTTCTACATCTAAAGCGAATTCCCCTCACGTCCCTCTTAGCCCACGTTCTATTCCTCAGGAATGACAACCCTTCATATGGGCACAGCGCTTTACAGTTTACGAAGAACCTCCCAGCCTTTCTCAGCTGACCTCTCCTTGTGGCTTCCCTGGGGAGGCAGGGTGGGTGCCAGAGAGAGACTCTCCCGTGGTCACACAGGAAGTCCTGGGGGCACAGGGCCCCTGGTGTCCACCGGGCCTTGGAAATGACCACATGACCACGATCCATCCATCCATCCACCTGTCCATGTGTCTGTCTTCTATCCATTATTTACTATTGTGTATTTACTAAAGCAGGAAATACATTTTTGGAAATATTTCAATAGGAAACAGAGCATGTTTTCTAGTTAGCTGCCTATTATCTAATAATGCCCCCATAGCCTCTCTTCGAGTATTCTGGTTTATTAGGGCCTAGCAGTGATTTATTTTTGAATCAAAGATAGTTTTATACACACCCACACCCACACACACACACACGCCAGTCACAGAAGTGCCGCATCTAGGAACAGACAAGTGGAAAGAAGGAAGGCCCTTCCCTAATCCTACTGTGGAGGAGCCCTCCTCCAGCTGACATCTAGCATGTTCCTGTCCCTCCGCTCCCTGCAGACCTGATGTACATCCTGTGGCTGTTCTTTGTGGTGCTGGCGTGGAACTGGAACTGTTGGCTGATCCCCGTGCGCTGGGCCTTCCCTTACCAGACACCAAACAACATCCACCTCTGGCTGCTGATGGATTATCTATGTGATCTCATCTACCTCCTGGACATCACCGTGTTCCAGCTGCGCCTGCAGTTTGTCAGAGGGGGAGACATCATTGTGAGTCCTGGGCAAGTGGAGGCGGGCAGGGTGGGGGCAGACCCTGCAGCCAGGGCCTTCAGGAGCCTGCCCCCTGTTGCTGCTGCTGCTGAGATAGACGAGACAAATGAACAGGATCTTGGGAACATCTGCCCGTGCCAGGATCTCGGTAACATTTGCCTGTGCTAGTTCAAATTACACGCACCAAATATTGTTCAGGGGAGAAATGGGCTCCTGGACCATCTGATGGAATGAAAGATGGAAAGTGGACCAGAGAAGGACCTTTAGGTGGATCTGGTTCGAATCCCAGCACTACCATAACTAGATGCAGCCCCCCTGCCACCTCTGAGCCCCAGTTTTCTCATCTGTGAAATGGGGATAGTAATTGTTCCCGCTTCATAGTGCTGCTGTGAGGGCAGATTGAGATGATGTCTGCAGAGCGGCCAGCGTGGGGAACTGGTGGCCAACAATGCTTCCGGGGGGTCCTGCAAAGAGCATGCTGCTTGGACCCGGTGAGACCCTGTGCCCTGGTACAGGCCCTGCTTACTGGGGAGGAAACTGAGTCCTGGTTTTGACTTGGCAGTTGTCCAAGCCCACCCCAGCTAGATTCCCATCTCCTAGCTGGACATTCAGTTTTAGGCTCATGCTCTTAGCACATGGGTCTAAGGAATGTCCACGCTGCTCCCACGGGGTCAGGGATGAGGCTCTCCGGCCATCTCACGGTCGGTATTCTGTTTCTTTCAGACAGACAAGAAGGAAATGCGGGACAACTACCTGAAATCTCGTCGCTTTAAGGTGTGCGCTGGGGGGCGGGGGGGGCGGGCGAGCTTCTGTCGGGTCTTGGGAGGCAGTGTGTCTGGGGACCCTGGGTGCTGTGGGGCGGGTGTGATGTGGTTCCCACCAGGATCACTCTGGGTGGGCAAACACAGGCTTGTTGGTGGAGTGTTCTGTGCCCCCTCCTGGGGCATTCTGACTGCACTTTTCCCCTGAAGGAAGAGACCTGTCATTCCCCGTCCCCCCAACCCCTGGTGCGGCCCATTTCATACACTGTGGTGTCCCACTGGGATTTCAGATGGACATGCTCTGCCTCCTGCCCTTGGACTTCCTGTATTTGAAGTTTGGCGTGAATCCCCTACTGCGCTTGCCCCGCTGTTTGAAGGTAGGCTTCCCACCGGAGGCCTCGGCTCCCCCAGGCTCTGGGCTGGCCCTGCCATCTTGAGCTCTGCCCTGAGCAGCACTGGGTAGCAGGGAGGGTGGGGGGCGCTTCAGGGTGTTGGGGGGGGTTGGGAAGTTCCCTAAAAGTGTTAGCGCTTCTCACTTGTGCTGTGTGTTAGGTATTATTCCCAAAGTTTTACGAGTACTTACTCCTCCACCCTGTGAGATGAGTGTTTAGTACCAGCATTTTACCAGAGAGGTTCAGTAACTTGCCCTAGGTCACACAGGTCGGAAGGAATGGAGTCCGGATTTGAACCCAGGCAGCCTGCCTCCACTGTCTATGCTTGCATTAATTATGGAAACAACAGGGGGACTTCTGCTTTTATGATGGTGTGCATCTGAAAGATGGGGACACTGAGGCTTGGAAAGCTTGGGTCACTTGCTCAAGGTCACAGGAGCCAGGAAGTACCCAGGAGCGATTTGGATGTGCAGCCCAATACCTGTTTCTTCTTTTAATTTTTTAAAAGATTTTATTTATCTATTTGAAAGAGAGAGAGAGAGAGAGAGAGAGAGAGAGAGAGAGAGAGAGAGAGAGAGAACACAAGTGGGGAGGTGGGGAGAGAGAGAAGCAGGCTCCCAAATGGATTTTTCTGGCAGATCAATTAAATTCATCTCTCTCCTTACGCGATACTGTTGCCTCTTCTCCAAAACGCTAATGAGGGAATTCACAAAAAGAGGCAAACACAATACCCTGAATAACCTGGAGAAACAGGACAGAGGAAAATAGGAAGCAGGCAAGGACCCTGAAGAGAAGACAGCACATCGTGTTGGAATTGAGCGCAGATCCTACCGCTGGGCTCCCCGGCTGCCCAAGAGGCAGGGCGAGCCTGGAAGCAGCACGGGTCTTATCCGACTTGTGCCAGCCCCCTGGGGGCTACAGAGGTAGGATTCTTTAGAGCCAAAGAGCAGAGCAAGCCGAGGTTTACTCCCCACATAGTGGTGGGATCCATGTCTGGGTTCACGTGGTGGTGGTGGTGAGCGTGTATAACTCATGTGTCTGATGTTTAGCACGACCCCAGGAAAAATTCTGAGCCTAAGGGGAGAGAGATCCAAGCCCCCAGCCCCCAGCATCCCCCCCAAACTCTGGGGGGACTTTAGAATGACTGCCTGGAGGATGACCAGTACATGGCTCAGGGCATTTCCCTCACTGTTGTTCTCAAATGTCAAGCAATACATGTGCCAGGTGTTGCTGTTATGAGTATGCTCTGGGCTCAAATCCTGCCTCTGTCACTTAGCAGCTGTGTACTCTGGGCAGGTGACTCAACTTCACGAAGTGCCAATTTCCTCCCTGTAAAAGGAGCATGATACCACATAGCTCACGTGTAAATAAGGAGGCCATGTATAAAAAGCAGAGGTGTTCGTGAAGAAGAGCAGTCACTACTATAATTGTATTATTATAAACAAGCCTTTGAAGGATCTAGGTGAGGGGTGGTAGGGATGATGTTTCTTTGTAAAATGGTTTCCTTTATAAATAGACGTTGAAAACAGGGTCCTAAACCTGAGATGCATGTCCCCCTGAAGATGTCACGATGGGCTTCAGATGGTCTCGGAGCCCCCCTGACACAAATGCAAACTGTGAGAACAGGATGGGATGTAATTGCTGTGGGAAGGGGGGGGGTCACAGTTTCCAGCGGATTGGTAAATGGGGTTCCTGGCCACCACCCATGGGAGGGCTAAGGACCTCTGATTTGTGAGTGTCACTGCCCAGCCTCCGGTGGGGGGGCGCTGCAGAAAGAGGCCTCCGTTCTGGGGAACAGGCTGGAGAGGGGAGGGTAGCACACCCCCCATGGACGGCGGGCTGTCCTCATGCTTTGCTCTTCTTCCCAGTACATGGCCTTCTTCGAATTTAACAGCCGCCTGGAATCCATCCTCAGCAAAGCCTATGTTTACAGGTGAGACACACACGCATACACACGTGCGTGTACACTGGCCGTTTGCCGCAACAACGGAGCAAGGCATTCTCTGCTCATATTTCTTCCCCTTTCAAGCTCCCCTGGCCCTGCAGGCCCCAGTGCTACCGGAAGCCAGGCCTCTTCCTGGCCCTTCTCTAAAGGGATGTTTGTTTTTTTAAAGAACCAAGAATGTCCCATTTCCCCCAATTGTGAGGAGAGCGCACAGAGGTTCCTATGCACGGCTCGCCACTGTTTCCAGGGAGCTGGGCCTCATTTTGATCTCAGCTCAGGGAACTGGGTGCCTCAACCTGGCTCGAACATAGGGAGGCTGTGTGTAAGGACGGTGGGCCAACTCTCGTCGGGGGCACTAGACCAGCCGGCCACACTCAGGGACAAAGCTCCTCCACGTTGCTCTCGAGTGGTGCTTCTCTGCACGCATCTGTCCCTTCTCTGGCCCTCTCCAAGGATACACCCCCTCTGTCCTTCCTGCCCCCAGAACCATCTGCACATGGAACTCAGGGCCATTCCAGCTCCTGGCCTTGACGATTTGCCATTCACAGGCCACCATCCCTAACTGTCCAAGTCTCAAAACAGCATCCACTTGGCCCAGTCCGGCCACTGGCTGGTTTCCATCAGCCAGGTGTCCATCCTGCCAGGCCGAGGGACAGGGCCATGAAGCTCCAGCAGGGAGATGTCTGAGGCGGGTGTCAGGGGAGGTGAAGGTAGGCTTGTTTCCCACAGTCCCCCTGGGTGACAGATCATGGCCACCCTTCCCGTTGCTGTGGTCACACCTTTCCTTCTCCCGCAGGGTCATCAGGACCACGGCCTACTTGCTCTACAGTCTGCATGTCAACTCCTGTCTGTATTACTGGGCATCTGCCTATCAGGGCCTTGGCTCCACTCACTGGGTTTACGATGGTGTGGGAAACAGGTGAGCCAGTCACCCTCCTGGGGCTCTAATCCAGAGAGTCCTGGAAAGAGGTCCCATTGCTGCCATGAAAAAGTATGAGGACCATGTGTCTGTGTCCTCACTGAGCTCACGTTTCCTGAGCACCTGCCATGTGCTAGGCAGAGGGAGGCACAGAAAGAAACTAGACCTGCTAGAAAGATCCTTTCAGCCTCCTAAAGCCTAGTAGACTTGGCAAATTCACCTCACGTGTGTGCCTACTTCTCTACTCCATGGACACAGCCAAGTGGGAAGGAGGCCAAAGCGCACTTCTCAACATAGCTCCCTGGGCGTCGCTAGCCACGCGGGAGCTGGCAAACAAGGTGAAACCTGCTTGCCAGACCAGAGAGCTGCCATACGTTGTGGGACGTGTTCAAATAATGACGATGTCAATGGTACTTCTACTAACCCGAGCAGCGAGCCCTTACAGCAGAGAATGCTTATTCTGTACCAGCCCTGGTTTAAGTACTTAGCAAAGTAACTCATTGAATCCTTCTAGGAATCACATGAGATAGGTACATCATTCCCATCTTACAGATGAGAAATGACTTCCCAAGGTCGCACAGTTCGTTCATAAGTTCCAGAGCTGGGATTTGAACCTGGGCAGTGTGTCTGCAGTCTTAACCAGCGCACCATCTGCCTGGTGCCAGAGAAGCATGGGGAACGTGGCACAGGACAGTCAGTTCCAAAAAGCTGCATTTGATTTTGGCCTTGGTAGGTGGAGGGAAGGGGCAGAGAAGCCTTGGGGGAGTTGCAAAATGGTGGAGTCAGGGCTCTGGGAGCCCTCTTGTGTGGTGGCAGGGGCTACCCAATATCATGGCCACTAGCCACCAGGGGCCACCAATATTTAAAACGCAGCGTGACTAAGATGTGAAATACACACGGGTTCAGAAGATATGAAGAAACACGTCAATTGCCTTATTACTAATGCCCAAAACTTTGGTTATGCATTGAAATGATATTCATTTTGATATTTTGGGTCACTAAAAAATGTTATTGAAATTAATTTCACCTGTTTCATTTTACTTTGAGGAAATGTAGCAACTGGAAAAAGTTTTAAATTCGGTATGCGGGTCTCATCATATTTTAATGGGATAGTGTGGTTCTGAGCCATGGGGACCCCAGTATGGGGTTCTTCTTTGCTGTTCTTCATTTCATATATTTTTATTCTGATTATTAAAGAAAGATCAGGAACATTCTTTACTCTATTTCTTGCATTGTAAGATGTAGTCCATTCTGTGATGCATTTTTGAGTCAATACAGCTTTTTGCAAAAAAAGAAAAAAAATTACAACAAATGTACCCATAGATTTTAAGAGACATCCCAGTTTTAGAAATGTGAAAATGTGGAAAAATATGTCATCCACAGGGATATAGAATAACATAATATCATGCATATCTGCCCATCATTAATTTTTTTTAAACCACAATAGTAATATCCCTGCCGTGCAGAGAGGCCAGTGTTTATTTGACTATGCCCTCATCGTTGGGCTCTGGAGGTATGCCTCCAGTTCTTCTGTCTGACCCAGGATGCTGCAGTGAGCATCTTTGTCCTCTGACCTGAGTGTTTCCTCATAATAAATTCCTGAAGGGGGATGGCACGGCCAAGGATATGAACATTTCTAAGATTAAAAATATATATATTATTTTTGTAGTTAGTACACTATGTTTTTTTAGAGCAGTTCCAGGTTTAACAGAAGAGCCGATGGGGAAGTATAGGGAGTTCCCGTATGCGGCCACATTTGTAATGGTCAGATGGATGCGGAAAGCTACCCGGGCTACCCTCTCACCTCTTGCCTCAAAACCTTGGAAGCAGGAAGATGACAGGGCCCAGGGGGATCTCAGAAAGATGACTCTGCTGGTGATGGTTGAGGGGAGGATGGACCAACAAGATAGGCAGGAAGCCCAGGGACCTGATAGGAGAAGCAACAAAAGGCCCTGACAAAGGGTTGGTATCATCATGGGGAGGGAGGGCCATGTGAGAAGGTAAGCAGGAACACTTGGAGTCCAGATCGGGGGTGTGAGCCTGGAGAGCCTGGGCACAGACTTTAGGAGTCCAGGGAAGGGAAGAACAGAAGCTATTCATTAAAACTCGTTCTGTGACCTTGGTGGAGGCCCCTCCCTTCCTGAGACTCAGTTTCTCTTCTACAACTTGAAGATGGTGTTACATTCAGATTTCTTCTTTTTAAAAAAGACTTTATTTATTTATTCATGAGACACACAGAGAGAGAGAGAGGCAGAGACACAGGCAGAGGGAGAAGCAGACTCCATGCAGGGAGCCTGATACAGGACTTGATCCCAGGACCCAGGGATCACGACCTGAGCCAAAGGCAGGCGCTCCACCACTGAGCCACCCAGGCGTCCCTACATTGAGATTTCTTGTGGGGAATGATAAACTAATGTGTGCAGCATGTCCAGGTCATGCCTGGACAGTAGTCAGTGGCCATTTTCTAGCTACAGTCATTCTTACAGGGAAGCTGGTATACCAGGAGAGAGGTTCCTAACCCGGGATCCAGACACGTAGAGGGTGGCCCCACCACCACCCTCCTGGGAATTGGAGCTAAATTTTGAGGACATGCTGGCTTCCTGAAGGAGAAGGTTGCTAGCTTTCCTTAGATTCACAAAGGGGTTTGTGCTCCAACAAGCTAAAAACCTAGGTCCCAGGATTGAGCCTGGCACACCTATCATGGGCAGGTCTGGGATGGAATGGCAAGCAGAGAAGGGGAAGACAGGGGACAGCTATCAGGGACTTCCTCCTACAGGGACCTTAGAAGGGACACTCTGTCTTGGCAGCACTACTTTTCTCCAAACAAAATCCTACAGGGAACCCCCAATATGTGCAAAAAAGCACAAATAGTGAAGGATCCCTCCAAAAATCCAATATCATGGGTAAATTACTTTCAAAGTAGTGACCGTTTGTTGAGTGTCTGCTCTGGCCCAGGGGCTTGAGGAAGCTCACACCTATGGGGGTCTCCCATCCTGCTCTGCTTCTGCCTGGCCTGGAGCACGCAGGGGTCCCCACAGGCCCAGTAGCAGGGAAGATGCCAGGACTTCAAGCCCCTGAGATGGGCCACATCAGTAGAAGTTTCCTCCAACCAGAAAGCGTCTGGGGAGAGGCTTGGGGACCTTGCTCCCATGCCTTTCTGTTGGTGGCCTAGGGGCACTCCCTGAGCTCCCAGACAGGTGCTCCCTCATTCTCTGCTTAAGGCTGCTTTGCACGCCCTCTGGTGGCCGGGGGGCGGTATGACCGGGGCTTTACTGGGGAGACCCTTGCTGCGAGATGTCTAGTACCAGGGCGGAAGGAGGAGCAGGGTCGCCCAGAGTTACCCAGCACCCCACCCCAGGCCTCCTAGCTCGTAGTCAGAGGCGGAGACCCCTCCAGCCCCTCCAACATAACTCCTCAGTAACCTCTGCTCCGTTGCAGGGCTCCCTCCCAGGGCTCTTTGCACGATTTCGTGCTGTCCATTAGATGGTGAGCTGCTTGAGGACACAGGCGAGTCTGTTGTTCCCTACTGCGGGCGGGCATGTGGCCGGTGCCAGCGACAGAGAAAGCTCTGGTAGCAGACGTTTACTGAGAGCTCATCATGTCCCGGGAGCTCTTCTAGCGCCTCATTTTGTCCTCACGATCCCCCCTGTGAAGGATGTTCTATTGCCATGTCCATTTTAGGAGAAAGAAGCCAAGGCTTGCTGAGATTAATAATTTGTCCATGTTATGCAGCTAGGAAGTGGTGGAGCTGGGTTTGAGCCCAGGCAGTCCCACCCAGAGCCCATGTTCTGACCACAGCTCTGCAAAAATAGCTGGTGAACAGAGCCCCAGGGGGGAACCCGATTGGGGTCATCATCAGACTGGGTGATCTTTGCCAGCCAGATGATGGTCTTGGTTCTGGTGCTGAGCAGGGACCTCAGAAGTGTGGGTGTATCAGGACGCTGGAGGTGGGGCAGGCTCTGGACACTTCCTGCACGCCCAGGGAGGAAGGCAGGACAGCTGGGCTTGCCCTGTCCTTGAGCCTTGCTCACCTCACCCACTGGAAGGGCACAGCCTGAAGGTGTGAACAGATGTATGAAGGACTCTTACTTCTCTGTGATAATGAGATAAACTTGGGGCATCTCCTATGCCTTCTACCACCCAGTAGGACACTATCACCCAGACCTCCCTTCCTAGGTTCATGCACTTGTGTAGAGGTGTTACTAACAGTGGGTGAAGCTCCGAGAAGCAGATGACAGCCTGAATTCTAATCCCAGCTCTGTACCTGGCCAGCTGGTGACCATGACTGTTTCCTTTGCCTTCTGGGACCTCAGTTTCCCTATCTGGAAAAGGAGTGGGAAAAGCAGAGTGTCAGAAAAGGTAGTCCTGATATGTCTTTCAAGTGCAAAGTCGCTCTTGCTTTCCATGAACCAATGTGGCGGGATGGCAAAGGGAAGTTTGTGGAAATTGAAAGAATATAGAGGGAGCCCAGACGTCAGGAGTCAGAAGACCCTGGTCTATCCTCCTGCCAAGTCTTTCTAGCAATCTCCTGGAGCCTCAGTTTCCAAATCTGTATATGGAGGTGACAACATGCCTCTGCATCTATGAGCACGCTCGGCAAACCGCAGGGCTCTGTGGGTGTGAAGCTGTTTTCCTTGTACTTAGAAATAAAGCGTTTGCATCTTGCACAGCTGTCAGAGCCAGGCCACCCAGGCTCAGCAGGGTGGGGCCTTTGCTGACCGAGGTCCCCTTCCTCTTCTCTCTCTAGTTACATTCGCTGTTACTACTGGGCTGTGAAGACCCTCATCACCATTGGTGGGCTGCCTGACCCCAGAACGCTCTTTGAAATTGTCTTCCAGGGGCTGAACTATTTCACGGGTGTCTTTGCTTTCTCTGTGATGATCGGACAGGTAGCTGGGTCACCAGTCTGGCTTGCCACCCACCCGTCTGCCAGGGCCCCTCCCACTACTGCCAGAAATGTCACCATCTGTGGTCATTCCTTTTGGACTAAGTCTGGGAAAGAGCATGAGTCCTAGACTCAGGAACCTGGAGTTCTGGGACCTGCTGGGTGAAAGGGGTGGGGGTGGGGGTCTAGGTCCCAATCTTCTCTACCGTTGCTTCCATTGGAAAGGTTGGTCCCTTTGGGTTATCTTTGCGGAGCGGGGCTGAATGGCTGTCTGCAAAGCCTGGGGATTTGGACTGCTCCCTTGGAGAGAAACCCCTGGGGGTGTCTAATGTGCAGGGGGAGGGCTCCATCTCATATTCTATTCAGTGCAGGAAGCCAGAGTCAGGCGGCCTCAGAATTGGGTCCTGCCCCAAGCAGTAGTACATCAGGTTCACATTTCTTCCCTGAGGTCAAAGTGGCTTTAGGCATCAAGGGGCCAGGTGGGACCAGAAGCAGCCCAGCCCAGTGAGGCCTTTCCTCCTGGTGGGGCTCCAGGGCCTGAGGCTGCTCGGGCGGTCAGCAGCCTCGCTCCTGCCTACCCCTGTCGGCAGCCTCCCTCCCTCCTGATCCCCCTTCCTCGAGCACCCCTCGTCTGTGTAGAGTAAACGTGCTCATGATGCACAGCCCCAAAGCCCCACTCTGACCCTTGACTCTTCCACTTTTCCCCTAGATGAGAGACGTGGTGGGGGCCGCCACCGCAGGGCAGACCTACTACCGCAGCTGCATGGACAGCACAGTGAAATACATGAATTTCTACAAGATCCCCAGGTCCGTGCAGAACCGTGTCAAGACCTGGTACGAGTACACCTGGCAGTCCCAAGGCATGCTGGGTAAGATGGGTGCTCTGGGTGCCACCAGCTATCCCCTGGCCACCTCCTCCTGGGCCCCTGCCTTCCTGGCCCCTGCCTCTGCCCTGTGTCCCTGAGGTCCTGAGCACTGGGGCCTCTTGGCTGTGGCCCCAACATTTTCAAGTGAGGGGGGCCTAAGGGAGGCCCATGAGGTACCCCCAACTGGGCTGTCAGGAGACCCCTGAAGACTTGAGGTGCCCTGCCCCCCATCACCTCTGAGATGTGTCCCCATCAGAGATGGAAGTACAGTAGGAATCGGGGCAGGAGGAAGGCCCCTCTCTTACTCTTCCATATACATACACACATACACATAGTTTTTGGTAGGTTTTTTGATGTTATGCTTTGCTTCTGAGATTCTTTGGCCACAACAATGCCTTTAATTCACCACCATTTCTGCTTTCTTGCCAATGATAGGGTGGGCTCAGTGACCCTTGTGAAGTGGGGGAAACTTACCTGTACGTTGTTTTCTTTCTTTTTTTTTTCTTTTAAGATTTTATGTATTTATTCATGAGAGACACTTAGAGAGGCAGAGACACAGGCAGAGGGAGAAGCAGGCTCCATGCAGGGAGCCCCACATGGGACCCGATCCCGGAACCCCAGGATCACACCAATCCACCACTGAGCCACCCGGGTGCCCCTGTACATTGTTTTTAAATGTAGTGAAGTTTTCGTTAATTCTAATGAAATTCTTAATTAAATTTGAATGTGCTACTTATACGTTAATTAAGTCACACATTTTCTCCCCAGTCTTTTTTTTAAATCTTGGGGCGCTAGTAATTTTGTTTTCAGAGCTTAGACATCATTTTGAATGCCCCTGATAAGCCAGTGGGCCACTGGCACTGTGCCTTAGAACCCCCTCAACTGTCTCAGCTGATTCAAGGGCCCCGCTGCTTCCACGCGCTTCCCTCTCTGAAGAAGCCACACTTCAGCTCCAAATCTCCTGAGCCGAGGGGCTGTCAAATCTGTGGACAGTGAGTGGTCGAGCCTTCGCTGCTATCCGCTGCTATTGCACTCAGTCTGTAAAGACATGTTGCCGTCCATTGCCTCATTCTGTCCAAGTGACAGCCCTGTGACATCTGAACCATTGCCCTCTTCCACACGAAGGAGCCACAGGAGAGGGCCAGGGTCGTGCAGATCCACACTTGAGCCCATAAATAATGGTGGTGCAGCGGGGGGGCGTCGGGATTGAGGTCAGGCAGTGCATTTCCTATCCCTGGTCTCGACATTCATTCTGTGCCAGGCGCTCTGCTGGGAGGGGCGGACCCCATCACTGGCAAAACGCTCTCGGCCCCTGCTCTCCTGGGACGGGCCCTGGACCCCACAACCGGGGTGGGGGCGGATGCCATTTCCCCTGGGTTGCGTGGCTGTGGGCAAGTCACCGCCCTCCTGAGCCTCCCTTTCTGCAAAGTGGAGATTATAGTAGTGGAGACCTCTCGGGTTGTTGGGAAGATTTACTAAAACCACCTTTGTAAAGCTCTCTGTAAAAAAGTGTTCCATATACTTCAGTTCTCGGGCTGGTGGGAAGAAACCATTGCAATGAGGGGTGTGATCAGTGCTACAGCACAGAGACTGCTAAACAGAATGTCTGGGCATGGGGATCTCCAGGGAAGGCTTCTTGGAGGAGATGACGTTAGTCCTGGGGTCTGAAGAATGAGTAGAAGTTAACCAGGGAAGGACATGAGGGTGTTCCCTGCACAGGGAATAGCATCTGAACAACCCAGAGAGGGGACTCTCCCTGTATAGCGTGGTCTGGGGGGGGTGCAGAGGAATGGTGTGGCCAGGGCCCCGTGGGAGGGTGGGGCAGAGGCCTGGATGTGCCTCTGACACTTGCCAGGGTCTCCTTTCCAGACGAGTCAGAACTGATGGTGCAGCTTCCAGACAAGATGCGGCTGGACCTTGCCATCGACGTGAACTATAACATTGTCAGCAAAGTGGCTCTCTTCCAGGTATGGCCCCCCCCCCAGAACCCCCATCCCCGGGCTTCTGGGAAGGCCCCGAGGCCACATAGTCCCCTAAACAGGCATTCTTTTACCCTCTTCTTGGGGACAGGGCTGTGACCGGCAGTTGATCTTTGACATGCTGAAGAGGCTTCGTTCTGTCGTCTATCTGCCCAACGATTATGTGTGCAAGAAGGTGAGTGGCCCGAGGCAGCTGCAAGACAGTCTGGGATTTACGGTGCACCTGCCTGCTGGGAGCTGGGCTGAAGGGGGTGCCTTTGGAGGCCTGGGAGTGTTGGCAAGCCCAGGGAGAGCGGCATCCCTGGGGAGGGAGAGCTGACCCCAGGGCTCCCGGGTTGTTTGGCATGTGGAGGCTTTGTCTGGCTCCAGGCATTGAACCCAGGTGTGCCTCAGGCTCTGCTCAGGACACAGGACCAGGACTGGGATGAGGAACCCCGCTTTCCAGAAAAGGAAAGTAAGGGGCCGAGCAGGAGGTAGGGCCTTGACTCTATAGATGGAGCTGCTTCCAGGGTCTTGGTCTTCCTATCAGGAAAATGGGGCTGGGGTAGGTTGGAGGTTGCAAACTGGTGGCCTTCATATAGGAATCAGCCCATACATTGTTTTGTGGTTTGGGGTGTGGGGTTTTTTACCCTAATTTTAAAAAATTATTTATTTATTTATTTATTTATTTATTTATTTATTTATTTATTTGACGCAGAGAGAGAGAGCCAAAGTAGGCAGAGAGACAGGCAGAGGGAGAGGGAGAAGCAGGCTGGATGCAGGACTGGATCCCAGGCTCCCCTTTCTTCCTAATCTTAAAAAAAAAAAAAGTTGGATCAGTTCCCAACCTTTAAAAAATTTGAAGGTCTTACATAAAAATCCAGACTTCTGGCTGAAAACTGAGCTCCACTGTCCCAAATAGCAAGAGTCTACTGGAGTGAAGAAGGGGTTGCTCCTGAAGGCGGGACATCACCCTCCCTCCTGATTCCACAGGCCCCAGCCCTCCCCACTGCCCTCTACCAGGCTCCCTTCATTCCTTAAACTGCCCATCATATCCTAGAACACATTTGGATTTGAACCTGGGGCTACACAGTGTTGAGGCCCTTTCTGTTCCCATTCCCTGGGATACACGGTGAGACCAAGGTCACCTCTGAGTGGGTGGTTAGGGTGGAAAGGCAAGAACTCAGATTTCAGCTCCCCTGTTACAGAGCTGTTCAGGCTGGGTGTGTGTACAGGGGTGAACATAACACCCAAGCAACCCCTCTGAGACGCAGGAAACCCCAGCCCAAGAAGGCCCCCATGCCAAAGTTGTATACTGTACAGTAGTGAAGTTTCCGGAAGCAGAGAGCCGTGGGGACTGAGGAGACAGTGCTAGAGATGGTTGAGAACTTAAAGCTGCAGCCCTAGAGGCCAAGAGGGGTTTGGGTGATTTGTCTGACACCAGGGCTACTTCCTAGCTGTGCACCTTGGGGCAGTGGCTTGCCCCTCTGAGTCTCTCGCTTCTCATGGGTAAAGTAGGGATGCTGCTGGTACTCCCTCCTGGGGTGGTTGTGAAAATTGAATAAGCTGGGCCTACAGAGTTTGGCACCGTGCTGGCAGAGTCGGTGCCACTGCCGCTGTTACTATCCTTGGGTAATGTAGAACTTGCTGGCAAAGGAGCAAGACTGAACCAGGTGGTTGGAGTTGGCAGGGGAGAGTTGAGGAGAGCACTTGATGAGCAAGTGGGAATGGCGCCCTCTGCTGTCCAGTTTTGCGCTGCGCTGATCTTGCTGAGATTGGCACCCCCCTCCCCCCACCTGTCGCCTCCCACCATTGATTGCCCACCCCAGGGCGGTTAGTGAGGTGAGGGTGAGCTCTTTAGACCCTTCAGCCCTGTGTCAAATTGGACGCAGAACAGGGACATGAGACTTTCTTCCTGTTAAGAAGCTCATGCACGTGTGAGACGCCCAGGAAACGTTTGTCGAATGAGTACAAAGTGTAATCAATTTATCTATTTTGCTCTCTCTCCTTTCAAACATCCTATGTGGCAGGGGACTGTGAGGGCATGAGGATTGGAAGGTGCATGGTAGACTGGGTGTTTCTGATTGCAGTCTGAAGCAAGCCATTCATTCATTCATTCACTCATTCGTGCATGTATGCATGCACGCTTTCATTCATTCGTTTGCTTTGATTTGGGATTCAGACCATTGCATTCGTTTGCTCCAGCTGCTCCAACCGAGTATCAGAGGCTGGGCGGCTTTAGCAACAGAAATGCATTGTCTCTCAGTTTTGGAGGCAAGAAGCCCAAGATCAAGGTGTTAGTTGGGTTGGTTCCTTCTCAGGGCTGCGAGGGAAGCGTCTGCTCCTCTCTCCTTGGGTTATAGATGGCTGTCCTCTCCCTGTGTCACTTTGTATCATCTTCTCAGTATAACTGTCTCTGTCTCCAAGTGTCCCCTTTAGAGGGACACCAGTTGTATTGGATTAGGGGCTCAAAAAACTCCAGTAGGACCTTGTCTTTATTTAATGGATGACGTCTGCAATGACCCTATTTCCAAAAAAAGGTCACGTTCTGAACAACGGGGGGTGAGGACTTCAACATATGAGGTTGGGAAGGACACCATTCCATCCACGGCAGCCATGAGCTCTGGACCCAGGCTGTCTGGGTTCAAATCCCCGCTCTCCCTTGGCCTAGCTTTGCGATCTCGGGCAAAGAGTTCCTGCCCCAGAGCTGTTGAGGATTGAGCAGACCTGGGACTTGGAGCAATGCCCCGCACAGGAAAATGTAGCACGAGCCCTGGACTTCATTACTGATGCTGTTATCATTCCTCTTTCAGTTAGCAAACACTTACCGAGCTCCTGAAGTGACATGTGCTAGGTATCAATTTATTGGGTGAACCACTGTTAATTTTCTCCATGCCTCCGGGCCCTCCACTCGCGTGTAGAATCAGGAATTTGCAGAATGCCATCACACATGCACCTTCTAGCTTACCTAGCTTACTTCCCTTTCCATCACATCACTAACTCCCCACGTAATCCTGTCAGTCAGGCAGGCCGGGGGTGGCCACTCTCCCCAATTCGCGGATGGGGAAACTGAGGCCCCGGAGGGGAAGTGACTGACCCTGCACCGCATACTGAGTCAGTGGTGGGGCTGGATGCCATCCTAGGGTCCTCTGCATTGCACCAGCGGCCTCCGGGCCCAGCCCCGCCGCCTCTGTGGTCACTTTTGGTAATGGCAGAGGGGCTCACCCCTTCTCTGTTTCAGGGGGAGATAGGCCGAGAGATGTACATTATAAAAGCAGGAGAGGTGCAGGTGTTGGGCGGCCCCGATGGGAAGGCTGTGCTGGTGACGCTGAAAGCCGGATCTGTGTTTGGAGAAATAAGGTCAGAGGGGAGCTGGGGTGAAATGGGCAGACCTGGGCCCAAACTGGGGTGGGGGGCTGTCCATGGGAGGGAAGACCTCGTCCTCAAGGGCCCTTTGGTGGAAGGAGGCCACTGTGGATGCTGACATATGCAGGGTCGGCCCTGGCTCTCGACCATGTGGGGCCTCCACTGCGCTCCGGGAAGGGGGTGGGAAGGGACATTTTAGTGGGATTCTAACCCCAGCCTGCTAGGTCTCACCTCCTTCCTTCTCTACCCCAGCTTACTGGCTGTTGGGGGCGGGAATCGGCGCACAGCCAATGTGGTCGCCCATGGGTTTACCAACCTCTTCATTCTGGATAAGAAGGACCTGAATGAAATTTTGGTGCATTATCCTGAGTCTCAGAAGTTACTCCGGAAGAAGGCCAGGTACATTTTTTTATTTAACAAAAAAAAAATCCATATATTACGTCATTGCGCATTTCTTAAGGACTAAAACTTTCTCTTACATGGCCGTAGTACCTTTATCAAAATCAGGAAATGTGCTGTTGAAACGATGCTATTATCTCATCCCCAGTCCATCTTCAAATTTGGCCGATTGTCCCAATTATACCTTGGGTAGCCTTTCTGGTCTTCTTTTCCATCTCTGGATCCAGTGTAGGACCACCTGTTTCATCACATAGCCTTGTGTCTTCACTCTCTTTGGATCTGGGATTGTCCCTCAGCCTTTTTCCATCTTGAGTGATTTGAGGAGGACAAGCCAGTTATTTTGTAGACTGTCCCTTCATTTAGCTGATTAACTTCAGGTTCTGCATGGGGGCAGGAATTCCTCAGAAAAGATGTTGTGGGGTGCCTGGCTGGCTCAGTTGGTAAGGCATGCCACCCTTGAATTCAGGGTTATGAGCTCAAGCCCGACATTGGGCATGGAGCCTACTTTTTAAGAAGCGATGTTGTGTTTTTTTTTTTTTTTGTTTTTTTTAAATTTCATTGGGACGCCTGGATGGCTCAGCGGTTTAGCACCGCCTTTAGCCAAGGGCATGATCCTGGAGACCTGGGAGTCCCACGTCGGGCTCCCTGCATGGAGCCTGCTTCTCCCTCTGCCTGTGTTGCTGCCTCTCTCTGTGTGTGTCTCTCATGAATAAATAAATAAAATCTTAAAAAAATATATTTTATTTATTTATAAGGGAAAGAGAGAAAGACCAAATACACACACACAAGGGGGAAGGGCCGAGGAAAAGGGAGAAGCAGACTCCCTGCTGAGCAGGGAGCCCAACGGGCTCCATCCCAGGACCCCGGGATCATGACCTAAGCCGAAGGCAAACGCTGAACCGACTGAGCCACCCAGGCGCCCTGCGATGTTGTATACTTAATGCAGCCTGTGGAGAGGCCCGGGATGCTGGCTTCTCCCAGTATTGATGATTTTCCTTTTGCTCATTTGGTTAAGGTTTCTACACTCTAAAGTTAACGTTTTCCTCTTTGTAATTAATAAGTAATCAGCAGGGCATCACTCTGAGGCTATCTAGACCTCCTCTCCTGTTTCCCATCAAGCAAGCCTTCACCTGCTACCCTCAGCATTCCCTGAAGGCTCGTTGCTAAATCAGTGGTGGCCACCATGGGTGCAGAATGGTGATTTTTTCTGATTCCATCCTGCCTTCTGCATTTATTAGTGAGCATGCTACTGTGAGGAAAATCTTTCCTCTTCTCTCCGATTTCAATTTATTTGTTTCTTCATTTGTCTATAAGTGTGGATTTGTTTTGTTCTGTAAATATCCTGTTACAATCATTATTCTGGTGCTCAAATTGTTGCAGATTTGGCCAGCAGGCATCTCTTCGGGCTGGCCTTTGTGACTTTGTTATGTCCTCTAAATATTTTAGCACTTCCTTGCTCACAAATACAATTAGACTCACTGGGCTCATCTTGTGACCTTCTGTCTGCCACATCCCTGGAAATGGCCATTTCTTCAAGGAGACTTGATTCCTTGCAGGTGGGAATGGGTTTTAGAAACCTCATGGCTACTAGGCTGCTACTAGGCTCCCAAGTGGACAGGGCTGGGAAGCACATCTGCATGTCCACCTGTGTATATAAATGCAGATATACATATATATACACACATATAAATATATATATACATATGTATATCAACATCTATATTCCATCTGTATCTATATCTGTGTCTATCTAGCAATTTCAGTCCAACACCACAGAGTTCTTTCTAATCTCCTCCTTTCCTATACTTTGTAAATTCCTTCTTCAACACTGAGAAATTTGGCACTCACTCATTTGTTTAGTCTCTTTTTTTAAAGATTTTTATGTATTTATTCATAGAGACACAGAGAGGCAGAGACACAGGCAGAGGGAGAAGCAGGCTCCATGCAGGGAGCCTGACGTGGGACTCGATCCCGGTCTCCAGGATCACGCCCTGGGCCGCAGGCGGCGTTAAACCGCTGCGCCACTGGGGCTGCCCTCATTTGTTTAGTCTTAGGATACAGACAAAGCAGTTGCAGAATTGCTATCCCAAGGTACTGGGGCAGTAAGGGTTGGGGTATGGAAAGCCTTCTCAGCAAAATTCAGTATTTGGTGCGTTCTTTTTGTCTTCAGCTAAGTACCCGTGAGGTAAGCGTTGTGTTCAGACTTATCTCGATTTGTTTTCTTTTTCCTCCCTTTAATGTGGTGGTTTTGCTCATTTGAAACATACCCAGACTTGTGTGTTTTGGTTTGCACTCCATATTTTATGATTCTTCCCACTTCAATCCTTGTTGACTTTTTGTTGTCTTGAATATGTCAAGCATTAACATGGTACCAAAAGTCATAATGCAACAAGGCCTAGAGAGGTGTCTGGGCTCCCCCCACCTGCTGCCCCTGGCCGTCCACGAGCCCAGTCTCATTTGTTTCTGCTGCTTCCTTAATGTGTTTCCTTTTGCAAAAGTAGGTAGAACGGTGAACATTTTATTTTTCCCATCTTACACAAAACGTAGCATACTGTAGATTTTCTTTTGCACTTTGCTTTTTTTGTTTCACATGACAACCAACCCAGAAGATGTTCTTTCTCAGTCCATAGACAGCTCCCTCATTCCTCTGACAGTTGCAGAGCATTCATGGGAAGGGGCAGTAAGGCCATTGCCAGTATTTTGCCATTATACGCAGCTCCGTGAGGAATAACCTTGTGCATCTGCATTTTGTACTGTTGAAGAGTGGGTAACTTTTTAGAGAAGCAGGTCTTTGTTTTCAGACCCTTAAGATCAGATTTCCAGTCAAGTGAAAGAGGTAACACAGTGTGGTAGAAAATCCACAACAGGCTCAGGAAGCTGATGGAGCTCACAACCTATCGGTAGTATGAGGTACTGGCTGTGTGGCCTTGGAAAAGTCACAGAAAAGTTAACTTCTCTGGTCTCCATTTTCTGCAATTATGTAAAATAAGGGTATTAACCCCCTATTTTGTTGTTGGGAAGCTTAAATAAAATAAGTGTGTGTGAATATCTCCAGCAGGGTACACGGCAGGTGGGAGAACTCAATGAATATTCATAATGATAATTGCTCCTTTTTTACCCATCAAGTACTCTCTGTAATTTTGCCATTGGATAAAGCCTTTTAAATCTATATATCCTGTTTTTCTCTCCATTGCCTTTTACCAAATATTCCCATTTTCTACCTCATTCTATGAAATGACACCATAAATAAACTGTACAGAGAATAGTCACCATAAAGGGAACTCAGAGTGCACAATCATTGATTGAGTACATAGTTCTAGGCCCTAGGGACACAGCAGGGACCAAATAAAGCTTGCCTCCTAATGAGGGAGCCCGACCATGGAGAAATGAAGGATTCTGTGATGTGTCAGCTGGGGACAGGGCTGTGAGGAAACAAAGCCACATTGAGGAGACAGAGGTGATGGAGGGAGTTATCTGAGATAAGTTGGGCAGGGAAAGCCATTCTGAGGAAGTGGAATTTTAGCTGAAATCCGCACAGACTGAAAGAGTGATGGGACTGCTTGCATGGAAGAGCATCCTAGTCAGAGGCAACAGCACATGGAAAGGCTCTGCAGAGGAGAGTGTGTGTGTGTGCAGACCAGCCAGAAAGTAAGTGTAGCTTGACATGGGATGGGAGAGGTCCAGGGGATGAGATCGGGTGGGGCCTTGGAGGTGAAGTCTTACAGCAGTGGCTTTGGGTTTTACTCTGAGGGAGAGGGCAGCTATGTACCGTTTTACACAGACAAGCAAATTGATGTGACTTAGGGGTTTGTTCTTGTTGTTTTAAAACAAGATTTTATTTATTTATTCATGAGAGAGGCAGAGACACAGGCAGAGGGAGAAGCAGGCTCCCTGTGGGGAGCCCCATGCAGGACTCAATCCCAGGACCATGGGATCACAACCTGAGCCAAAGGCAGAGGCTCAACCACTGAGCCACCAGGTGCTCCAGGACTTAGTTTTAACAGGACCCTTTTGGCAACGCCAAGAGGGGGTGATGCTGTATTGGTGAAGCATAATACCCACAGGATGCTGGCATCCTCTGAGGAAGGAAGCTGCCCTGTAACTCATTTTACCTGTTTGCTCTTAAGGAAGTCACTGGGCCCTTCCAAAGGCTGGTCTGTCTGAAATTCTCTCACAACATCTGCCTGCTTCCCCCTACTCACCTGAGAAACAGGGAAGTACAGTCTGTGCTCATTATTCACGTAGCTGTGATTCTGTGTCTGTAACTAACCTACTCACTAAAATGTATTTGTAACCCAAAAATCAGTACTCGTGGGCATTCCTAGTAATTTGTGGACATGCACGGAGCGGTAAAAAATTTGAGTTGGGCCCTAAACTCATGTCCCTAGCAAGAGTTAAACAAGGTGACACTCTGCTTTATTGTTTCAGCTCAGAAGCATCTGAACACTTGTAAACAAATGTCTTTTCATGGTCTATTTAGCACCACATTTTTCACATTTTTGTGATTGTTGTTGGTGATTTTGTGGGTCCTCATTTCAGTGTCAGTGAATCAACTGGATGTTTTTAAACAGAAATATACAAAGTATTGATCAATTGATGAAATGTAATGAGAGGCTCACAGCAACCTAACCCTGTATTTACCCCCCAGAAACAATGGTTCAGTGTTTGAGATTTCAGTGTTTGCGGGGACTCTACAGAATGACACCACCGCGAATAATGAGAATCAATTGTGTCTGAGATCTGGCTCCAGTTCCCCCTGCCCTCCCTTCCTCCCCCTGCCAGAGGAGCAAGGCTCAGGAAAGCCATGCGTGTAGCCCAGCTACCCCACTCCTTTGGCTGGGTTAGGTGAAGCTCCTGACCCATGTGTCAAGCCTGAGCCCTTTGCTGGAAAAGGCTGAGGTCCCGGCCTATGGCAGCTGCAGGAGAGAGGAGGAGCCACGGGGCCTTGCAGCAGAGAGGCCTTGGGACCAGAGCTGTAGGATGATTCATTAGAGAGCCTGGTTCCCTGGACAGGCAAGCGTCAGGACAGAGGCAGGGGATCATGCATGAGCTCTGACCATCAAAGGAAAGACACAATCTGGGAACCACAGGGCCTGGGACATCTGAGCTGGTGAGAGTCATGTGAGTCATGTGTGGGATTCTGGTTCTAAGCTACCTGCTTTACAGATGGGGGACCTGGGGCCCCAAAGAAGTGAAGTGCTCAGCTGTCTGGCTTGGCCACTCTAGGAAATGGGGCTAAAAGGTTTCACGCATGCCACTTTCTCCAGGGATGAATGCGTGATCCTGCTTATAGGAAAACGCATCATCTGAAAACGAGGCTCAATTTCCTTACTCTGGAAATGTCCCAGAGGCCAGTGCAATGTTTCTTTTTTTTTTTTTTTTTTTATTTTTTATTTTTTTTTTTTTAATTTTTATTTATTTATGATAGTCACAGAGAGAGAGAGAGAGAGAGAGAGAGAGAGAGAGAGAGGCAGAGACACAGGCAGAGGGAGAAGCAGGCTCCATGCACCGGGAGCCCGATGTGGGATTCGATCCCGGGTCTCCAGGATCTCGCCCTGGGCCAAAGGCAGGCGCCAAACCGCTGCGCCACCCGGGGATCCCCAGTGCAATGTTTCAAAAGAGAGACTGCCATTAGCAGTTAACAAAAGTCCCACAAATAGTTCTTTTGTGTCATTTTTGTACCAATCTTTGTACCACAGACTGTCATGCTGTGAATGATGGCTGAATAACACAGGTGATAGTGCCAGGCATGAAGAGGTCTCTGATTAATTATCATGTTTGTATTCTCCTAGGGAAGCCCCAGCCAGAAAATGCAAGTCTTGGGCAATTAATATCAATATGCACAATTTAAATCCATTGCTTCTGATTAGATAAGCAGCCAGTAATGGCCTCATTTTTAAACAAACAAGTTTTGCTGGAGCCCTGGTGAATGAATTTGCCAATTAGGAGTCGAGGCCCACTAGATTGCAGATGAAATTCATTTGTTCTTGAGCCAAACCACTCATCACATATCTGTAGCATGAAAAAAAAATTCCCTATCAAAGGCTGGGGCTCTGTTCGATGGAAGATCCTATCCCCACTTAGAGAGCACGGGAGCGCACTGCATTTAGATCTGGGATTTAATTCTGGCCACTTCGTAGCTGTGTAACCTTGGGAAAATTATTTACCCCTTCTGGTCTTCCATGTCTTTATTTGAAATGAGATGGAAAAAAATAGGGACCTACCTGGGAGGATTCTGTGCGATTTACAGGACAATGTATGTACCAGTTATCTGTTGTATAATAATCTTACCACCCATTCAGTAGCTTTTTTTTTTTTAATTTATTTTTTTATTTTTTTATTTTTTATTTTTTTCATTCAGTAGCTTAAAACCACACATATGTATTACCTCACAGCTTCTATGGGCCGGAAGTCTGGGACAGCTTAGGTGGGTACTGGCCAGAGCTGAGTCTCATCTCATGTCTCCCCTGGGGAAGAGTCTGCTTCCAAGGTCACATGGAGGTCAGCCAAATTCAGTTCCCTGCGGTTGGAGGACTGGGGGCCTCCGTTCCCAGCTAATTGCTGGCCGGTGGCTTCCCTTGGTTCTCGCCACATGGGCCTCCCCTCAACATGGCCACTGGCTGCATCAAAGCCAGGAAGGGAGAGTCCTTGCTAGACAGAGATCACAATCCCATGTGACATGTTCGCAAAGGGGATATCTGATCACCTTGCTGTATTCTACTGGTCAAAAGCAAGTCACATGGAGAAAGAGACACCAGGAGGGAGGTCCCCAGGAGCCATCAGGGTGCCTCTAAAGGACCGAGCATAGGGCCTGACACATGTAGACACTCATTACATGTTGACGGAGGTGATGGTGAGGATGGTGACACATGCAAAAGGAAGAGAAGCAAAAAGCGTTGTATCTTTTTTCACCTGGGCATCCTGTTTCTGAGTCCATATATTATAGTATCATTCGGTATTTCCTGTGTGACTTCACTAAAGTGACTCAACCTCTCTGAGCCTCCAATTTCCTCCTCTGTAAGGTCCAGACAGTAAGACTCATGTCATTCTAGTTGTTCCGATCATTCACTGAGATGCTGTGCATAAAGCGTTAAGTATGCTGTGTTTGCTCATAGACCATTAGCCAAGACGACCACCACCGTGCAACTCTATCATAGTCCTCCGCCGAGGAGCTTTTCTTCTCTCCCGGAGTATGTTTGTAATGTTAGTGGGCGCTGCTTTCTTTCAGGCGCATGCTGAGAAATAACAACAAGCCCAAGGAGCCGAAGAGCGTGCTCATCCTTCCTCCCCGGGCAGGCACCCCAAGCTCTTCAATGCTGCCCTGGCCGTAGCAGGAAAGATGGGCGCCAAGGGAGCCAAAGCCGGTAAACTTGCCCACCTGAGGGCTCGGCTCAAAGAACTGGCTGCACTGGAGGCAGCTGCGAGGCAGCAACAGTTGCTGGAACAGGTAAGATGGTGGGGAATTAGCCACACCCCCATTTCAACATTGTGCCGGATTGTGGACCATGCCTTGCACTGTAGGGAATGTCTCCCCTTCCTTTATACCAGGACTCCTTTGGTTGCAAGTAACAGAAATGCAGGTCATGGTGCAAGCTCACATTAGCTTAAGAGACCAGGGGATGGATGGGGTCAAGTAGCTTAAAAGTTCAGACAAGGCTGGATCCAGAAGTTCAAATAATGCCAATGGGATGAGCTTTGCCATCTTGTCATTTCTGCTTCCCTCAATGATGGCTTCAGATCACAAGAGCACTAGGATTACATCCTCCTGGTTTAGCAGCAACTCCCATAGAAAGTTCCTCTTGCCCAGTGATTCCAGCAAAAGTTCCAGAGCTCATTGTCATTGGACAGATTTGGGTCACATGTCAATTCCTGAGCCATTCACTGTGCTGTCCTGGGAGAGGCCAGGATCCTGTGCCATCCCTGGGCCGAGGGGAGCAATCCCTCCAAGGGAGTCCTGGTGCTGTTGCAAAGGTAGGAGCACTGGGTGTGAGCGGGGAGTGTCCCTCCCCAGATGGCAGTGATGGTCTCATATTTAATATTTGCATCTATGACAATTTCAGAGATTTAAAGAGAAAAAACCCTGCTGACAGGCACAGTGCTGACTGCCCCCCCCCCCTTGGAAATCTGAAGGGAATTTTAAAATTAGTTCTGGGACTCTTTTCTGTGACTAATGCCAAAAATGCCAATTAGAATGATTGCACTAATTATGACTATTCACGATTGTCCTTTAGGGAGGCTGCTGGGAAGGGGGGCAGTGGGTAGGCAGGAGCTCAGTGGCCAGGAGGGTGCTGCAGTCTACAAAACAGAATTCAAAGGAACCTAGGTTGGAACAAGCCAGGCTGGTGTTGGAGTCCAGGGAACCTGTCTGGAGATCATTTGACATCTGGAGTCTGGGAGGTGCCATCAAAGCCACCCAGGGTTCCAAAATATCTGTTCAAGATACAGCCACCTGTGGCCCCAGACTGAGGACAGACATGACTGCCTGGCTTACCCAGAGCCAGGGTCAAGGTCGAGCCAGGAAGTTGAGGTCTTTGGTGCCAGCTGCTGCGTGGGACTGAGCAGACATGAACTCCAAGACTGTTCTCAATACAGTGAAAGGCTTTTATATGAAATGGGCCTTTTGCTCCTGAGTATTAGCTCTTCACCCAGGCAGCTTGAAGATGTGAATTAAATTTGCATGAGAATTCTAATAAAAGGCAATTTTAGAACAATCAGGACAGAATGCCAAGTGCAAGGAGTTCTGAAATAACAATCCAAAGACACGGGTCTAAATCCCAGCTCTGTCACTGCCAGCTCTGTGACCCGGAGAAGCTCTTCATGCTTTCTGAGACGCAGGTTACTCATGGTTGCCGCTTAGGGTTGTAGAGATGAAGCAGGGTACCTTGGATATCTTTTTATTTTTTTATTTTTTTAAATTAATTAATTTATTTATTTATGATAGTCACAGAGAGAGAGAGAGAGAGAGAGAGGCAGAGACACAAGCAGAGGGAGAAGCAGGCTCCATGCACCGGGAGCCCGATGTGGGATTCAATCCCGGGTCTCCAGGATCGAATCCTGGGCCAAAGGCAGGCGCTAAACCACTGCGCCACCCAGGGATCCCCTGGATATCTTTTTAAAAGCATTTTGGCATGGCAAAACACCTGACTAAACTCCCCGTGATTCTTCTGGTTCCATTCATAGCAGGATACTTCCGGAAGTCCCATAATGGGCACCATCCTGCCTTGGAGTGCGTCGTCGGAGTTTAGGACAGACACGGGATGGTGGAACAAGCAGGAACTCCAAGATAGGGGGAGGGATGGGTCCCCAGAGTTGCCTTGGGTTCTAGGAGTGGGCTTCCCCATTTCCCTTCCTTCAACACTCTGATTTGAGCAAGCTTCTTCCTCACAAGCATGCTGACTGCTCTCATTTGAAATTCACTACTGCTACCTTAAGAGGGTCTTAGATCCCTGTGGGCCATTCAGGTCTCCTCCTCTGGGGAACCCTTCTGTCCCATTTATGTCTCCACAGAAGCGGGTCAGACAGGGCAGGACAGGCCATAAGTATCTTTAAAGGCTTGGGTTTTTACTGACACACAGACTGGTCAGTGTCCACAGGAACCCCGAAGGCTAGAGGCTGGAAGTCCCCACCAAGTCTCCAAACATGGGGGCTCAGCCCAGCCCAATGCCAGTACTACCCTGCCCATTCTCCTTCCTGGGGAATAAGGGTGTGCGGGTGGCAGGCTCCACCTATGAGACCTTCCGGAAAGGAGGCCGGGCCACAGAAGCTTTTACCCTCTCAGCCTTTTTACCTTGTTTGCTTAGAATTGTTCTCATCCATCCAGGAGCACCCAGCCCTGGTAACTGGGGTGGACAGGGCAGCTGGCTCAGCTTTGCAAAGTCCCTGCTGGTGCTCCCTCCGGGTCACACCCCTCCTTCCTCCATAGCTCAGGGACAGGCCTGAACCCACAGCCTCACTCTGACTTCTGGCCCTGCCCATCAACAGAGATGGAAAATATCCCCAAGACCTTCTACTAGATCCAACCAGGACTTTTAATCCCTAAACTTCCCCATAACATACTCTGTTCCTACCAAATAATCCTGATGCCCTCTGACCCCCCACTTCCCATACATTAGATGGCATCCCTGTGCACTCTGCCATCCTCCTTTTTGGGGGGTCCAAGAAGGGGAGCAGGAAGGTGTTCAAGACTCCTCCAGGACCCCTCAAAGAACTCTCAGACCTTCTTTGCCTTACCAATCACCTTTTCTGGATTTTAGGCCAAGAGCTCGCAGGATGCTGCAGGAGAGGCAGGCCAGGCGGCCCCAGACCAGGACCAGCCCCCAGTGCGTGAGCACCCAGAGCCCCAGGAGCCCCCGGCCACACGCTCTTCGCCACCTGCCTCGCCACCTGCCTCGGAGAGGCCTGAGGAAGGTGGGGAGGGGGAGGCCGGGCCCTCGGAGCCATCGGTGCTGATCCGCATGAGCCCAGGCCCCGATCCCAGTGAACAGATCCTGTCGGTAGAAGTCCCGGAGGAGAAGAAGGAGGCCGAGTGAGGGCCTCCCCTCCAGGCAGGTGTATCCACCCGCACCCAGGCGGGTCCCCCAGCCCCGTGCCTCGCTTCCCGCAGGCCCAGACTCCAGGGGCAGTAGAGTCCATCCCACCACTCCTGCCCCCGCATCGGTTTCTGCCACCGCTGGTCTTGAAGTCAACAAATGTAGTGTTCGTGCCCCTAAGTCCTCACCATCACCTGAGAACCCTACCTCTCCTGACTCTTATTTTTAAGAACAAAATTCTTTTCCATTTTAGAAGTTTATAGGCAGAGCATAGAATGGGGCTCCGAGCCCTGAGAAGCTCTGCTGGAGACTAAAGCGTTATCAAATGTTTGAATTTCATCTCCCACGTTTGAAGGATAGAAAACCTGCCAGCAAAAAAAAAAAAAAAGAAAAAGAAAAAAAAAGAAAAAGAAAACCTGCCAGCAGTTGTGGGAGGCCCGGCTGGCTCCGTCGGTAGAACATGTGACTCTTGGTCTCAGGGTTGCAAGTTCAAGCCCCACCTTGGGTGTAGAGATTACTTTAAAACACCCTGGTCAGCACAAAGGGTGGTTGTGCTGGTCATTTGACCCGATGATCCGTGCTGGGCAGTCACATTAGGGATCCTCTGCTCATTAGAGCGCTTAGCACCCATCTTCCCCAGGCTGTATTTAGTTCCAAGTGTGAGACCAGTCTTTCAGAACATAAAATGGAAGTGGACTTACTGGCAATGGGCTGTGAGCGGTTCTGAGCACCCCTGCCAGGCCCCCAATTCTGGTCTGCAGAGAGTCACGCTTGCTTGCTTCCGACACCTTTGCTATAGAGATGATGGCAGCACCTTCCATTAATCCTGGGAGACAGAAATCGCCGACACCACTGAAGTTCCTAAGGTTTCTCCAGATTAAGTTACATTGCTTCAATGATTCAAGATACAGGGGGGGGCCGGGTGGGGAGGAGTCATTCAGTCACTGAATATTGGGAGGATTTTATTTGCATATCTAATGGCTCTTGGGGGAGTAAGTGATTAAAAACTAGTGTTGGGCCATTTGTTTCCACCAGCAACAACAAACACCAAAGGCCTGGAATTCCAAGAGGTACTGCCCACTTCGTATCAAATTATAGGACACTGTGCTCTGCTGCTGGGGCCTTCAAGGGCTTGCAAATGTGTCTATTTGTCTGTCAGTCTAAAAGCAGAACATTCCTTTCCCCTGTGAAAAAAAAATGACACAATATGGAAGTTGCCAGGCTGCTCTAAACATTTCCAAATCCCAGGGTAACAGATTTATCTAGTCGATGACATGCCTCGTGATCTGAGTAATCACCACATCGAATATAGCGATGAGCAACATTAGGTTAGCCTTTTAAAAAGCTTTTATTAATTTATTTTAATAGCTAGTAACATATTTTCATGGGTAGGAAAGGCTACCCAGTTAAAATGATCTCTCCTACCTCTTGTGCCCAGTCCCCTTCCTGGAAGCCACCACCACTATCAGCTCCTCCTGCCCTTTTTTTCTTTACACAAATAGTAACACTCTAGTGCTGCTGTTTTTCATTTGTTTTGAAGTTCCTCCTTTCTTAGTACAACAAGGGCATGTTGACTTTTCATGCCTGCAGTCTGGTCCATTGAATGCAAGTCCCATCACATTGAATTGCTCTCCCATGAACAGGCATTTGCAGGGTTTCCAATCTCATGCTGTTGAAAATAAGGCCGCAATAAACAAAAATCTTATGCATAATTTCACTGGTCAACACTATTTTTAAGTAGGGAGAGTCTGGCGGTTTGGGCTCATTTTTGTCTTTGCAACCCCATTTATCATAGTCGTATTTGCATCACGTATTCTAAGATCCAGGCATAGAGAAATGCTTCCATCTTTAGCCAAGTATTTCAGATATATCAATAAAGTCAATGTATTACCCTTCAGTAGATGGCAAAATGTTTCAAAGGCACCTTCACTGTGAGATCTTACTTTACAAGGAATCTTTTTTTTATATGAATATACTCATTCTTTTAGATACTAACCCTTGAATGTATACTGCTTATTATATAAAGTGAAAGATTCTTGAGGTTCCCGAGAACTGTCCTGGAAAGAAAATTGATTTTGAAATGAGATGAGCGGTATCTTAATTTCACTGTGATACTTCCTTAAACTCGACACTTTCAAAAAGTTGGATGTTAGGTAAATTGAATTTGAGGCTAGCATTATTCTCCAAATAGAATTGGACTGGTTGGTCGCCAAGGTCTGGATGGTACAGCTCAGAATACTGTAATTCTGCAACTGAAACAGAATCTTTATTTATGTGTGTTGAATCTCTACCAATTTCCAATGTCTCAACATTTCCTGTACTGTGGTAGAAAATGAATAGGAAGCTATTTTTTAAACTATATAAATATTTTAAATAGAATTAAAACCAAGAAGCTGTTTAAAATTTCATTATCAAAATGTATTTGGCTACCTGGAATATTTTCATTTGTTTTCTTAGCAAACATGAACACTGTATTTAGACTCTGACTTTCATCCGATTACAATGCATTTTAATTAAAGCGTTTAGACAAATGTTCCTGGCTTGTGGATTCATTTCAGAAATTGACCATGTGTGACAGATCCTTTTGTGAGGAAACCTAAATTTGTTTCCCAGTTCAGCCTTCCTTGCTTATCTGAGAGTGACATCCTTGGGGCTGTCATCCATCCTGCATTCCCGGTGCTTGAGGGACATCCTTGTGGCACCCCTCTCCATGGACCCTAGGACTCTAAGACCCTTAAAAACAACCACTTTATGTCTGGTCAAATCTACTGATCTCATCAAGCCAGCTGCTCACTATGACCCCAACTCCTTTAGACTTGTCCAGTGATGTAGTGTGCTGATGAACATGGACTCTGGATTCAGACTGTGCAGCTTCCAATCCTAGTTTGACCATGGACCACAGATGACTATGGACCTCTCTGAGCTCCAACAACCTCATCTAGAAGATGCAGATGATATGCTGCACTGTACAGAGTCACAGTGATGATCAAATAATAGACAGGCATTGTCAAGTCTGAATGGGCATGAGGGGTAAAGCTGACTTGCCACCCTTCTTACTCTGCTGTGGTTGGGGTGCAGTGGAAGCTCCCTGAGAACTCTCTCTGGCCTGAATTTTGCCTCTGTTCATGGGTATACATACAGAAGAGATGTGATCACCCCTTCTTTGCTTTTTTTTTTTTTTAAGATTTTATTTTATTTATTCATGAGAGACAGAGAGAGGCAGAGACACAGGCAGAGAAAGACGCAGGCTCCATGCAGGCAGCCCCATGCGGGACTCGATCCCAGGACCCCGGGACCACACCCTGAGCCAAAGGCAGACGCTCAACCACTGAGCCACCCAGGCATCCCCCTTTCTTTGCACTTTAACTGAAAGTTTGCACAAACACCTGGACATATGTTAATTATAACAATATAAATAACAGCCTTCTGCATCATCCACAAATGTATTTAACCCAATTTCATACAAAAACAGACAGTAAAACACCCCACCTATGGCTTACTCTCCTGGGATGATCGCTCCACTCTGGGCTGGGCCCAGGGCAGGCTTCATGGTGTATGACCCGCACAGTCACATGTGGCCTCATGTTCAGAATGGCCCCATACTTGTTTACTGCTCTCCTGCCACTGTCTTGAAATTCTTAATAATTTCTGAATAAGGCATCCCACATTTTGATTTGTACTGGCTCCCACAAATTGTAGAGCCTGTCCTTCCTAGGCTGGAATAGCCCCTGATATCTGGAAAGGCCAAAGGCAGAAGTAGAGATGTGTCCTTTTGGCACTCAGCTTTCATCTCCCTTCTTTCAGCCACAGGATCCCGCTCCTTTTTGAAACACCATCATGCATGGGGTCTCTTTCCAGGGAATCTGAATCACAAGAGCTACTGCCCTTCCTCGTTGCTAACAGAGCCCTGATTTGGCTTTGTGCAGCAATATGCCCAGCCCCAGGAGCGAAGAATTATAAAAGGAAGGGTGATGAGAAGCCTCCTTAATAAAAAGGGACACCCCCTATTTCTGCTACCCATCTTTATGGGAGGAATATATCTGGAGCTGCAGCAGCCATTTTGTGATGGAACAGCCAAGGAATCAGTGATGTAGACTGCAGGAGGGTTGAGTTGTCACACCAATCCCAAACCACTCATCTCCAGAAGACTTGTTACATGAGACAATGAAATACCTTTATTTTATTTTTAAGGTTTTATTTATTTATTTGAGAGAGAGGGAGAGAATGAGCAGGGGGAAGGGCAGAGGGAGAAGAGCAGGGAGCCCAATTGGGGGTCGATCCCAGGACCCTGGGATCATGACCTGAGCTGAAGGCAGATGCTTAAGCCACTGAGCCACCCGAGCACCCTGAGATAATGAAATACCTTTATTATTAAGCCATTTGTAGTCAGGATCTCTTACCTGTGGCTGAAAACATCCAGCTGGGAGGGCCTTAAGGTGGGGAGGGAAAGAGAGAGGGAGCAGGTGCATCGGAGCCCCGACACCTGCCCACACACACCGTTGGTTTCAATTGCTCAGGTCTTCATCACTATCCACATTCCCGCCTCCCTGGCCCACTCTTCAGCTCTGCCTTACTTACACGGGCTACCTCGTGTATTTGAATAAATATGCCTTAGGCTGAGGTCAGCCAGAGTTAGCTTCCATTGCTCATGATAAAAGAAACCTCACTGATGCTGACAAAAGTACTTCTGGGAGTTTCCTGGTTGTTTAAAATTCAAGATCTAGGCCAACACCCACTCTGGGCGTGATTCCCACCCACTTTGGTCTGGCCCAGGCTTCTATGGTTTCTAAATTCAAACATCAGGAAGAGACCTTCAGAGGAGGGAGTGGAGGAGAGAGAAGGGCATTTGGACCAAGATCAAATTCAAATGCTTCTCTGTGGATGGGAAACCCAGTGGAAGGCAGTGATTTACCCCAGAGGAGCACTTGGGCATCAAGGTACATTTCCCTACCTGCTCTTCCAGATCTGCCCTTATCTGCAGAAGGACCCAACAGCAAAGATCCCTGGGACAGACCTTCCTTTTGACTGATCCTCTAGACTGGTGCCTCTCACTGTTTTCTCTTACCAGTAAGGCTCAGGGACACCTGGGTGGCTCAGTGGTTGAGAATCTGTCTGCCATTGGCTTAGGGCGTCATCCCGGGGTCCTGAGATCGAGTCCCGTATCGGGCTCCCTGCAGGGAACCTGCTTCTCCCTCTTCCTGTGTCTCTGCTTATCTCTCTGTGTCTCTCATGAATAAGTAAATAAAACCTTTAAAAACAAAACAAGTAAGGCTCAGAACACAGGTGATTGCTCTTGAAGGTTCTCAGCTTTCTCATTCGATTAGTTTTGTCCACTGTGCTGCTGTGAGGTGATCAGAAAGGGAATTAGGAAACCCAGATGAGAGCTGAGGAAAGCCAAACCTACACAGGCAAAGGGATTTATCCTCAGGGAACCGGGACTCCTGGGCAAGAGATGGAAACAGTTGAGAGGCCCCTGCTCCACCTCTGCCATGGACCCACAGTGCCACCTCAGCTGGGTAACTTTCATTCATTCAATAATTTTAAAAGATCTTTCTATGTGCCAAGCACTGTTCTACTATTTTCCAGGCCTTCGAAGTTGTGTCTCTGAGCCAGAAGAAATAAAACAATCCCTCCAGGGTGGCAGTAAGAAGGTTCTGCAGATACTTGTGGCGCTGTGCCTGTGTCACCTTAGCCAGCTCAGGCTGCCAGGACAAAACACAGACTGGGTGGCTTAAATGACAAATGTATTTTCTCAAGTTTCTGGAGGCTGGAGAGCCCGAGATTGCAGGGTTGGTTTCTGGTGAGAGCTGTCTTCTGAGCTTGCAGATGGCTGCTTTCCCATGGTCCTTGAAAGGCCTTTCTTCTGTGCATGTGGAGAGAGAGCTTGAGCTCTCCTGTGTCTCTTCTTCTAAGGTCACTATGCCTATGGGCTCAGGGCCCCATCCGTGTGACTTCGTTTAGCTTTAATTATGTCCTCAGAGGCTTCATCTCCAAACTGGTAGGTTAGGCCTTCACGTGAACGGGTTGGGGGACACATTTAGCCCTAACACATAAATTATGGATGTCCACATTTCCTGGATTCGGTATTTGAGCACAATCTCCTCCAACAGCCCTTCACAAATGAAGAGGACGGCCCTCTTCGTCTTTTAAAAGGGCCCTTTAAAATGTATTCTTTCAATGCACATGAGTTATTGGCATCTCTAAGAGGTCCCTGTCATTGTGGTAGGGTGCCAAATTTAGCAAATAAAAGTATGGGATGCCCAGTTAAATTTCAATTTCAGGAAAAGAATGAATGGAGGGTTGGGCAGCTGGGTGGCTCAGTCAGTTAACCAACCGGTTTTTTGGTTTCAGCTCAGATTGTGATCCCAAGGTTGTGAGATAGAGGTCTGAATTGGGTTCTGCACTCAGTGTGGAGTCTGCTTGAATTTCTTCCCACTTGCATGCTCTCTCTCTCTCTCAAATGAATCAATAAATCTTAAAAAAAAAAAAAAAGAAAAAAGAAAAAGAAAAAGAAAAAAAAGGGACGCCTGGGTGGCTCAGGTCATGATCTCAGGATGGTAAGATGGGGCCAGGCCTCAGGCTCTGCACTCAGCATGGAGTCTGCTTGAGTTTCTCTCTTCCTCTCCCTCTGTCCCTCCCACTTGTACTCTCTCTCAAATAAATAAAATCTTAAAAAAAAAAAAATGAATGGAGGGTTTTTTTTTAAAGCATAAGTGTGGCCCATGTGATATTGGGATATACTTATGCTATTAATTATTTGTTATTTATCCAAAATTCACATTTGACAGGGGAATCCTGTATCTTATCTGGCAATCCGCTCGGTGCAGACCAACTGCACCACAGAGCCTGCAGCCTCCTTTGCTGACCTCAGGAACCCCCAGCCCGGAAAGGCAGGACTAAGCTTTTGATTGGACACCTTACTCCCTCCCTTCTCCAGAGCTGGTCATGTTTCTTGCAGGAGGGAAAGGAAGCCCCCCCGCCGCCCCCTCCCCAGTCAGATCACCCAGTCTGTCAGTGTTTGGTTTTTAATGTTTATTGTTATTAATTGTAACCTGAATGTGTAGGTAGACAAGGTGTTCTGCATCTGAGACAGATCACTTATTAATTGCCTTAAAGTAAAAAAATAAATATGTCACCTCCACCCCAGTGCCCTCCAGACCTTAGCCCTTGGCCAGGGGTCAAATGTCCTATGCAAGGGAAAAATAATGCTTCTTTGCTTATAAACAAACAGGAAGGAAGTAGATAGCTCCCTTCCTTCTTGAAAGACTGCTTGGATCCCAAATGGATCTGAAACCTAACTCCAACCCTTTGGTATGTAAATAGTCTCTCCAGGAATTAGCCGCCCCCCGTGTCTCTGCTTTTACCCGCTTGTGGAGTCTGCACATTCTAGGACTTTATTCCTTTTGATGTGACTATCTACCCACAGAGATAGCACCGTAGACTTCCCGCAGCCTTGTGGCTTCACCTAGGGTCCTACATCC